CCGGGCCTTCTGACAATCTATATCCAGCATGGGCCACCCAATAGACCCAATAGACCCCTTGGAGGGTGGACCCGGTGGTTTGTCGCGCGGGCCGGGGGCCGCAAAAGATGGTGGCGGGTATCCGGTCGCAGGGGTATGCAGTGCGGCCGGGCCACCTGGAGTGACGGGCTGGGTCGCAGCTGCGACCCCTGCGACCATGGTATACATGCCACTGGCTTTGTTTCAGCCCCAGCAAACAATTGGATTCACCCCCCAAAAAATCAAGGGATAAAACCAATAAATATGTGAACTGTTCGTCCTCTGCACCTCAGGGAAGGAACCTCTGCAGAGAATGCTTATTGGAAATAGCGGAGGCTTCCAATAGGAGTTCCCAACAGGACAACCTTAAACTCTGGATTTCCCAAGCTATTGCTGAGGGCTTTAAGTCTACACTGGATAAAGGTGGTCGATGTAAGAGACGCAGAGCGGAACATCAGTCTTCATGCTCTGAAGAAGACCCAGATATGTGAGAGGTCTCAGATGATGGTGAGGAGGAAGTTGAATATACCTCCAGGTCTCTTGACACTAAGTCTATTGATAGACTGATTACCCTTATCAGGGACACTCTTAATCTCACGGAAGAAAGCACAATAGGCCAACATTCCCAGTGCATTCTTCAATCAGGGACATGATCCTTCAAGAATGAATCAAGCTAGAAAGAAAATCCACCTTTAAAAAAAAAGGTTCACAAGGATATATCCTCATTCTGCCATTGACTGCAAAGCATGGAACTCAGTCCCAAGAAAACTATGCTTCCCATTGACTCCATGACCAACCTTAGAGAACCTACGGTAAAATGTATGGATGGGGATCTCATAAAATCTCATTAAGCCCTAGGCTCTGCCCTTCATCCTGCGGTGGCTCTAGCCACTCTCTCAAGGACCTCAAGAGTATGGCTTGCAAATCTGGAGGAGCACATTCCGTGGAGTCCGTAGGGAACATCTCCTAGAAAGTCTCAAGGACTTCAGCCTTGCTACAGAATTCTACCCAGAAGCCTCTCTAGACATCACTCATATGATTGCTACAAGTATGGCCCTGTCTGTGGCCTTTAAAAGGGCCTTATGATTTCATTCATGGGGAGCCGACTATGCCTCATCATAGGTCATCATCATAGGTCCATCCCAAAGGATAGTGGCTCATTATACTCTAGTGATGATGAACATTCTTCGAGATCACAGTTGGCTTCTGAACGTAGAGAAGAGCTCCCTAATTCCATCTCAAAAAATCGTATTCCTTGGAGAGGTGATAGACACGATCTCAGCACATGTGGTCCTCTCTCCAGAAAGGGCCCTAAAAATCCGAGACAAAATCGGAAAACTACAATATCTCAATATCAACAGCCTCAGCTAGAGAACTCTCGTAGGTTCTTTGACATCAACAATTGGGCTGGTAAAATGGGCCCAATGGAAGTTTTGTCCTATTCAGAATTGCTTCCTTCTTCAATTCGACAGAGTAGATACAGATTGGGAGCAAAGGATAACTCTGCCCCGCCTGGTAAGAAAAAGGTTAAACTGGTGGAGGGGCAAGAAGAATTTGGCGAAAGGCTTCCCGTTAGAGGAATCTACTTGAAACATTATTACAGCAGATGCAAGTTCTTCTGGATGGGGTGCCCACTTCAATTCTACATGGAAACGATAAGAGGACCCAAGAAGAGAGTCATCTACACTCAAATTTAAGGGAGCTAAGGGCCATTACCAGAGCCATCTTGGAATTCCTTCCGAGATCGAAAAAATCTTGGGTCCTGTTTAAAACGGACAACCGAGCGGTTGCCTTGTATGTGAACAACCAAGGAGATTGCTCTTGAAGGAACTAGCTCCCTTGATGAAAGTGGCCATGAACAGTCTCCTAAGTCTGAAGGCAATCTGTCTTCTGGGTTCAGAGAACGTTACTGTGGACTTCCTCAGCAGAACAGAAATTCTTCCAGGAGAATGGAGGCTTCACTTGGCAGTCTTCTAATGGATTGCCCATTGGTGGGGCATACCCCAGACCTGTTGGTGACTTACCAGAATTGTCAGGTAGAGAATTACTACTCTCTCCATCCAGACAATCAGGCAATGGTCCAGGATGCTCTCTCCCTTCCTTGGTCATTCAATCTGGGGTATGAGTTCCCTCCCCTACCCATGATACCCAGATTCCTGCGGAAGGTTTGGACAGAAGGCAAAAAAGTAATTGTCATAATCCCGATCTAGCCTCGAAAACCATAGTTTCCTCTCTTAACCATGAAGAGTCGGGAACGGCCTTTTCCTCTTCCGATAATGAAGGATCTGCTGACTCAGGGCCCACTCTACCATCCTCATCCAGAAAAGGAAAGACTTCATCAATTAGGCCTTTCGGAAGCAGTGGTCAATACCCTTTTGTAGTCTAGGAAGGGTTCTACTGTACTTCCTCGTGCTACTATAGAATCTGGGATATATTCAGAGAATGGGCATTGGCCAAGAACATTGACTTCTTGCAACCTCGCAATACTCAGATCCTGGATTTCCTCCAAGAAGGTCTGGACAAAGCCTTAGCCTCAGCACTCTTAGAGTTCAGTCCTCGGCTCTTTCAGCATTATGCAATATATCATGGGCTTCAGATACTTTGATCTCAAGATTCTTCAAGGCAGCTTTCAGGTTGAGACCCCCTTCCAGATCTGGTACCCCTCCTTGGGACCTTCCTCTTGTTCTCAACTACCTGATTGATAATCTGTTCGTTCCCCTTGAAAATTTGGATACTACCCTTCTGACTTACAAGACTTTGTTTTTGGTGGCTATTACTTCCGCAAGAAGAATTTCGGACATTAAAGCCTTTTCTACCATGTCTTCCTGCTAACAGATCAATCAGGATAGGGTGTGTCTGAGAACAAAACCTGTGTTTCTTCCAATGGTGGTCTCTCAGTTTCATCTCTCTCAAGAAGTGGTCCTTCAATCATTCTATCCCAATCAAACTTATAATGAAGAAGTTAGATGGCAACGTTTGGATGTTAAGAACAGTCTATCTCAATACCTTTTTTGTTCTAAGTCATACAGAAAGACTGACCAACTCTTTGTTCTACCTTCAGGAGCTAGGAGAGGTGAGGCAGCTTCTTTATCTACGTTGAGATGTTGGATTTCGCTAATAATCAGGAAAGCGTATGTCTCTAAAGGTCAGTCTCCTCCAATAAAGATAAGAACACAGTCTACCAGAGCATTGTCAACTTCATGGACTAATTGGGCAGAGGTTCCACACGATGATATTTGCAGAGCAGCCACCTGGTCTTCCCCCGATGACGTTCATAAAACACTACAAACTGGACGTGGCCTCTCCTTCCACCACCTTTGGGAAGAGTGTTCTGTCTATGGCTTCTTTATCCCACTGATATTAAATTTCTTTGCAGCATGAGTGTTTGTATAGTGTTTTTTTCTCTGTTTTTTTTTTATTACCACCCTATATTTCTGTGAGCTTGTGTATTACCCATAAGTGATGCAGGCCCTGGGGAGATAGCGCAGCTAAGCGGACAAGGGCACATGTATGAGTGTGGGGATAGATGCGTGGGATTGGTTTGGAAGGAACGTGTGGGTGGGATTATGTTCTGTGTGAGTTAGTGTCTTACCTCAGTGCCACTTGGAATTTGGGCCAGCAAACAGCTTTCCTCCCGCCCGCCCCATTAGTATATTTAGTCGCAGCTAGCCGAGGGTATGTCCTTGCCTATTATATTTGAGATGGTTATGTTAATTATGTGGAATGAAGTGAACAAGTTTTCAGGTCTCAACCTCCCCTGCTCTAAAGGGTTAACCTTAGGTTGCTTGGGATGTCATGCCCATCGAGCGTGGATAAGGTCGGCTGGTGGCGGGCACTGAAAGGATATGAGTTCATGAAGAGGGGGGAGGTGAGAGGAAGTGGTACATAGGCGCATGGTCAGTTTATTGGCAAGGATGGTTGGGTTCACTGTATGACACAATGTGTTAAATTATATATATATGTTAAGTTATGGTTATTTATGTTTAACGTTTTGGTTACAGAAAAGAAGAGAAATTATTAAATAAATTATGGATGTGTCATACAGTATTTGTCATATGCTATAATAAATGCTATGGCCTGTTTCATCCATACTACGTTGTCTGTCATTATTTTGGAAGGGGGTTGAATTGGGTTGGTTTATGTATTATGCTGCATCGCGATTTCCCACTAAGTACATACATGCCATGATTAGCCAGGAATAGAGAAAATTTATGACAAACTTTTCTTTTCCTGGCTATTTCTCATGGCAGCATCAGGGTTCCCGCCCATTCTTCTATTTTTTCAGCTTTATAATTGGACTGTGATGTAAGGGGAGGAGGGGCTCTTTATACCTATCAGTCTAATTAATTAATCTAATTAATTCATGTCCTGTGACAGCTAAGGGAGGAGCTACCTATAAGTGATGCTGCCATGAGAAATAGCCAGGAATAGAAAATTACAGTAAGTTTGTCATATAATTTTGTCTAATTTTAGGTACCCTGATTTATTAGGAGGTCTCCAGTACTACAAAATGTCATTGAGTCTCATGATAAATAATGAGCTTTATTCACTAAACACCAGCTTGTAGTGAGTTCAAAACTAAATAGCAAAATGTAGGCAAAAACTATTGTTATAAAAACTCTCATGTTCAGCTATTTTGTCCCTTACAATGCTATTTGTTTTTTGATTTAGTGCAGGCTTGTTTACTAAACTGAGTAAATTTCAAATTTAAGATCAAAATAGCCAGACTTCTAATTCATTTTGCATTCGCTTTGAATTCTCATTTTAGTGTATAAACCTTGTGTCTTGTTAGTAAAATCTTTCTTTCTTTTTTTGGCAGATACCAAGATACAGCTTTGACCAGTATTTAAAACTAAAGTGCCTGGGCCCCCAAAAATGTGGACCCACCCTTTATCTGTATGAATCACAGAATCCTGATTTCTCCCCTGGTTTAACTATTTATTCTTGAGCTGTTTCCTGTTACTGCGGGCCAGTGATAGGAGGTTACGTGGTTCTTGATGAGCTGTACTGTATAGTAAAGAAACGTGCAGTTCAGGAGGGTAGGGGTTAATGTCATTGTGGGACGTACTAGTGTTACATTGTAACAAACCAAAGTGAGAGAGAGAGAGAGAGAAAGAAAAAGAAAGAGACAGAGACAGAGACTCAGAGAGAGGCAGGGACAGTGAGAGAAACTGAGAGAGGAAGAGACACAGAGCCAGGGAGTTAAAGACACAGAGAGACAGGGGGGGAGAGGTAAAAGTATTTGCCAGATATCCTGATAGGACGATTGTTAGAGTGACCTGGGGGAAAAGACCTGTAGGAGATATCCAGAGAGACTGCACAGAGTCTCAGACTGGGAATCAGACATTGACAAGTCTGACAGATAAATCGAAGAAAGGAAATAAAGCCGGGAGCTGCATGGATCGATGCCTGTGAGTGGGGCTCAGAGCTCGGCTTGGAATCTCCATTCAGGTAGGTGGTGATGGCTGTAATTTCCCGGTAAGTTAGAATTTGGGGGAGCGCTGGCTGGATCTCGTTAAAGAGACAGGCAGACTGCTAACATTTCTATTGCAAAGAGAGACAGTCTGGAGACTCCCGTGGGACTAAGACAGAATGAGACAGCTCTGCCCTTCCGGGAATTCATGCCTCTCATTCAGAGGTCAGCGACCTTAATGGAAGTGTAAGGACTCACATAGTTCCAAATACCCCAGGTATGCCCGATCACGTCTGCCATTTAACCCTGTCAGTGCCAACTGGCTGCGGGGATAGCTGCGAAGCAAACTATAGAACACATTCCTACTAATGTTCTAATGATTACTGGGTTAACAGCGATCTGCCTGTTTTAACGGGTTATTTACACTTTGGCCACACTCCAACAGATCGTTCGGTAATTTGGCCACACTCCAACAGAACGTTCGGTAATTTGGCCACACTCCAACAGAACGTTCGGTAATTTGACCACACTCCAACAGAACGTTCGGTAAATTGTCTCACTACGATAGAACGTTCGGTAATTTGGCCACACTCCAACAGAACGTTCGGTGAGTTGGCCTCACTAGGATAGAACGTTCGTTAAATTGGTAACAGTGACACTGAGCAATGTCCAGTGCAACCAATACGTGGAGTATTAGTGACCCAGCTAATAAACTAAGAGGACCAAATAGTAACATCGATGCGATACAGAGCGTAGCCTTGTAATAAAAGTGTAAATCGTCCTCAGAGCTCAGTACACATAATAAAACGAGTATACTCAATGTACACGGGCGATATATAAACTGCAAATCTGGGGCAGTCAGTTGGGACATTGTATTTGTTTCTGTGGTGATTGCTCCATTTTTAGATCTTTGCTGCTGAATTGCTCTTTGGATGCAGAGCTCATAGATCGAAGCTTAGATTTACTAATATCAAGTTCTGTGTGATTGAGAATCTAATCTAGCACTAGCCAATCTGATACTTGGCTATAACATGCATTGCTAAATAACACTATTGTACCCCATGTTAACATACTGTATCTCCCTCTATCGTAATGTAACCTGTAGTGCCATGTACACCTGCTGGGGGAATATGAACAAAATACACATACTTGGCAGAAATGTCATAGCGATTCACTAAGTACTATCATCTCCATCCACTTATAAAAGTCACAGGTTGTAGGTAATGACTTACCTAATCATTTGCATATATAATTCTATTATTGAGACAATAATGTAAGGCTGTAGTAGAATTATGTTATTATTAATCTGGTGTTTAATAAAAGCGTCTCCTATCATTTTTAAGAGAAAATTTATATATATCCATATAGCACACTCTTCCTTTTCTTTTGATGCGATGTAGGGATTAAGATTTGTAAATGACCAAACAAGAGATGAGCTGTTAATTGTGATAATATGGTAGCAATAAGCATTTATGGGAAACAGGAAGTTACACTGCCCCATTAGTGTCTGTGGTAAGATCCTGCAAATATCACTATGATCAGAACCTTTATTAAAGGGACACTACAGTCACCACAGACACTACAGCTTAATGAAGTAGTTTTGGTGTATAGATCATCCCTCTGCAGTCTCACTGCTCAATGCTCTGCCATTTAGGCGTTAAGTAACTTTGTTTATGCAGCCCTAGTCACAACACCTGCATGTGACTTGCACATCCTTTCTAAACACTTACTGATAAGAGTCATCTAATGTTTATACTCCCTTTATTGCAAATTATGTTTAATTTTGAATGTCTTGTCTCCTGCTCCTTTAATAGCCTGCTAGACCCAGTGGTGTAACCTGGTTTTGTGCTGCCCTAGGCATGACAAAACTCAGGCACCCCCTCTCCCCTCCCCGTTCTAAATACACACTCACTTACAGACAAACACACATTCACTGACAGACACACATACACACTCACTACAGACAACATGCACACTCACTAACAGACACACCGTCACTAACAGACACACACACACACACTCTAATACACTCACTAACAGACACATCACACTCACTACCAGACACACACACTAACACTCACTAACAAACACACACATACTAACACATTCACTAACAGACATACACATACTAACAGAAACTCACACACACACACACTAACAGACACGTCACACACATTGTAACAGATACACACAGTCACTCACAGACACACACTAACACTCTCTAACAGACACTAACACACTCAGTAGCAGACACATACTAGCACATTCACTAACAGACACACACACATACTAACACTCCCTAACAGACACACATAGTAACACACTCCCTAACAGACACTCACACTCACTAAAAGACACACAAACACATTCACATTTTAAACATTTTTAAAAAATATATTTAATTCCCCAGCCTCCCTACCTTTGGGAGTGCTGGGGTGGATTCTCGATTTCCCTGGAGTCCAGTGGGGCTGCTGGGCGGCCAGCCGGTCATTGCAGTCGGCGAGGGAGCACTGATTCTCCTGTTCAGCTCCCTTGCCCGCCACGTAGTGATGCCGGAGCCGAAGTGTCATCATATTCCGGCTCCGGCATCACTGTGGTGCGTGCGAGGGAGATGAACAGGAGGATCAGTGCTCCGTCGCCGCCCGCCCGTAAAGTTCTGCTGCTGCCAGCCTCGGAGAGCCCTGAGGTGGCCAGCCGGCCAGCTCCTGGGCCCCCCAGGACAAGAGGCTGGCAAGGCATTTGCCAGGGTGATTGGGGGTGTTTCTTTTTTTTGTTACAGGAAAAATAGGTTGATGGGGACACTGCTCAAACCAGCATACAGTCTAGAGGAGGAGGGGTATAAAAACACAATAGGGGGACAGCAAAAAATGACAAGGTGGGAAAGTAGCAAAACTGGAGGTGAGAGTGGATTGTAGAATACTGCTAGTATAATTTGTGGGGAGAAATGTATGCTTGCATAACACTCACCCACAGATTGTACAAAATTGACTATTCCAGCTGTTTGTTTGACATCCCTGTAGACGGCATTAATTTTTAAAAATTGCTGTAGTTCTAAGCCACTCTCAAATAAGAGAGAGGGCAGTGTACTCTCTGCACCATCACCTTTGCAGTTTTACAAAGCTGTGATAGTGTTTCAAGCGATCATTTTAGTAAAAAATGGATGTGTAGCATGGTTTAGAGCTGAAGGCATAGTCATACCCTGTATTTGACCCATATTAAAGTTGTGGTCACTCAGGTATCTCCTGTGGTGGCTTTGCAATGTGCATGTTTCTCATTATTTTCTTATTCTATAAACCACAAGAAACATATCATAAAGCACTAAACTGCAATGTGTCACTTTATTTTCTGTGTCACTCTGTATCTTTCATTTCCTGGATTCTATAAAATTCAGGACTTATAACAGCAGTAGAAGACAAAACTGTAATTTCCAATGACGTTTAAGTAAATACATGTGAACTTTGCAATGTCAAAGTAGAGCATATTCCATATTTTCACTGTGGGTACGTGCGCCAATTCTTCACATTAAAAAAAAAAATGAATAAATCGTTTGAAAACATTGCATTCATGTTTTCATGTTCTAATGCATGGCTCGCTGTACATATCCCATGAAGCTCTGCTGCTGAGCAATAAGAGAAGGGGGACGGAGTGTCCTCATGAGTCTGGACGCCTCTTTAAAGTACTGTATATTGCCTCCTTTGTAATACTTTGTACAGATATTTAAGTTCCTCAAGCTATCACACTTGCACTGGCAATTGGCCATGCAGATTGACCCCTAACAGACAGACAGTGAAGAGACTCAACCAAACAGGGGCTATTCCTATTTTTTTTATTCCAATGGACAACTCTCCTGGAGGGGTTTATATGATATGTATTTCAGCTGCCATTCCAGTCTTCAGGTCTGAGTGGTTCTGCTCAATAAGTTAATAGCAAACATTCTATAATTTAGTGAATGGAGCAGTTTAAAATCATAGAGGGATGGATGTGGATTGTGGTTACCTGCCCAGAGTACACCTTTCAGATGCACAATTTAGCTGTGACCAGTCTGGATGGCAAAGAAGGAATTACAACTTCCCTTTTTACTGTCAGTGGGAGAGGAGCAATATTATGACTGGATTGAATTTTATTATTTTATGGCTGCAATGACAAGGGACCTTTTTGCATCATTAACTATGCAATGATCTTAGGTTGATGTCATGCTTAAGGACACATGACATGTGTGACATGTCATGATTCCCTTTTATTCCAGAAGTTTCTTCCTTAAGGGGTTAAAGGAACACTCCAGTCCAAACCTCATAGCCAGTACTGGCCGCTGTAGTCTTTATAATGCCCCCTCCCCTGTAAGCAGTTAAACCATTTTAGACCAGTTCTACATCTTACCTGGGGTATGCTAGACATCGTTTCACACCTTAAGGCTAACACATTGGCTGAGAGCTAAATACTTTCAGCCAATCAGCTAAATCCTACAGCACCAGGCTTAGCTCAGACAGAGAGCTGTAGTAAATGCGGCCATCTGACCCCAGGTAAAAAGTCAAACCATTCTAAAATGGTAAAACGTACAATGGAGGGGTGGGGGCATGTTGTGGTGGTTATGGTGCATGGAGTGTTCCTTTAACATGTCCCCGTAATGGAGATAAATAATCATACATATTATGTGCAAACAGTTAGGAAGTTTGCACCCTCAGCCATTCAGTTGAGTATGTAAGTTTATTTTTATCTATATGCACCTCCAAAGGTTTATGAAAGGAAAACTATAGTATCAGGAATACAGCCATGTATTCCTGACACTATAGTGTTACAAATCCATTTTAGGTTGCCATCCCCCCATAGCTCCCTTAAAAAGACGTATCTTTATTGGAGCACCAATCAGGTCCACCGTGACTAGCTCCATCCCTTGATCATCCCAAACTTGATGATCTTAGTCAAACTAATGCTTTTCTACAGGAAAACATTTGTAGGCTATTGCCAAAACGCCAAACACAAAATGCCGTGCTGTGCCAATCAGAATCTCCACATAGAGGTACATTGAATTTGTGCATCTCTATGAGAAACGTTCAGCGGAGACGCTGAACGTCAGCACTGACCCAGGAAGCACCTTTAATAGGTTATTTACACTCCAACACTTATTTACACTTTTCTCTGAAAAGACAGTGTTTACATTAAAAAAAATGCTATAGACATCAAGCTGTAGTTGTTCTGGTAACAATAGTGTCCATTTAACTATACTGAACTGTTAAGATGCAAAAGTAGGAAAAGTGAACATTAATCTTTAAAACTGACGTGTGGTGAGAAATGCAGGAGTCATCCTTTCTGATTCATATTTACTCACACTGCTTAGTCTTGGCCATTCTTTCATACAACTCTATTTGTGCCCCTGATCATCTTGAGAACAAAAGGTAATTCTCTGGGCAAGGCATTGTCAGGGCAGTTTGGAAAAGCAATGTATTCATATTGAATTAGTTTGCTGAAGACACTCATTGCAAAACTCTAATAGCAAGCACTAGTGCCTCTTTAACAAAATTCTACATTCGCTCAACTTGTTTTTTCCATTTAGCTGACAAGTCCTTGCTGCAGCCAAAAGCATGAGACATATGCTTGGCCTGAAAGTGTGATGCCGATACAATGACTTTCCTAGGGAAATTTCCTAAAATACTAGAATTGAAATTAGTAACACACTTTATTTCCCAGACATCTTTTATGAGCTGGGGGAAAAAAAACAAACAAGACAATAAGAACCTGAAAGAGTCATTGTTGAAATGCAACACTATACTGTACATAATGCCTTCTTCATCAATGAACATTCTTTTTATTAAAATGGCATTGTGGCAGATTGCAATGTCATGTCACTGCAAGGAAAATTTTTAATAAAATGAAAGTTTAGCAAACCTTTACAGAAGACAGTGTAGTCAGACAGCACATAATGACTGTACAGTAATAGATGAAACAGTACTATAGTCGGAGTCAGTTAACCCCTGGTAAAAGGGCAGGGAATTGTGCAGAGAGACTTCAGGGATATAATCCATACATTTATCCTGGTAAATATAGAATCATTTTTTGTGATCATTTATATTATTCTTAATTTATACATTATGTCAATATACTTGTATATAACAGAAAAAATTTATTTGTACTTACCGTAATTTTCTTTTCCTTTTTCATAGGCCATGGCAGCAACAATTGGGTAGCTCCTCCCTATTCCTAATCAGATTGGAACCATTAAAAAATACGGTATAAATAGCCCCTCCTTCACAACCCACCCTCAGTCTCGTTTCCTTCAATATTTCAGTGCTGCCGTGGCCTATGACCATTTTCTCTTTTCCTGGCCATATCCATAGCAGGACAACATAAAGACTCTGAAATACCAATAGAAGTGTATAGATACAAGCAAATCATGAAAACTAATATATATTATCACTCGAATCCAATAAAGCAGCTCTGACCTTAATTGTACATACCTCATGAGGGATTAAACGGAGGCCTGAGAAGATGCTGTATAAAACAGTATTGGAGTAAACCTAGCAGCCGCAGCCCATGAAAAAGAAAGAACCTATAGATATAGAATGAGCCAATAGTCTAACAGGAACCAAACTTCTGAGACCTGTACAGCCTGAAAAATTGCAGAAAACAATACATTTACTGATATCTTATTTAGATGCTGCAGGCCTTACCTGACTTCTAGGGGAACTGAACGGGCTTATGACATTACATTGCACATTATAACAAGACAAATGTAGAACATACCACTGCTTTGTTTTCACAAAAAGGAAAAACGCAAGGCTAGGAACATAATTCTTGATGGAAAAAATGGAGATAATTTAGAGACAAAACTCTGAAAAAACCTGAGGTTACATGGTTTAAGACCACAACGGAGATCTATATAAGATAAAACTCGAAGCTCATACATGCCTGCCTGAAGCCAAAGACCCTGGTAGAATCCTGATGGAGAGAAATGAAGAGACATAGATTTCAAGGGAGTTTTCTTAACTTATAGGAAAGGCAGATCCTATAAGAAATTAATGGTATTAATATGCCCATGGCAATGGTAAAAGTCCACTAAAAGTATAAGGACCAAAGGGCTCAGACATGAACCTACATAGTATTGAAACTCATGCCTAGACTAGTCGAAATTGTAGGAATATCCATGTGTCCTTAGTAGAGAGATACTATCTATCACATAAGGAAGAGACCAAGAAGAAAAAACATACTTCCATGTCTACAGGATGGAGAAAGTATATCTGGAAGAAGAACTGACTCTTGTAAGAGAAAGGCTGAATATCTTTGTATATGCCATGCCATTCCATTCATATGGAAATCCATGTCTGTGAGGCACAAAAATTGGCACTTGTTCTTGGTGTTCCACGAGAGGATATCATTCTGGAGAAGAACTAGCTGAGATACTTGTTGTGAATAGCCATAGATCCACTTAGGGAAAACCCTCTTTATTACTATCGTAAAAAGCTTCATCTGATAGGAACCATTCCACAGATCTACTATCACTTGGCTAAAGAAGACCAACCTAGAATACATTTCCCCTCTAGATGGGTAGATATCAGACTGAAGGATCTATTGAGCACAAGACGACTGAAGCACCCTGACATTCATTCTGTTGTGAATCCAATTATCTCCTTGAAGATAGTATACATAATTGATCATAAGTACCTTCATCCAGAGAAACAAAATCGATGCTGAAAACACTTAAGGACTCTGAAGACAGCAGCAGTTCTAGAAGATTGGATAAAACATCTTTGGAGAGAATGTCCATGTCTTTGCTGAGAGTTTTTTTTATTTATAAAATATTTTACCAGGAAGGATACAACGTTCAGTGAGGGACGAGCACAAACGGCAGCAGGGCGCATGCGCGGGCGGCACAACAGGGCACATGTGCAGGCAGCATTTGAGACAGAAGAGCACACCAAGTGCTCGAGGGTCACAAAAGACTCCATCGGGGGCGTGGCTGGGCTGCCGATGGAGTAGGACGCAGGCAGTGAGAGCTCCCGGGCCCCAACCCTGCCATAGCCCGTTTTAAAAGCGTTACAACTCCCGTCCGAATGGGTAAACCAAGGAAGGGGACTGCCCCGGGCCCGCAACTTACCGCCATGTCGCAGCAACCGGGACCGATGGACGAGTACCTGTCCACCCCACAATGCATAGCCAGCACACGAGGCCCAGACAAAATGGCGCCCGGATCGCCGGGAACACAGAGCAGACCGAGCTCCACGCAGGACTCCCCGCGGAGAGACGCCCTCACTCAGATGTCAGCGGAACTCGCTGCAATCTCGGCAAACATGTTTTCCAGGCAAGACAAGAAGGAGCTGGTGGCAGAACTACGCGCAGCTATCCGGGAGGAGGTGGCGGCGGTCCGGCGCGACCTCTCCGCCCTAGAACACCGGGTGGGAGACCTAGAGGTCCAACAGCTGCAGTCAGAACAATCCCAACGGGCCACAGACCTGGCTACCACGAGGCAGGGCAACCTCCTCCTGGAGCTCAGACGCCAGGTGGAGGACCTTGAGAACCGCGGACGGCGCAATAATATCCGCGTCAGAGGCCTGCCAGAGTCGGAAGGAGAGACCCCAAGAGAGGTCCTGGAGGGCCTGTTCACACAACTACTGGGGGAAGAAGCTCCACCAGATTTCGGATTAGAGCGTGCACACCGGGCGCTTCGACCACCAAGGAGGGATGGCCTCCCCAGGGACTTGGTGTGCTGTTTTCAATCATTCCAACTGAAAGAAAGTATCATGAGAGCGGCCAGGGCACTGCGCACCATCACCTACATGGACTCGCAAGTATCCCTATACCAGGACCTGTCTCCCCTCACCCTCGATGCCAGACGAGCGCTGAAGCCCATCACAGGCCTCCTACAGCAGAAGCGGATCCCTTACAAATGGGGATTCCCGTTCAGTCTGCAGGCAAGAATTGCAAATCGCTGGCTGGCAGTCCGCTGGCCTAATGATGTGCCTAGATTTCTACGAGCAGCGGGCCTCCCTGAGACCCCCGTCCCTAACTGGATCCTTGATCACCCGCCGGCCAGGCCCACGGGCCCTACAGTTCCAGCGGATCACCTGTCGGATGGTGCCCTGCGGAGCTCCTCGACGCACCGGAGCGGGCCCAACACCGCGGAAGAGTAGGAAGTCTGTAAGCACCCGAGAGCGCGCCCCTGGAGGGGTTCTTGCGCGGACCGGGGGCCCCGAGACCCCCACGTCCTACCCCGCGGGTAAGGTGCACACCTGCCCGTAGATACACGTGGATTAACTGAGGACTTGAAACTGAGCATCTGGGGTATGTACCGTTCCTCCCCCCGGGCCTGGGACTCCCCTATGTGTACTATAAGATCTGCACCCCCCGGGAACTCAGCACTTGGGTGGGAGACGGGAAAGGGGGGGCAGCAAAGTGGAAGCATAGAAGGGAACTGGCCACCACCACTTCACACGGCCTCAGTTGGGGCAGAGCGGGTTCAGGTAGAGCACCCAACCTACTGGAGCTATTAACAGCATGTCAGGACCTGGTGTGGAGGCGGGGCCTGCGGGGAGGTGGAGCGGGTCTCCTAAGGGGTTACTCACTGGAGCTGGGGAGCCATGGCGGTACCCGGAGGGAGGAGGCTGGAGGCACACCCGTCACACCCCCCCCGGGCCCGAGGGCCAAAAGGTCTACGCCCAGACCCCTGCAGGGCCGAGAGGGGTAGAGAGGGGGGACGACCGGGCACCTGGGGACGCACGAAGGAACTCGTGCATAGACCGAAACAGGGCACAGGAACCAATAAGCACTACTTACAAGTGGCACCACTAAAGTCAAAGAAGGGCCAGAAGGCTCGTGTGTCCTCGGAGAGGGGGGAGACGGATAATCTGGCAGGGCGGGAGGGGGTAGGACGGAGAATCTGGACGAGGGGGGGTTGAGGGGGCAGGACGGTCCATATGCTCTCCCTGGGGCACTAGGGGTAGAACACTGACGGGGGACAGCTGAGACTGGACGGAAACCGCACACACATCACAACTGGCGGGTTGGGAGCACCGGGAGACGGACTCGGACCAGACACACACACTAGGTTGTTCCGCGCCGCAGGCGACCTTGCTCACACCCCACGCAACTGACCCGTGGTGTACAAACTAGTCGGAGTTCGGTAGGACTACAGTCGAGTAGCTGCCGAGCAACTCTATCCGACCGAGGTTCATTGTTGCTCACAAACCGTTTTTTTATTTTTTATTTATTTATTTATTTGTATTTTTTTATTTATTTAATTTTTATTTTTTTTCTTCCTTCTCTTTCCCCCCCTCCCCTCTGCCACCTGCCCATTCCTCTCTCTCTCTGCGTCTCTCCCCCACCCTCCCCTTATCCCCCCGAGCCCACGTACAGTCAATTACACAATGCCTTCCCAGACAGGGCCGGCCGGGGGCTGTTCACCCCGAGGGGCCGGGGGGAGTCTCGCCCCCGCACAACTCAAAGTGTGGTCTAATAACGTGAGGGGCCTAAACACCCCGGAGAAGCGGTCTCAACTTTTGAGGCAGTTATGGGCGGAAAAGGTGTCTGTGGCGCTCTTGCAGGAGACGCACTTTAGGGGTCAGGATTCTCCGAAGATTGAGAATAGACGCTTTCCACAGGGGTACTACGCCAATCACCCAGAGGCTAAGAAAACGGGAGTGGCGATTCTGTTCTCCCGCATAGTCCCGTTCCATCTCATAGACACCATGACGGACCCAGGTGGGAGGTACATCTTTTTGAAGGGCACCATCGCACACCACACCTACACTTTCGCAAGCATTTATAGCCCTAACCGCGGACAGCATAAATTCTTTACCAAAACACTAGCCAAACTAGAAAAATTCAGGGCCGGCCTGCTGATATTGGCAGGGGATCTTAACGCTCCCCTGGACCCCCGGATGGACACCACCAGAGGGACCAGCACTGTCCCAGAGCACAGCCTACGCGCAATGCGACGAGCACTGACTAGCATGGGGCTGGTCGACTGTTGGAGGGTAGCCCACCCGGACGATAGAGACTTCTCCTATTACTCGTCAGTATATAGGCAATATAGTAGGATAGACTACATCTTCATGCCCCAGGAGAGCCTGGCGCTTCTCCGAGACGCTTCCATAGGGATTATCAACCAGTCCGACCATGCCCCAAACACGGTGATAATGAACTCACCTTTATTTAAACCGACCGAACGCCAATGGAAGCTCAACGAAACCATGTTAACAGAGCTCGAGATACGCACCCAGGCACTACAGACGCTTACACAGTACTTTGACACTAATGACACACCCGACATGCCCCCTCTGATGCTATGGGAAGCCCACAAATGCGTCATTAGGGGTCACTTTATATCTATCAGCACGCAACGCAAGAAAGACAGGGCTCGCCGAATTCTAGACCTCACGGCACGGATTGCAGACCTAGAGAATACACATAAGCATAGCCTAGATGACGACACATACTTACGACTCACAGAGACACGTAGGGCACTCAAAGCACACTTATCCCAGGGATTACTACATACGTTGCGGAAATCAGCTAGGCACTTCTATGAGCACTCGAATAAGTGCGGTCGACTTCTGGCGCAGGTGCTCCGAGAGAAGCGTAGAGCCCAACATATTCACCAGATACGCACCGGACACGGACAGCACACCAGACTACCAGAGGGCATCATGGCAGCATTTAGGGCCTACTATAGGGACCTATACAACCAAGCTAGGCCAGCTCAGGGGACAGAAGCCCAAAACCATCGTAGGAAGGTCACAGACTACCTAACGCGACACGTGACTCGCAAACTCACTCCGGAGCTCGCTGAGGAAATTGATGCTCCCCTAACCTTAGAGGAACTAGCCGCAGCCATGAAACGCTCCAAAACCCACAGGGCCCCGGGGCCGGACGGCCTCCCCCTCACATATTTAAGAACTTTCCGAGACGCCCTACTACCCCGACTTCTAGCAGGCCTGAACTCCTTACAGGACGGGGGGCGGTTCCCCAAGGACTCCCTGGCGGCGATAGTAACGGTTATCCCCAAAGACGGGAAAGATCCATCAAACTGCTCGAGCTATAGACCAATTTCCTTGCTAAATGCGGATCTGAAGCTATTTACCAAAGCTCTCTCCCTGAGGGTGTCACGGATCCTGCCGGATCTCATTCACCCAGATCAGGTGGGCTTTATTCCGGGCAGAGAGGCCAGGGACGACACGATACGAGCCCTGAACATCATACATTGCGCACGAACCTCGGGAAGGGACACAGTCCTCCTCTCTACAGACGCCGAAAAGGCGTTCGACAGGGTGGACTGGGTCTATTTGGACGAGACCCTAAGACACATGGGGTTTGGACCAAATGTACGAGCCTGGGTGTCGGCGTTATACTCCTATCCAACGGCACGGATCCGCATTAACGGAGCCCTAACGCAGACCTTCCCGATTGGCAATGGGACCCGGCAGGGTTGTCCCCTGTCCCCCCTCCTGTTTGCCCTCTCTCTTGAACCATTTCTGGAGGCGGTCAGACAGGACGGGGGCATAACGGGGGTGAAGGTGGGGTCTGAAGAGCACAGAGTGGCGGCCTATGCGGACGACATGCTCTTTTTCATGGAACAACCCAGGATATCCATGCCCAACCTCTTACAGGCGTTCCACACCTATCACCAAGTATCCAACCTAAAACTCAACGTTGAAAAGTCCGAAGCCATGCCGATAATGCAGGGAGAGGAGCGGGCCCGGCAGCTGGGCTCCCAGTTCGCCTTCTCCTGGTGCACAACCAAACTAAGGTACCTTGGTACCTGGCTGCCAGCGGACCTGACGCAGATATACAAGCTAAACTTTCTCCCTCTCCTCTCCGCAATCCAACAAGACCTTCAGCGGTGGACGCAGCGGTACGTATCCTGGTTTGGCCGTATTGGTGCGGTCAAAATGAACATACTCCCCAGGCTGTTATATCTCTTTGCGGCACTACCCACCAGGATCCCCCAGACGTTCTTCAACTCGGTGACAACAGCTATCCGTAGGTTTGTGTGGAACAACAGGCAGCCGCGCATCCGTAGGTCGATCCTGGAGAGACCGAAGGCGGCCGGGGGGACGGGGCTACCGTCAGTGATCTCATACTATAGGGCCACACACCTCCATAGGGTAGTAGACTGGCATGCGCGGCCAAGTACCAAACGATGGGTATCAATGGAACTGCAACAGACTCGGGGCACTGTCCCGTCGCAGCTCTGGCTGGGTGGGTATACCTACACAGACCTGCACACAAAAAACCCGGTGATAGACGCAACTCTCAAGGTGTGGTGCGGACTAAGATATGCCTACCAACTCACCACCTCCCCAAACCCGCTTACGCCTATTACTCACAACCCGAGGGTTGCAGGTGGCCTTCACCCGGTTGCTTTACGCAATTTCCAAAGAACAGATTGGCTCTATGTACGCCAGTGGAGTCCGGGGGGAACGCTGCAATCGCTGGGGGACTTATTGCCAGACGGGCAACCTACTGCTCTCGACAAATTCCACTATCACCAGGTTAGGTCCTACTATACCAAAATCCCGGGGAGAACTCAACTCCACCGTACACTTACGGAATTTGAACGCCTGTGCACAGACAGACGACATTTAACCCATGGGGTGTCACACTTATATACCCTGCTCCAGCAGTCAGGGGATAGTTGCCCACTAGGCTTCACGAGCAGATGGGAGGAGGAGACGGGTGCACAGCTGACGGACCAAGAATGGGACAAAATATTCCTCCTCACACATAAATGCTCAATTAGCTCGAAATTCCAGGAAACCAGCTACAAACTGTTAACACGATGGTACAGAACACCAGACACACTGAGGCACATACAGGAGACGGACACAGGCGATTGTTGGAGATGCGGATTAGAAAGGGGCACCAACCTACACATCTGGTGGTCATGCCCTAGTATCAAACCATACTGGCAAATGATCAAGGCAAAGATCAAGGAGATCACAGGGGACGACATCCCCCTACAGCCGCTGCCAATGCTTCTACACCATACACCCACCCCAACGCAGGCATACAAAAAGTCACTGACAATACACCTATTGAATGCAGCAAAGGCCCTCATTCCCCTGCAGTGGAAAGGTCCATCAGTTCCCACACTTAGACAATGGATAGACAAGGTGGAGACCATCTACGACATGGAGATCCTGACGGCCTCTATGCGAGAGCGCGCAGATAAGTGCGCCCTGACGTGGTATCCTTGGAGGCAGTATACCTCGAGAGACGGGGCATGAGTTGCGGGGCTGCGGAACCGACCTGAGGGGGGAGGTGTGTGGGGAGTGTGCTCTTTTCTTTTTTTTTTTTCTCTCTCTTCTCTTCTTCTTCTTTCTCTCTTTCCCTCCCTTTGTGTGTACTATCTCTCAACTTATACCCAGCACGGAGACCCTGAAGCAGACTGGCTTAGTCTGGAACATGCCCCGACGGACGCACTACCCCACAGTTCATGGACGACATACAGGACACGGACAGGCCATACTGACACAGCCGAAAAGGGGGGTCACCCTCCTAGACATAACGGCTTGGGTGGAGGCGACAGGTATAAGGCTGACCTCACAATCCTAGTGAGTAATTAGTTTGACTCCCCTTCTCTGAGGGGGAAGATTTAGAGCGCAACACGCCGAAACATGACTGACCACCTACAAGAGTTGACACTTAAACATTCTACATGCACCTCGGGGTGCACATGGGGACGCAGGGTTAAACAAAGCACAGCAATCACTTGTCAGGTTGACCGAAGGTTGACTGACCGTCATATTACCCAAGCCGCAGGCATGGATTAGTATGTAGACAACCTCCAGATTTCGATTGTAGAAAATATGAGCATTGTTCTGTTACTTGTTTATATATGTCTTGTACCAATTACCGACAGACCCTAAGCCGCGGGCAGGGGTTCGTATGTAGACAACCTCCAGATTTTGAGAGTAGAAAATATGAGCAGTGTTTCTGTTACTTGTTTTTTATATGTCTTGTACCATTTACCGTTTTACTTACCGTATGCCTACGGAACATTTGAAAAAATTACCTTCAATAAAAATGATTGACACAAAAAGACTCCATCAGCCCTTGCGAACAAGTGCATGCGTTAAAAAAAAGTAAATAATGAAGATTAACTAAGCAATAAAACAAACTAAAAAAAGAAAGGGAAAGAAAAAAATAAGATAAAATAAAGCATATGTGTATATGTAAGTAAAAAAAGGGGCAAAAAAACAAAAATATAAAAATTAATAAAGGGAAATAATAAAATAAATACAAAGCATAAAATAATGAAAAAATTAAATTAAAATAGAAAAAAATAATAAAGAAATACAAAAAAAGGAGCCAGAGAGCAACCAAAAATTGACATAGCCATCAAAAACACACCAAAAAATATACACATGCACACATCCGTATATCTCTCTCTCTCTCTCTCTCTCTCTCTATATATATATATATATATATATATATATATATATATATATATATATATATATATATATATATATATATATATATATATACACACACACACACATTCATACATACATATACGGATATAAATTAGGACACCTACTTTGTCAAATACCACTATACATAAAAAATGGGACCACATCATAATATGATTTTAAATATTCCATTTATAAAATAAAAACTTTTAAGTGCATTATAAAGATAATGAGTGTACTAATATATATATATATATAATCTCAATTTGTACAATGTCCAGATAAATAGGACCAAAGGTATATGAGAGAAAAGCTCCTACAATAAACAGTGTTATAATAAACACACTACACAAACATCCACTGCATCCACTAATCAAATACTCTCACTGCATACACTACACACACATATATTCTTGAAAACATAAAAAGTTCTGACTGGCATGTATATTATGTGCATTTACGTTAATAAAAAAAGACTAGCAAAAAATTTAATGAATAATAAACATGTTCAGTTAACAGTAGATTTGTGAAGAAATTGTTTATTTTTTCAAAATGCTAAATGTACAGAATATCCGTATCGGTAAGTAATCGGCTATCGGCCTGAAAGTTCACAGATTATCGGTATCGGCTCTAAAAAATCAATATCGGTCGATCCATAAATACAGTACACAGATATGCAGTATAAGTACTGGACCAGCTACATTCCAATGTCATGCAAACGGCACATTATATCTGTCTGATCAGCTGCATTCCAACTAGCACTTTGCGAGTACACTTTGTAAATGCCTGCTCTGTTTCTTAGCAGCCAATGGTTGTACAATACTCAAATGCAAATTGTAACTACCTGGCCAACCTACTGCATTACATTATGCAAAAAAAGATACACAGAATTGCTAGTCGACCTACTTAATGAACTGCACTCACTTTTGTTCAAGCCAAAATCAGAAGATATGACACTGAGAATGGGCAAGAATGTCATGTATTTCCCATCAGTTAACCTCTGAGTAGGTCTTCATCACGTTTTAGCTCACATGTGCCAATACAGAGAGAACCTATACCATTTACATAACTCATCCCACCCAAGTGGGTAATCTAGAATAGATCAGAAACGTTGGCAGTTTCACTCTGCACGAGAGACACCACAATCCCGGCCAACTTTTTTGGCGTTCATTGGCTCTCATCGGCTCTCATCATTGAAGTGTCAAGTGAAAGGAATGGGCAGGTGCTCCAAATTCCATATATTGGGAATTTATTGAGGATTACTAATGTGTTAATAATATAATATTTTAATTCTCAACAAATTGTCAATATATGGAACTTGGCGTGCCTGGTCATTCCTTTCAATTGATCACTGCTAGGAGTGTGGCTGCTACAGGCCATTGAACATACTGTTCCAGAGTTTGGTTAGCGTTTGTATTCTGTAAACATCATTGTGGTGTAGCTGATAGATACCCTACTAGGTAGAGTGAGCATGGAGTCTGGATTACCCTTTTAATGTTGGGCGACCATAAGCAAATGTATATGACTAAAAAATAGAAGTACCTTTTTGTATTTTCCATGCAGAGGGAACATGCGGACATTTTTGACCTAGAAGGCATTTATAGGTGGGATCGTGCTAATTTTCTATGTTCCCCATGTAGTGGCACAAGTGAGCCTAAACTTGTATGATACCTGAACGGGGGCTAACAGAAAGACAACCCACGGAGTTTTTCTAATTTTCAGTATTATAATAAGTTAGGTCTTATTTGCATTGACTTTTAGAGAAGCTGGTAGAGAATATTGAACGTCTCTCTTCTTCTTTTTGTACACAGGTGCCTATGGCACTCACTGAACACCTGTTTGAGGAAGGCCACATAGTCCTTTTATGAGACTGCTTCCTCTAAAAATGATGCTCTAACAAATGAAATAATAGCTTTGGTTAAATAGACTTCCTCTGTGCAAGCTGTGTTCTCTTTCTTCTTTCCAATGCCATTACACGCTCAGTCGGCATGATTTCTAATACTAGAACATTTCTTCTTACAGTAAGATCACTCTCTGCTTGGGAATATTATTCTTTGTCGATAGATTTTAGGATCTTGTTTACTCCCCACGCCCTATGTTCTAAGTGGCTCTGATGCCAAACTATTACTTGGAAAGAGAGAATGGGATTATGTTATCCACCTCCTAAAGATTTTCCCATTTTACAACCCCATATATACTAAATCAATATGTTCTTACTGCACTCATGACATGTCCTGGTAGTTTTCCATTGTATACCTTTTAGATGTTGTTCCAATAGATAACGTATTTTCTCTTGTAATGAAACATGAACTAAAGTTGTTGTTTTTTTCGTTTACTGCAAAACATATAGAAAACTATTTAGCATAAAAAAACAAATATTGCTTTGGTTAATAAAACATACAGAAAAGATAAAGCACACTTGCTGCTAAAGCAGTGGCACATTGTAACCGCGAAGATAAAATAAATCATAAATAGCAAAAACAATCTATTCTATCACATTTGAGAACATAGTACTTTTACACAACTGAAAAAATATTTATTGTTTAGTTTTATTTTTAATTTTTAGATCATTACATAATTTAGAATTGCAATTAAAGGAACACTATAACATTAGGAATATAAACCTTTATTCCTAATGCTATAGTGCTCCAGAATAGTGGGCCCCCACGTGTAATAAAATTAAGAAAATAAATATTTTACTTATGTGCTTTCCTCTCCACCTCCCGCAATAATGATAGTGATGGTCCAATCCAATGCTCATCATAGTGGATTGGGGACCGGATATGCATGCTCAGCGAGCTCTGCACGCGTATGCAGTGCCTCTCACAGTCAGTCAGTGCTGTGGAAGACACCCACTAGAAACGTGTTTAAACCTGCAATGTAAAAATGTATTATTAAAATTGCAATCCTTTACATTGCAGGGTTAAAATGACAAGATCATTGCACACAGCCAAATACTTGGAGATGAAGTGGTCTGGGTGACTTTAGTGGACATTTAAAACTGCCTTTGGAAATGCAAATTATATTTTCAGTTTCTTTATCAAGCAAGCTTTCCAAATGGCATACCAAAACAAGTTTTCGGGGTTTATTCACTGAACTATTAAGGACTAACAGATACTTTACATTCAGCTTCATCATTACACAGTACGATGACACTGGATGCAGCTAATGTATCCCCTTGAGGAGCATTAGATTCATTGCTACTGGATGAGAAGTACCAAATTGGCAAAATAAGGCTGTTGCTGTACATACACTATAGTTTCCTAATGCTTCTCCACATGGCCCAGGGTGGCCACACTTCACACAGCAGACAAAGTTCAGAATCAAGTACCACAATAACTATGATACTCACAATCAACTTTATAGGTTGATGGCTAAAGTAGTAATAATTACAAGTTACTGTAGTCTGATTGGGCTTAGACAGTGGTTCCCAAACTAGTCCTCAAGACACCCCTACCAGTCTAGGATTTAGGGATTACCCAGTTGCGACCAAGGTGGTGTTTGTTTTTTTAAAATGTTTCTAAAACACCTTACACACAACTGTGTAATCCCTAAATCCTGGACTGGTAGGGGTGCTCTGAGGACTGGTTTGGGAACCACTGGGTTAGAAGAAAAAATTCGAAATGAATAACTGCCTCTTGGAATCCCATAGATTTTGGCTGTGAGATCAGCAGTAGATTTTAAGATGCCTATAAGAATATGCAGTCCGGGACTGCATTTTTTTATACATGTTCCTAAATCAGATCTTTGTATGACAAACCTATTAAATAACCTCAACCTGTCAGCTCTGTGCCATATGCCAATTATAATTTCATGTCATCCAAAATGTATTTACATCTTTATCATTTGATAATTTAGAATATTTAGACAGTGTATTCAGATTTTCTCTTAAATACCCAGCAATTAAAAAAAAAGAAAGAAAAAAGATCTGAATATGTTTGAGCGTATTGAGCAAAGATAAATGAAAAGAGTGGAAAATGATGCACTACTAATCTTTGTAGCAACGTTTGCTGTTGTTACAATGATCGAAGAACATTCAATATGAGCCTTGCGACAGAAAAGAATAGCCAGGTGCATGCTGGGAAATGTTTTATTCTTAGAACAGACAATAGGTTTTATTATTACTGTGTTCTTTATAAGCGCTTAAAAACGGTAGAAACATTTTAAAAAGTTTTAATACAGTATATGGTGCCGACACCATGGAAACCATGCAACAGAATTTAATACCTACCTAGAAAATGCAAAAAAGCTTGCCTACATACAAACTCCAGCTGTTGAAATCCTGAAAAATAATGCAAAATATTTCCTTGTTTAATATTTTTATTTTTTTGTATATGAATACAATGTGGTTTTAAAAACAAGGATCAACATTTCTTGTCTATATTGTTTGGGTATATGTTTGGTCTGCAAATCTTTAATTTTATAGAGGCAAATATGTGATGGTTGTAATTTAACAAAGAGGCAAAGGTAAATTTAAGACCGTGAAAATATTTATTTTTACAGCATTTTAAAATAAAACGTATAGCTCGCAGTGTAAGCCACGATGCTCCTTAAATGTTAGCTGATTAGACTGGGATTAATCTTCTAGTTTGTGGATCTATTTAATATCGCCAGATGCTCAGGGTGAAAGACTTCAAGATTCCAAAGAGCCCACTCCACCAAGCCTTTCATGCCTCTGAACATTTGACAGTGTATTTACACTTGTAAATGATGGCACATTTCCTCTACAACACTAGAGCTTTGTGTAGTTATTACAATTAATTCAGGAAGTGCACTCACAGCATGGGAGGTGGAAGGGGGTGTAGATTACATAGTGCAAGGATGTCCCGCTTTTTGTTTTGAGCTAGTTATTTACTGTTTATTGACTAGCATGCAAATAATCATAAAATAGCCAGCCTCACAGCTGGGCACTGTGTTACACAATGGGCAGTGTACACTACAGTAGAGGGTTTTTTTAATCTCGAAACAAATATCTGATGCAAATTGACGGCTGGATTGCAAAATTTAAGGGAATATAACCACGTTGTTTCCTCTGTTTCTGCTATTTTTCCTGTTCAGTTACTGGTTTACAGTTTACATTTCACTTGCCAATTTGCCACAATTTATTACTCGGTGAATAACCCCCTTAATCGATACAATTATGATTGCATTACAAGAGCACAGTAGAAAAGACCTTAGGGGAGATGTATCAGGTTTGGGAACAAAGAGCTAGGACTGAGGGATATTCTATTGATTGGTTTCCAGACCAGTTGCTCAAGTCATAAGAAAAAATCCCACATGAAAATTGCCCACGGAAAAAACCCTAAATGTGTACAAGAAATATTGCTCACACTGAAAATGCTATGTTTACATTTGGGGTTAAGCCAGCCTCTAGTGGCTGTCTTCCGGACAGCCACTAGAGGAGCATCTGCGACGCTGGAGGCATTTAATGGACACTTTGAATGCGTGCGCGGCACTGCCGTGCATGCGCATTCCGCTCCGCTGACGTCAGACAGGGGAGCTGACGTCGGCAGGGGAGGAGAGGTAAGGGAGCCCGGCGGTGGAAGAAGGTGAGTAACTGAAGGGGTTCAGCACCACTGGAAGGGGACCCTGAGGGTGGGGGCACCCTCAGGGTACTATAGTGTCAAGAAAACCGATTTGTTTTCCTGACACTATAGTGATCCTTTAAAGGAACACTATAGTCACCCAAACAACTTTAGCTTAATGAAGCAGTTTTAGTGCATAGATCATGATTCTTAGGTTTCACTACTCAATTCACTGCCATGTAGGAGTTAAATCACTTTGTTTCTGTTAATGATTGACACAGCCTGCATGAAAAAAACTGATTTCACTTTCAATCAGATGTAATTTACCTTAAACTATTTTATCTCTTGCTCTCTTGCTCTGTAAATTGAGCTTTTTTTTTTTTTTTTTTCACCATTTTTCAGATAATAGAGAATAGATTAAGTTTGATGAACCAGTGAAAATGACTTTCATTCCAACAGACTCTGTCAATAATTTAAAAATATGAATTTTATTTGTTTGTCTGATTTACACCATTGATCTCAGGATGTTTACTGACCTCAAGTTACTTTATTTCCTTTTTTGTTAGCATCTTGTATTTTCTGTTAATTACGCTACACCATTTGGGATTTGGTCACTTAACAGTGAGTTGCAGTAGGTTGACAACTAAAATGCAAAATATAGGCCTCCAACTAAGCTTATTCTTTTCCAGTTCAGTTATTTTGCCTGGTACACACAACAATAATATGGATTGCCCTTGTTGTCTTATTGGGTGCAATTTTACCTTGAAATTACAATGCTATATTAAAAGGGACACTATAGTCACCAGAGCAACTACAGCTTGTTGTATTTGTTCTGGTGAATATAATCATTCCCAGCAGGCATTTTCATTCAAACACTGCCTTTTCAGAGAAATGTACCACTGCTGTTCAACAATTCCAAGCTCTGGATGGAGACACTGAATTTTCCTAAATGGCCAAGCTAGCATTTGGCCCTGCCACTGTCCTGCCTCATTGTTGATATAGGGAAAACATTGGATTGGCTAAAAATCATAAATTCTGGTGATGTCAGCAACGAGGCAGATTGGGGCGCCTAAAAGTAATCCGCCTTAAAGTTTTCTTACCTTTCAAGGGAATTAACAGGGGTACAAACACAAAGGTTCACAAGAGCAAAAACTGCTCGACTTATGGTGCAAAGACTTGCTCTGTCCTCATGTCCATTCTTTATATTGCCGCAGTAAAAATCCCAGTATTGGGGCATAATTGATACCTTGGAAGAAAACTGGCCATAACTGTCAGCATGGAGCACCATGGAAACTTATTTTAACTTGCTGAATATATTTAGTATAATGTGTGAGGTTTCAGATTAGGTTTTGGTTTTTGATAAAGGATGACGATCTGGTGTTTGGGTTTAGGTTAGAGTTACGATCTCACTGACCAGATGATAAACACACATTTAATATAAACTCACAAAATGAAGCCTTGTGCTCAAACTCCCACTACTCCTGGGCAGCAGCAATGACTATAGTATAATACATAAAAATGCACATTACATTTTGTATCACACAGCCATGTTACAGTGCTGCCTTCCACCCCATGTGTTCCCTATTACGGGTTAAAAAGTGTGTAGGGGTTTAGAAAAATACCCCTCTCTGTCTCATTAGAGATATCTTTACCTGAAGCTGAAAGAAGCAAGGTGAATTGTTAGTGTAGGACTCACGTAAGAGGTTTGCCTTGACATGGCAAGTGGGCTAACATTTCAATAGCCATTAGAGTGATTCTAAAAACCTTCAGTTATTTAAATGTGCATAGGGATTCGGGATAGTGCGCAAGTAACTGTTTTTTTTTTTTTATTGTACATTTAATATAACCCTGTATCAGTTTGTTCCGCATAATCAGTTGTGAATAGATATTGATCAATTGTAAATAAATCATAGTTAAGAGAACGCCTCTTGTGAACAGAAGAAATGGGGACATACTAAAAGGAATGACAGAGATGAATGGCAGTAGGGAAAGCTGGACATGAAATAAAAACATATAAATTGCTGTGGATTAAAACCCACGAAACGGACCACATAAATAATTACTGTGGGTATTCCCCAACCACAGTACCTTAATCTTCGAATCAGATTAAGGGAGATTATTGCTGTATTTTATAAAATGTCAATGGGGAACACAACCAAATGTCCATAGACATTAATGGAGAATAGAATAAAACCACAAAGCAAATCACATAAATAATTACTGTTGGTATTCCCTAACTACAAAAACAGGATTTGAAGATCAGATTAAGTGAAATGATTGCTGAATTCTATAGAATAACAAAGGGTTAATGACGCAAGCAATGAGACATTAATAAAAAAAAAAAAAAATTCAAAACATCTTTGAGAACTGAGCGGGGATTTACCGATGTAAACGCTTTTGAGATTTCTGTAAGCTTTTGCCCATTCTCAGAGTTCTCATCCAGATGTGGACCCCATTCTCACTGTGCCTAGAGGGGTATAAACAACACCTTGCTGACAAGGCCCAAAGAAGGTTGAATTGACCATCTGTGTTTGCAATATCTCTCGTGCAGGGTGAACTTGTCAGCATGTTGAATGTGTCGTTCACACTTTCTGTTTTAGTTAAGTAATATTATTGCTGCATTCTATGGAATGAGAGGGGTGAATGACACCACTGAATGTCCATAGACAGCAATGAAAAACAATTGTTGTGGAGTACAAACCACAAAACAGAGTGTGGGTACTGTGTGATACTGTGGGTATTCTCTAAAACATTGGCTCCCAAACCAGTCCTCATGGCCCACCGACAGTCCAGAATTTATGTATTTCCCTGTTTTATTTCAATGGAGATACTAACAAAACCTGGACTGTTGGTGGGTCTTGAGGACTGGGTTGGGAAACGCTGCTTTAAAGGCACTGACAGGTTCTGAGATGCAGTTTACGACAGATTATTGCTGCATTTTACGATAGATTATTGCTGTTGTTGTGTCTGAAAAACACTTTAGACACAACAGGGTAATCCATAAATCCTGGGCTGGTCGGGGTACTTGAGGACTGGGTTGGGATCCACTGGTTTAGAGCCACTAGCTGATGCTCTCAGCCAATGAGCTATACCTGCCCTGCAGGATTTATCTTAGAAGAGCGAACAATTGGCGAGTCGTGGTACTCCAGGCACCATAACCACTGCAGTGAGCTAATGTCTATGGACATTTGGTGGTATGATTCACCTTTGTCATCTCATTGAATGCAGCATCAATATCTCTTAAACTGAATCTCATAACCTGTAACTCTAGTTAGGAAATACCCAACATAATTCATTTTGTGGTCTGTCTTGTGGTTTTTAATCCACAGCAGTTGTATTCTTTATTCCATTAATGTCTAATGACATTTAGTTGTGTCATTCAACCCTTGTCATTAATTTAGAAAGTAGAAATAATCTACTTTAGTTAGGGAATACCCACAGTAATTATTAATATGGTCTGTTTTTTGGAATTGTGGAATTCACAGTAAATTGTTTCCATTAATGTCTATAGGTATTCGGTGGTATCATTCCCCATTGTCATTCCATAAATGTATCAATAATCTCACTTTATCTGAGTCTCAGAAACTGTGAATACTCACAGTAATTATTTGTGGTTTTTAATCTAAACAGTAGTTTGTTTGTTTTTTCATTTCTATGGACATTTGGTTGTGTCACTGGTTGCTGAAGTGCTTTATGGGTGAGGAATATCCTATTTTAACCCCAGTTTATAAAAGTGCCGATTTCTAGGGGAAATTAGCACTTTTATAAATACATTTTGGAACTCTTCTGAATGCATGCATTCATTCCTTGAGGGTATATCTACTAAACAGTGACTGTGATTTAAATTTTTTTTTTTTAAATCAGTCTGGAGTAGTCATTTAACCTCTGTCATTCTATAGAACAGGGGTAGGCAACCTACGGCACTAGTGCCATGCATGGCACTCGAGGTGCCTTTGCATGGCACTCAAGGCTGCTAGAGCCAAACAGACTCTGGCCTATCAGGAGTCCCAGTAAAACTTCAGATATCTGCTAATACAAAGAGGTGGTGAAGAACAATCCTCAATTTATGCATTGCAGCACGTAGAGGAAGTGATCTCAGAGCACTTCATTCCAGCACTTGTGATTGGGAATCCACACAGTAGTAGAGCAGCTCGCAGTTGTTGTTGCAGCTCCGGTCCTTGACCTGTACCTGGCCAACATGGTCCCCACTGGAACCCAGGGAAGCCACCCACACTGCTAGATATACACAGAAATGCAGAAAGACCCTCCCCTCATACAAATAATACGGACAGCCCACACACAAACATACACACAATCTGCACAAACATACACACAATCTGCACAAACGCAACACCACTAACAATCCACATACATGCACACAACCCCACATGCAGCCTCTCACATGCAATACCCCAAACAGCCCCCACACATACACACACTACTAAACACACAATGTGACATATCCATCCACACACACAATTCCACAAGCTGCCCCCATACACAGCCCCCATTCATATGTATCATACACGATACCACAATCTACTCATGAACATATACAATATAATAGCTCATATACGCACAAATACAACGATACAAAGCAATTACAGTATAAATAACACAAGCAGAATACGGCAGCATACACACCTCAATTTAAAAAAAAATAAAAATAGGACTGGCACGCTACGGGACATCACAATCCTATATCGGCACAGTGCTGCTAAAAGGTTGCCTACCCCTGCTATAGAAGGTACAATAATCTTTTTTGCAATAATTGATTTTTTTAATTTCATTGATGTGTGTGGGCTTTCCATTCTCGCATTCCCCACGTCATTCCTTTTAATACATTCCGTAGAAAAGACCCTTTATTATTATGAAATAAATCTAGGTGAACTGTGTGCCATCGAGACCTGCTGTTTTGGTGTTTTCTTTAAGTGGTTAGAATGCTATCACAGCGGGACTATACATTTCCCCTTCTAACGTGAGAAAAGGGAAGAAACACGTATACTCTTCCTCGTTTGCTATTGCATCGACCAGCTGAAATATTTCACTACAAAAGAGTTGATAGTAATTTTGTTTTTGCCTCAACTGTTGATAATGTAGTTAGTTTCCTTTTCGTCAGACATAGCTGGCACCTACTAAATTAAGTGGCTCTGTTATCAGAAATTGTTCCATTATGTGCAGTAAAAGCTGTCTACGTCTTGTATTGATAATTTCTAAACGCTGTCTGTACACTTTTTGACATCCATTACTGTCCATGGAGTTAAGTAAAGTAATTCAGTGTACACCATGTTCACACAATTTCTCAACATGGTCGGTTACATAATACAGCTTGGTTAGGTGAAATTATATTAGGCTACTACTCCTGGCCAACTACTGTGCTGTTCAGCTACTTTGCCAACAGACTTTTTGTACTTGATTTGTTGTGTTCATTTGCTTCCTTCTCTTTCACAATTTGACTATATAATCAGTTTGATGAATATTTAAATTTCTTTGAAATGTTGTTTTAAAAAAAAATAAAAAAATCTCCTCAGTGCCTTATCTCATCTCCTTTTAGGAGTCATTTTAACAAAGCCCCATGGACCTGTTTTGATTTCAATGTATTTGAATAAATGACAAAGTGGCCCTACAGTTTGTACTAGATGAATAACATTTGTGGAATTTTTCAGATTGAAAAGGAGTGTTTAGTTACACAAGCAGTTTAGGGGTGTAGTGCATCATTCATTCTCTCACAATAGCAAAAGGTTCAAATATATACAAAAATATGCAAAACCATTGTGTTAAACAATGATCCTATACAAAAGATATTGCAAACAAGCCATTTTATGAAAGCTGCCTGATCCATAGTTGGCAACAGTCCTTAATTTGGCAGAACAGTCCTGATAAATGATAAATCACCATAAAGTGTCATAAAGGTAATGCAGTGTGATGAAAGGCAGCTATAGGAAGATCCATGCATGCCAACTCGTCATTGACCGTATAGCTGTGACTGAATCTTTGTTTGAATCCATATAATGTGAGGCTGTGATGTAATGGGGTTTAGAATAATGTATCTGTCCATAAAGGAACACTGTAGTGTTAGGAATACAAACCTGCACTCCTAATACTATAGTGCCCCCCCCCCCCCTAACTCTATACACAACCCCCTCTGTGTGCAATACAAATTAGTTTAACAAAAGTTTTGCCTACCTTTTTCTGCTCACCTCTCTGCCGCCCATGGCGTCATGGAGAAAGCATGGCCTGCTCCGCAGTGAACCAATCTAATGCTCCTCATGTGCATGGATGTGCACCACACTCACATCCAAGTTTCTCCATAGTAAAGCATTGCATTGGCTTCCGCATCATGTGACCGAGATTTTGAATGAATAAAGGATAGTAAAAAAAAAAAAAAAGAAATCGAAGAATTCCTGTAAAGGCAAACTACAGTCCAGAAATTGCCCCCTCTTAGTATTTGATCTATTATGGAGAGAATTCATAAGTATATGGAAAAAATAAACTTGAAAATAAGAGAAAAATCCTAGTAACAACTCATTTTCCCTTGTTTGTTGAATATATACATCTTCACTAGGGATCTGAAAATGGCTGAATATTATCACTCCTGGGGACTTCTGAGCATATCACATAAACCTCATCCAGCAGCGATTTATGGTGTATGTCCTGCAGTCCTTGGCAGTTTGACTCCAAGTAATGTGAAAAAAAGATGCTACTATACTATTGGATACGATACTATAGGCAACCTTCGACACTCCAGATGTTTTGGATTACAAATCCCATCATGCTTTGCCAGCATTATTAAAATGTAAAGCCAAAGTAACCAAATTAGAAGCATAGCGGACATCATGGAGAATTTTTCCAGTTTAACTATTTGTCCTTAAATTAAAAAATCACTTTGGAATTCACTTTGAATTTTTGACACAATAGGTCGGAGACGAAAAGAAGAGGGGGAAAAAAAAGTAGGATGAATTATGCCTAGAAATCAACAAAACTGGTTCACACATATATTGCCCACTTTTTATTTTAAAAGACTATTGAGGTTGTGTTAGTCATTTGGAACTCGGTAAAATCTGCGATTTTCAAGGCTAATTTTTACTTGTCTTTTTTCACATAGTCTATTTCTCTGGGTCATATTATGGTATGGATATAAAAAATGCAACAGCAAATTCACTAAACATTGAATTGTGGGGAGCTTCCAGGCAGATTGTTCACCGCCAGTGAGCTAAGACAGAAAACGTTGCTGAATTCTTTGTTTATCCAATTTGGCGTTTTAACCTTTAAGGCTTAAAATTAATCCCTTCATTCATTCAAAGTGGTTATGGTGTTACTCCATCTCTGGCATCATCATTAGCCAGCCCAGAACAAAGTTGGGGGGCGGACAACATCAGAAACAGAGACTAACCAAAACCAGTGTTTTCTAAACCGTTTTTTTGATTGGAGCAACTCTTTAATATATTGTGTTGCTTTTCACTTACCTATTGCTCTGCTCTTAGTGATGAGACTTGTAAAACGATCAGTTGTTTTTCTGTATTTTTCTTACATTTTACGAGGAATTTAATCATAAAACTGAGGTTTTGTTTTTTTTAGTCTTAAGCACTGATATTTACAATACACTCTAGACTCGTGCCATTGTTAAAGTGTGTGTGTGTTTCGAATGAAAGGGGAAGCTGTGAAGCTGATTTAGAATTTCTGAGAACCTAGTTCCATCCCAAACATTTATACTGTGAGCTCTGTGAAATTGTACGATAGAGTTACCTTATGTTCTTATTCTTTACAGACAATTACACACCTTTCCTGTGTTAACAAAAAACAGCCATGGGATTTGGAACAGAGTTTAACTGTTCCACCGGACACAATGCATTGTTGCGCCTCCAAGATACTGAACTCAAACTGATGGACTCCATGAAAAAATGGCTTGCACAGCGTTCAAAGAGTGACAAAGAGTATGCTTCACTACTGCACCAGATGATCAGTCTGGTGGAAAAGCAGGAACAATCTTCACCCCCTGGGCTATCTGACTACTCAAGCCAGCTCAGCCAGGTAAGTAAACCATGTGCAATAGGTTCTAGTCCAGGGGTTTCGAAATACAGACCACCAGTTTCTAATAATGGGAGTTGTAGTCCAAGAATAGTAGAATTGGGGAACATTGTGTTTAATTTGTCTTTTGAAATGTTTGTTTTTATTATTGCAACACTATAAGGTTGCAACAACTGAAAACAGCACACATCATTACAGTGCTGAGCAGTGTAGTGGTCCATGCTGTAGATTTAGGGGGTTTTGGGACACAGGCAGGGATTATTTACTAAAGTGGGAATTCAAAGTGAATTTCAGCTTCAAGGCCAAAGTAGCTGAGCTGAAACATAGCTGAGAATTGTGAGAGACTGGGTCCAGTTCGGCTGTTTTTACCTTGAATTTGACATTCACGTTAAAGGGACACTATAGTCACCCAGACCACTTCAGCTCAATAAAGTGATCTGGGTGCCAGGTCCCTCCAGGTTTTAACCCTTCAGATGTAAACATAGCAGTTTCAGAGAAACTGCTATGTTTACATAGCAGGGTTTATCCAACTTCTAGTGGCTGTCTTCCGGACAGCCGCTGGAGGCGCTTCTGCGGTGCAGAACGTCCATATGAAAGCATTGAGAAATGCTTTCCTATGGACTGTTTGAATGCGCCACTTGCTGCGCATTCCGCTCCATTCGGGAGTTGACTTCGGCGGAGAGGTCACCAGCGCCGAGGGAGCCCGGCCCTGGATTAAGGTAAGTGGCTGAAGGGGTTTTAACCCCTTCAGTGCCAAGGGAGGGGGACCCTGAGTGATCCTTTAAATTGACTTTAAATTCTCATTTTGGTAACTAGCTCTGAGGTTGTTTAGTATTGGGGAAACTTAGGGTGACAGGGTTAGGATTAAGGAGATCTTACGTTTGGGGGGGACCTTGATTTGTCTAGGTCAATAACTTTGTGTAGATAAAAACACCCGTGTTTAGCAAGTCTATTCTTACAGTTGTCAATTCAATACTGTATATTTGGTCATTATAAGTAAAACATTTTATTTTTTAATATACCGAGTAATTTTGTGTTTATGTGTATGCATATTATAGATCACAAAATACAAAAGGCAAATCTGTTCTTATATTTTAAACAGATTGGCACCTAATGAGGAAATTTCAGATCAAATGTGAAAAACAAACTCCCTACGTGTTATACAGCTATAACTATAAAATATACTGTCTGTGTTATTCTGATAAATAAAAATGTAGTAGTTAATGCCATTGCTGTAACTGCATTTTAATGACATCACAGCAGGTTTATTTCCACCAGTGAGAAAAGTAATTAGCCATTTTGGCACTAGGCTTAAAAAAAGAATTTTCAGTGTCTTGCACTCTGCGTGTTAGCGACATCAGAACACATACTAATACTATGTTTTAATGGAATTCCTGAATATGTCCAGGTGATCATGATGTCATAGTAATGTGCAACAGGTGTAATACATTGCAAAATATTAATTCCTGTTATGGGAACATCTTTAGTGTTATTGGACTGATTATCACTTATTTTTTTTTTATATCATTTATTGAGAATTTTCAGTAGTATAAGTACAAACAATATTAGTATCCACTGCAGTGATGAAACAATTCCAGATATATATACAATATATTCAAAATAAACTATACAGTTGGCGAGGGAACTTAAGCGTAACCTTAAACAGGATTTGGCAAAAAAGGGGATTAGGGACTAGGGGTCAAGTGGTATCCATGGGAGAGGGTGACACAGGAGGCTAAAGGCAAGCCCAGTATTAGTCCAAAGTTTTCCATATTTTTTTTAATTTGCGCGAGGAGCCTAAAGTTATGTAAGGCATCTCTTTGTATTTGTAAGTGGTTTGTAGAGTGTCAGAGATTGATCATGTTAGGGGAGTCACTAGAGTCCTCCGATGTATGGCTAAATTAGGGGTTTTTTTTTTGCAACTAGAATATGTAAGATCAGTTGTTTACCCCATGCGTAGATCATTGGGGAGCTTTTCTTGTAATAAAACTTGAGGAAGCCAAAGAAGTGTGTGCCCTGTGACTTCGGCAATGAGTCTTTGGACCATCCTCCAATATGTGGAGATTTTATTACAATTCCAGGAGATATGTAGCAGTGTTCCGGTGTATGATTTACATTTCCAGCAGATTGGCGAGGTAGATGTGAGAAAAGCAAGTTAGCACCATGTACCAACGAAAGAAAATTTCTGCTTGTCTCCCAATGAGAGTAGCACTTGGAGACTCTGATGAATTTGTTGCCTCATCGCGCCATACTTCAGGTGAGAAAGTCTGTTGAAGGTCAGATTCCTATTGTGTGGCATGTCGGCTTTTCAGGACTCTCTTATGTAAGGAGAATGTTGTAGCATGTAGATAATGGTTTAAGATAAATATCCCACCCAGAGCCTTTGGAAATGTGTCATATGTGATGGGAGAACTTTGAAGAATACTGTTGAGACGTAGGTAGGTAAAGATATCTGCCGGAACCTTGGGATTTCACTTAAAACATGACCTGGTGAGAAGGAAACCATAGTCTGTAAACTCCGTTTTGCTGTGGTTTGAGTGTAAAAGCGCATATGTGGGTCTACAGAATAGTATGGCAGTCTAAAATATATACAGAGGTCTATACAAATAAACTAAACAGTTATACAAACAAAAGAAAAAAATCAAATTGCTAAATAAATATAGAGGCTGTTAATTGTTTTTATTTTAAAAATTTTTTACTTTTGACTTCTAAGGGCATGAGTTAATTGATGACCTACAATCTAACCAAGCAGATATGCAAACAAACAAAATGTTTAAGAATTTTTGTTGAGACACTTCCCTGTGCGTGAAACATTTTATGGTTCTTAGTGAATTATCCAATGATAAACAGTGAAACTGTTTTAATGGTATTTGCTGAATCATTGATTGCAACAAAGGAAAGAAGACATAGGTTGGTACTTGACTTATTTGATTAGATTAGTAACAGGGCTTTAAACACTTTAAATTATTATACATTAGATACATATAAAAGTTGTATATTTACAGTGAGTAGAGAATTAACATATATGAATTAAAAAAAAAAAAACACCTGCTATTGTTTTTTTTTAACTTTTCTTTTTCTGCAAGTTTCTCATCTGTAGCATAAGGGTCATAACCGCATTAGTTGCCCCTCTTTCATAGATGTCTAGAAATGAGAGTATCATAGAATGTCTAGAACTCTTCAGAGCAGTGTAATCAATCCCCAGAAGAAGGGTACCCACCACATCCTTGGAAATTGTCCTTCAGTTCTCCAGTATGATGGACAGCCAGCAATTCACTTGAGGAATCCTACAGTGTGCCAAGATAATAAGTTGTGAAGGGTATTCTCTGGTATTAGAGAAGACGGGGATTCCACGGATTGTTTCTGCGTCTTCAACAAATGAATTTTTTTGCATAATTTAGGCCCGGTTAACCTCAACTGACATTACCCTGTCTACTCCTTTGTTATGGGCACGGGGCAGAGCAAAGTTCGAACATCTGGGATTTAAGGTGGTGTGTGCTTTTCCCTAGCTGTTACAAAATACAGTGGATGTTAGACGTGATTTCCAGAAAGTCAGCTTGTAGAGGAGTAGATAGTAGGTCTTGGTAGATCAGGTGGATTTTGCACCTGATGCTAGATATACACTTTGAGAAAGACCGGTTCGGGTCGAAACGCGTCAGTGTGTGTGGACTTTCTATTTTATTTATTTAGCTTATGTTGTATATTTTCCGTGTATTTTATCCAGTAAATTTTATTTTACCTTTACCACTTTGGATACCTTCATACTTCTTGCTGTACCGGAAAGGAGACACCACAGCAGTGAATCCTACAGCCAGAATAAGCTAATTATTCATCTGCCATCAAAGCCACAGCCTGCTTGTTGTGGCTCAGGAATGTGTGAGTGACCCATTACATCTGCAATAGATCTATATTGGTTGAAATAACAGTATTATGCTATGATTGTTTTTATGTTATTTTTTTCAGAAAGATCAGTAGGCTCCACACTCATAAGTATACATTTCATAAATTGTTGTGTATTTCTGCACCCCCCATTATTCATCACCTTTTCTAATACACTTGGTGCCATTTGAGTGATTTTAGGCACTGGGGGTAGTTGCACTTATTCTTATACGTTAAGCGCCAATCCACTGCTATTTTATCCTGTACGGATTTAATACTTCTGTACATGCAATTGATATATAAACTTTACTATTCTCCTACTCCCATCCCTATCATCCTCAGCCTTTATCCCATCCAGTCCACCTTAGAGTCTCCCCATCTGCCAATATGCAGAGCCTTTAATTGTGGCACTTTTTAATGGGTTCAAGTTGTATATTCCTGTGCCATAATATTTAATACAATTAATCTAATTGTAGAAATATTCTAATAATATATTAGTTGTATATTTTTTAAGGGATCCTTTTGTGTCCGCTAGGATTTTATATCCAGTGGACATTTATGTACTTCTCTATTCACTATATTTGAGGGGTTTTCCATTTTAGGTTCCCTTTTAAACACCAATAGTCCCTCTTTGGGATACTTTGTATTTTCAATTTATACCAATTAAAGAATAAGTCCCTGTATTATTTTAAACTTGAAGATTGGATTATCTAGAATGTAAGAACCTGTACACGTTCTTAATAAGAATGATTCGTTTTTCCATGCCAAACATTCTGAGCTCTATACACAGTATCCAGATAGGCTATGGAAGAGCAATACGAGTCTTAAAACCTTGCAAAGTATTTTCATTTTTTATTTTGGTGCCCTACATTTTACCTGCGAAATGTGGGCAAACTGGTTGATCAACATTTTTCATTATGCATTTAGTCATGACAGGGCTGCTGGCAAGGAGGTTGTGGACTGCAACCTCAAACCATTCTTCTGAAAATTTGAATATCAAGAGGTGCGTGTCAGGTTCGTCAGGAGACCCTCAGTAAGATGAGAGACAGCAATCCTGACAAGGCAATGAACGAAAGTTAGAATAGGGTGTATTATTAAACCCTAGACTGGCTGCACTTAAAGCGGCACTGTCATGGCCGAATACAGTTTGTTTGTTTTTTTTAACCCCCCTCCCTACTCCACTACATCTAATTGTCCCCTAGTCACCCAAAAATGTTCCTAAGGTCCTGGGCGCTGCCATATTTGTGTGGGTAGGTGAAGTCCCTGTGGGACACGTCATCTGCCCACACTAGATAGCGCTGTAAAAATTCCTGTGCATGCCCAGTTTAGCACTTGGGCATTCGCTACAGGAATTTCATCTATACATTTGTCAGAAATGAATGAAAATTTCAGAGGAACAATCGGTGTTTGTTTGTTCGTTCATTTAGTTTATTACGAGAGAGCTACCGGCGCGCAGCTCCCTCCTTGTAAAATTGTAAAAATAGAAGCGGCAGAGAGCAGTGCTCCCGCCACTTCCTAAGCCCCTAAATGTCCTCCCTCACTCTATGAGGGTCAATATGACCCCCATATTAGCATAAGGGAGATTGAAATCTCCCGAATGCCCCTACTCGCTATGCCGCGAGTAGGGGAATGTCTACTAAACAGTTAGCAGCATGTGGCTGCTCACTGTTGTAAGCCCCCCCCCCCTTCCAACAAGTAGCCCCATGGTGTCCCCGCAGCTCCCACCCGTGCCCCGCGAGTGGGGGCTGTGCAAATAAATGGGGGACATAGGTTGAGCGGTGGTTGGGGGCCCTAAAAGACAATGGTGGGAACTAGGGTTGCCACATTTTTTGTGGAAAAATACCGGCCATTATAATTTGTATAACTGTATATGCATGACATCACAGGGCACGACATACATAAAAGAATGAGAACATTTGGAAGTAGAAAATTCCCAAATTTACTAATAAACTACTTACAATGTTTGTACTTTGTGTGTGTGTGTGTGTGTCTACAATGTCTGTGTTATTTTATAGTGTGTGTGTGTGTGTGTATATAGCAATGTGTGTACATACCATTTATAACAGAGATGGATATTCTACAGAGACTGCTGAATAAACATACAGACACAGACTGCTGTATACATACATACTTCTGAATATACATGCATACACACACAGACTGCTGAATACACACACAGACTGCTGAGTACACGCAGAGACTGCTGAATACATAGAGACTGCTGTACACACACACACACACACACAGACACACAGACTGCTGGATACACACACAGACTGACTGCTGAACACACACACACACAGACTGCTGAACACACACACACACACACAGACTGCTGAACACACGTACACACAGACTGATGAATTCACACACATAGATTGCTGAGTACACACACAGACTGCTGCATACACAAAGACAAAGACAGCTGAATACAGACACACACTGACTGCTGAGTACATACACACACACACAGATTGCTGAGTGCACACACAGACTGCTAAATACAGACACACACTGACTGAGTACACACACACACACAGATTGCTGAGTGCACACACAGACTGCTGAATACAGACACACACTGACTGCTGAGTACACACACACACACACATACTGATTACTGAATACAGATACACACAGACTGCTGAATACACACACAGATTGCTGAGTACACACACACAGACTGCTGAGCACACACAGACTGCTAAGCACACACACAGATTCCGGATTACACACACAGATTCCTGATTACACACACAGATTGCTCAACACACGTACACACAGACTGCTGTACTTACACACACAGACTGCTGAACACACACCCACAGATTGCCGAGTACATACACACACACAGACTGCTGCATACATGGACACAGACTGCTGAATACAGACACACACTGACTGCTGCTTACATACACACACAGATTGCTGAGTACACACACAGACTGCTGCATACACATAGACACAGACTGCTGAGTACACACAGACTGCTGAATACAGACACACTGACTGCTGAGTACGCACACACTGATTGCTGAATACAGACACACACAGACTGCTGAGTACACACACACATATTGCCAAGTACACACACACATACTGCTGAATACAGACACACATACTGCTGAATACAGACACACACAGATTGATGAGTACACACACACAGAGACTGCTGAGTACACACACACACAGACTGCTGAACACACACACACACAGATTGCGGAGTACACACACACATCCAAATTGCTGAGTATATACAAACTGCTGCATATACACACACAAGTACCTGCTCTCAAGACACAGCTCCTACTGCCATGCTTCCATCTCCTTGACCTACAGCTTCTGCTCCTCCCATGAGGACTCTATCAGTGGAGAGGGCAGGGACAAGCTGAGATATCCCATCTCAGTCCTCTCCACACACCCAAGCACCAACAAGTTTTCTTAGTACGGCCTGAGAGTACTGCACACCCTGAAGGCCAGTGCCGATATTGCAGAACAATCTCTTCAAAGAAAAATATTTTTGCAATATCTGCACTGGTCACAGTGCATCAAATACCAGTAAAATACCAGTAAAATACAAGCCAGGTGGCAACTCTAGCCCGGAGAACCTATTGTTACCCCCTGCCCGGCCTCTGCCCATTTTCATTTAGGGCCCCCACCTGCCGCTCATGGGTGGGGGCCGGTGGGAAGACAATAGGTTCTCCCCCCCCCCCATTTTAATTTAGGGCCCACACCCGCCGCTAAAGTTGTCTGAAAGATCAATCTTGGTCTCTCAGTCTTTTGGTAGATAGCTCCCTAATACCGTGGGGGGCCCTGAGGTGACCGGCTGCTGGGCCCCCCAGGAGAAGAGGCTGGCCATAGTGGGTACATACCCTGCGACCCAGTATGTACACCACTGAATGTGGGGCCCGGATGACCTGAGCAGTCCGGGCCCCCCAGGACCGCCGGGCCCATGACAACAAATGTTTGCTTTTTTATTTATTTTTATTTTTTGGTATTTGCAATTTACTTTAGTTTGATATTGAGGACATACTAAAATTCCTCTAAATTGAGCAATGTGTATGTTCAGAAAATGACAGCTCAATAAGTAGAGTATACTTTTATACATTTTTAAACTGAATTCCTGGGAAAAATCTTATTTTTTTGTGTGCATTCTTTCCCCATAACTGCTCATTATAAGTGCATCTAATCTGTTCCCTACCTCTTTGTATCTTTGGCAAAGCAGCCCTCCTCAGTCAGCTTAACCTCACACTTTACATTTTACACCTAGCATATACAATGCAACTAGCTTGTTTATCTTCTCTTACTATTTTAAAGTAAGTGGTTCAGCCTGTTTCCTTTACCTCATGTTTAAAACACATAACGTCACTTGTCATGCATAGCACAAACTTTCCAGATCCTCTCCTGACACACACTCATTTATACTATTGTACTTAAAACACAGAAACTGTGGGGGCGGGGCTTGAGCCTCATGGCGGCCGGAAATGCTTTGGCTGAGCTCCGGGCCTGATCTCCCTTCTAAGTTAACTTTTATGCTAAACAGCCCACTTCAAAGCCTAAAACCGGAACTTACCTGTCCCAGGAGCCGGTAGCTGAACCCTGAGCCGGCCGATTTGTTATTGTTCCGTGCTAATTGCGGTAATCTAGGAGAGGCCTGGTGGAGTTGCTCGGCGGGAGAGGCGGCCGCTCTCCCGACCTGAGGACCGCTACACCTTCAAGCATTAACCTCATAGCCCCGTTTCTCCCCCCCTCTGGACCGGGGGGGTTATCCCAAGCCCCACTGACAAGAAGCTTGCACCATCGCAGCGGCAACACTCACTTAGCCCAAAAGGGCACTATCACGCAAAATGGCGTCTGAACTCAGCACCACTATGCCTAAGCCTTCGTCTGTTCTGGGACACTCGCATGCCGCTGATTACCTTATGCAGAGGCTCGACGACATCTTTGAGCGCTTCTGGAAAACATTGGAGGCACGCCAGTCAGCTACTGCAGAACAGAACCTAGAAGGGAACTGGAGAAGAGAGAGACCGGCAGTATGTGGGCCTTTTCAGGGTGATCAACCTAATCGAGCAGACATACCTACAACCACATGTCACACTCACACTACTCAACCGCAGGACTCTGCTACACTGCATCATAAGAGTACACAGTGGACAGCCAGACAAAAGGTGAGCAGATCCCCCTCGGGCAGAACCCTCAACACGGGAACCACCTTCACTTACAGTAACCCACCTGGGTCGAAGGCCACCAGGGGCACAACCCTACAGCATCACCCGCTCAGACTCTGTACCCCCCGAAAGGGGAAGTACTGGGACTCTAGAGGCCTCCCGGCCTGCAGCCCGCAGATGCCAGCCTATAAGAAATCCTCCGACCAGCGAAGCGCAATCCCGCACTCAAGGTCTCATGCAGGCAGCCACGAAGCTCACCGGGATGCAGCATAGATTTCTACCGGCAAAAGACACAGACAGACAGAGAGCCCCTCCAGGGCCCATCGGAGATGGAATCTTACCGAGGCACCAACTCTGCTACTATCCCTGGCCCACCTGTCAAGCCTCCAGAGCCGGCATCGGCTGATCAGAGTGGACTGAACCAGAAATGTTTGATACCTCATGGTTTGTTTTTTTCTCTTCTTGCTCTCTCTAATCACACATGTTTTCTCTTATTATTTGTTGCCTTCACGACCCAGTGGCATTAAGCTCAGGCACACTGACACAGCCTGTATACTATGAATGTGTGTAGCTTACAGCATATAGAGCCTGAACACCTATATTCTATAAAACCATATCCCATGTCTAAACCCTGTTAGATAGGTACACATCCCAAGCTGCACTAGAAATGTAGAAATGTATAAGTTTGTGCCTAGACACTATGTCCGCGTCTTCAAAAATTGGGCAAGCTAGTTTGGTATCTGCAGCACTTCTATAGTCTCTCTCAGGATTCAGCCTGTTTACTTATAACATAAAAATGTGCAGTTCTTAACTTGCCATGACACTGTAATTACTTGTGATATTGCATTATGCTTGTCAACGCCGTCGTGGCATCACAAGCCTGTATGTTATTCCATGCACTAAAAAATAAAGAATTTAAAAAAAAAACACAGAAACTGTGCAATTTCATAGAATCCACACTAAAGTTGCCTATTATATGTTACACTTGTACATGCTGAAATTACTGTGGCAAGGAAAACTTGTATTGTTATATGCGCACAACAAAAATAAATAAATAATAATCTGTTCCCTAATTCCGATTTGATGCCTCCACTAGGGCTGGAAAGCCATTCTATCTATATACCTCCTGTCATGATAGCGAGGTCGCGAGACATTGTATCAGCTGTCAGTAAATGGGGAACAAACAGGGTTTCCCTTACATTGTACGTTAATTTGTAGATTTGAATTTCAATGAAAGAAAAACATCAATGTTGATTTAGGTAGTGAGGTCAAAGTTCGAATTTACTTTCAGGAATGTTATTTTTTTTTATTTGCATAAAGTCATGGTACAGATATCACTGTTTTGGATACACCGAATATTGAGAAGTAACAATTATCTGTATGCGTCAAATACATGGGAAACAAGAATTTGCTGCTAACAATTGAGGAATGTTATTTTAGTTCTAGTTGGCAGACACACTGTCTACATCAGCATTTAGAATCTTGCTGATTTCATGAATTGATTATTTCATATACAGGTAGATGGCTAAATGCTGGGTTCCTTCTATGACCAACACATCATTGTTGTTAAACCTCTGGAGTGCCATGGTAATCCATAGTCAATAGGTTACAAGTGAAATAGTTATTTAAAAAGTTTAAAGTAAACTTTATTATTTTAGGGAACTAAATGTTACTTTAAATAAGAACTTCATAAAAATTGGAGCCAGATGGCCATACTCACATATGTGTATATTAACATTTTTTGGGTGTTTTTCTTTACTAGCCTAAGAAGGGATAAATCTATAGAGTTTTCACTTCACATGATGATATATTTGTGTGTGTGTATATATATATATATATATATATATATGTGTGTATATGTATACATGGCCATTATCAGGGGTGGGGGTACAAGCTATACATGTGTAGAGGGCCTAAACTCCGACCAGTGAGCAGGGCACTAAGCAGTCCGATTCTAGAGATATACATATCTCCTCTAGCAGGAGTGCATTCTGATCGTGAGGCTGATCAGGTCTCTTCACCTCATTCCTATCCTGCGTGGTATCAGGGGGAGGAAGTGATGTCAGATAACTTTATCTCCGCAAGAGAAGAAAGCCGCATGGGAGGTAAGAGAAGGCACGTGCTGAGCCACTGAATACCAGGGAAGCCACCCTTCTCCAGCACAAAGATAGGCAAAGTGGAGCATGTCTCAGATAGAGCTTAGCTGGGTATAAGATTTTTATCAGTATCTGTGTGTGTCAGACTTTTTATATGTATGCAGTGGACCTGTGTGTATGTGTGGCACTATATATTTGTGTGTGGCAGTGTAAACTCTGGCAGTTTGGATCACATGTGTGGCAGTGTATATCTGTAGTTGCATGTATGTGTTTGTTTGTGGAAGTGTGTTTCTGTATGTGCATGTGTGTATCTGTATCTTGAAATGTGAGTGGGTGAGACTGGGAATGTGCAACTTTGTGTGTGTGAAAATGTGTGTGTGTGTGTATGTGTATATGTATATATATATATATATATATATATATATATATATATATATATATATAGAAGGGTGTGTTCGCATGCATTTGTTTCTAAAAGAGTAAGTTGGGAGGGCGCCTGAGCTCTCGTACTCCAACCCAGTACCTCCGCCAAGTACGCTTCTTAGCCACTTTCAGGGACGCTGGAACACTTCAGCCGCAGGGGTCTCTCCAGAGCTCTTCCACCTGACCAGGCTTCAACCTTTTCCTTCCAGGCTGGTATTGTCCCCTCTATCTACTTGTCTGCAGCTCTCCATCCAGGTAGGTATCTACACTTCTGCCTGCAGTGGCTCTCAGGCATAGCTCTTTTGATTTTGTCCCATGCTACAGTGACTATGCAGGCAACCAACAGGTCCAAAGACTCTGTTACCGGAATCCCTGAACAAAATTGGCACACAGTTCTAAAAGGAACTAGCATACAATACTTTATTTTGAACTATGATTGGCATTTGCTGACTAGTCCTTAAGTAACAGAGGGCCTGAAAGAATCCCCTTTTTAAAACAAGAAGGTGTCCGTTACAATATACACTTTTTAGACTTTTTGGAATATTTCTTGGAAACCTGAAATACAGACAGGGAAAACTTAATATGTAGCAGGAGGTACATCTTCAGTGCAGAACTTCCACATGAATTAAACACCTCAAAGATAAAAATAGAGACATACAATAGCGCAGGATGTATGATACAATAAAAATATACATCCTACCGAGAAAATCATTTATGCCCACTCACATGGTCTTGAGCCTGGAATACAGCTCTGTTTTTGTGCCTTAGAATCTTTATGGGAGACACCTGCCCTTCTTCCTTCCCCCCATAAAGACTCCAAGGCGCTAAAATAGAGCTGAATTCCAGGCTCTAGTCCATGTGAGTGGACACCTACAATGGATTCTTTTTGTGGGATATATCTTTTCATTGCACTATTGAGTGTCTCTATTTTTGTCTTTGAGGTTTTTAATTCCCGTGGAAGTTCTAATATTGCTAAAGTGTCAGTACTTTATTGGTGGTACTGACATTGAACGAACTTATACAATATTTTGTGCATTTTAAACTTTTTTCTGTGTTTTTTTGCACATTTATTACACCTACTTTATTACACCTACTTTGCAACTGTTAAGCACTTTATAACTTTATTACAAGGCCATTTGTTCATTAATGTGCTTTAATTGTTAAAAGTGATTTGAAGCGCCTTTTTATACTTTGCATTTTTGTTATATTATAAATGATATATTATCACAAGAGAGTTCATTAGTAGAATGGGATACCCAACACTTTTAACAGATGTTTTATTTTTCTTAACTTTCTTACACAGCGAATAAGATGATCCTAAAAGGTACACCAAATATTTTGGGGTGAATTCGTCCCTCCCAAGTCCCTCAGTACCTACACATATGCCAGAAGGGAATTCCTATTACCATGTCTTGCCACTGTTAGAAAACAAGGGATTTGGGGATTTTTCTTATATTTGTCCTTATAATTAAATGTTCAATATATCCAAATTAAAGAGTTTTAATAGTCATCCTATATTTGACGCTAAAAAACCCTATACAGTGGAATATTTGTACATTGATTATGGGGTGTGCTTTATTCATCCTATTAGTTCCTTACTGCCAGGAAGTACATCAAGATGAAGACTCTAAGTCTTGCTACACTGACATTTTCACTTCCATGGAACTTCTATGGAACACAAACATCAGCTGAGTGCTTCAAATTACACACAAATCAGAGAATTCAGTTCCAGCTTACTAAAGTGATGCAATAAATAATAATTTATATACTCCAAAATACTTTTTTAAACATGTGTTTTAATGCAATTCTCCAAATATAGATTGTAGTTTGCATAATATGCTGTTAGTGTACAAAACCATGCAAACCCACGCATGCTTAAACTCCTTCACTGTGTTAACCTCTACCACTTCAGCTGGAAGGCTATTCCATGCATCCACTACCCTCTCAGTAAAGTAATACTTCCTGATATTATGTTTAAACCTTTGCCCCTCTAATTTAAGACTGTCCTCTTGTTGTGGTAGTTTTTCTTCTTTTAAATATAGTCTCCTCCTTTACTGATTCCCTTTATGTATTCTAATGTTACTATCATATCCCCCCGTCTCGTCTTTCCTCCAAGCTATACATGTTAAGTTCCTTTAACGTTTCTTTGTAAGTTTTATCCTGCAATCCATGCATTTTTGCTATATATGATTCCTATCGTACGCAGATTTAGTATTGTGTACGGTCCATCTGTAGAATCGGGCTAGCTCTCTCAAATTACTTTAGTTCAGATTGATCTTGAGTGGCCACAGTGGTGATCGTGTTTTCAATGAAAGTCATTAAATTTAATATTTTTATTATGAAAAGCTTTTTAATGTAAACCAGACAATATGAGGCCAGAAAAGAATTCATAACGATTCGGTCAAACTATGATTAAATATATTTAAACTACATTTCCCATGATGTCAATATTACATCATGATTGACATCTACCAAGCTGTAATCACTCTGCAATCGTAGCTTTCTTGATTTGCTAATCTGACTATTTTTCCTTACAGTCATGGTCTACAATGGTTTCCCAGACTGAGAACTTGAGCCAGATCTTAAAGAAACATTCAGATGATTTAAATACAGGGCCCCTGAGCAAGCTAAACCTTCTCATTCGAGAGAAGCAACAGTTGAAGAAATTATACAGTGAACAGTGGCAATTTCTCAACCAGGAGTATGTGAAGGTAACTCATTTTTAAATGATGCTTATATAGGGCAGTCCATAGGTCCATTAATATGCTGTGAATTTGTGTTGAGGTGTAGTGTGATTGTCTGTCAAGCCTCACTTTGCAGAGTGCAATAACAATTGGGTACTGAAGCAGTAGTCAGACCTGATCATCTGCAATGTATATGTGCATTGAATAGAGCATGACTCGAAAGTCACCCAGCGTGAAAGTTCATTGAAGTTTATTTACTGCTTTAGAAATGGCTCTGGAGAAGAAGCACAAACTGATCATCCAGTATCTAAAAAGCCAATGTATGGACCGACAAAGGGGTGTAAGGTGTGTGATGAATGGTCAAAGCGCTTGGTGGAAACTTTCACTATAAATTGTAGTAGAGAAATCTGAGCACGATGAAGACTGTTGCAGCCATTAAGACCAATTACACTGAGTTTGAAGAGAGCTTGAATGCTCGTACACCTGACCTGAGAGTGACAATTGAGGATTAGTGCACGGAAGGGGCTTATAAGAAGTTCTGCTTTGGAAAAGTTGTAAATATGTTTTTCTAGAATGGAGCAGTGAGACCTAAGAGAGTCATTTAATGACATGATCTAGGACAGGAGTAGGAACTCCAGGTGCTGTGAGCTACATTTCCACTGATGCTTTGCCAGCATTGTGTTTGTAAGTGCATTATGGGTGATGTATTCCACAATACCTTGTAGGTCAAAGGTTCTCCACCACTGATCTAGAAGGTTTCAAGAGAGATTAGTGACAGAGAGGTTAATCTGAGTGTTATCTGCATATTGTAACATCCATTGTATCAGACACACATGACCATAAGGACATAGTGAGACGACATGTCATGGCCCGCCTGAGGTTAAAGGGAGTCACACCCTGGGCTGAAGCTGCAGAAGTCCCCCTTCTAGGCACACTGGAAGTAGTAGTGAGGAGGAAGTGAGACAATGTTTCTCATTTTATAGATGCAAAAAATAGCATTTTAAGACCAATGAGGGGAAATGGGGGACAAAAAATATGTTAACATGCAATGACTTCAATTAACTTTTTGTGTTATCATTTTTCAAACGAGAAATAGCATTTCTTGCAGATTTGTTTATTTGTATAATGTACCTTCAATAAAATACTGTACTCAGGGTCTTGTGTTGCAAACTTTAAAAAAAATAATAAAGGTTAATTTCTGCAGTCAGTTACAACTTTTTCCTGGAGCTCAATAAAGATTAAAGGGACACTATAGTCACCTGAACAACTTTAGCTTAATGAAGCAGTTTTGGTGGATAGAACATGCCCCTGCAGCCTCACTGCTCAATCCTCTGCCATTTAGGAGTTAAATCCCTTTGTTTATGAACCCTAGTCACACCTCCCTGCATGTGACTTGCACAGCCTTCCATAAACACTTCCTGTAAAGAGAGCCCTATTTAGGCTTTCTTTATTGCAAGTTCTGTTTAATTAAGATTTTCTTATCCCCTGCTATGTTAATAGCTTGCTAGACCCTGCAAGAGCCTCCTGTATGTGATTAAAGTTCAATTTAGAGATTGAGATACAATTATTTAAGGTAAATTACATCTGTTTGAAAGTGAAACCAGTTTTTTTTTCAATGCAGGCTCTGTCAATCATAGCCAGGGGAGGTGTGGCTAGGGCTGCATAAACAGAAACAAAGTGATTTAACTCCTAAATGACAGTGAATTGAGCAGTGAAATTGCAGGGGAATGATCTATACACTAAAACTGCTTTATTTAGCTAAAGTAATTTAGGTGACTATAGTGTTCCTTTAAGAACATTAAGGATTGAAACGTTTGTATTGAATTTACAAAGGTTGTTGGGTTTGCAGTTTGATGACAGTGTCATGTTGGCTCCAGGACTTGTTTGATACACTTTATGGTTATCTCCCCATAGACAACACAGCAGGAGGTAGAAAAGTTAAGATCACAATATCGCAACCAAGTTAAAGAAACCTTACAAGCCAAGCGAAAATACCAGGAGACAAGTAGAGGTAAGATCAGCTGTATTTACCCAACATAAATGTCATATGCGGCTTTATTTCTTCACTTGACTGCAAACATTAGATTACTGTTATTATTATTATTGGCATTTATAAAGTGCCAACAAATTACACAATGCTGTACAATTGGCGAAAAGGACACTACAATATGCCCAGACCAATACAAAAGGTAAAGAACTTGACCTTTAAAAAAAAAAAAAAAAAAAACACTCTGAAAACACTCAGGGCCACTGAGCAAGTTCTAGAAATACAATACTGTAGTGTTAGGAATACATATCTGTATTCCTAACGCCACAGTCCTAATGTGCCTATTTTGTTGAGCCCCCCCAGTGTTAATTAAAAAGCAACAAAATACATCGGAATAAAACAAATTACTCACTTTTTCTTCAGCACCGAATCAAACTCAGCACTGCCACAACCTTCGCCTTGGCTGATGCCATTGTGGAGGAGTGTGTCCAGGATGAAAATCCTATCCAATCCTTTTCATATAGGAGCATTTGGGACCACAGGGTACATGTGCCTATGATTCTGTCATTGAGAATTATTCTCTATGGCAGACCGTGACAGCACTGCGCATGCACATGTTACTTCACGGTATGTTATGGTATGAGAGCCGGGAAGAATAATTGTTAAATAAAAAGTATAACAACTTTAATAAGATTAAGCTGTTATAGTGCCTACAGTGTTTCCTTTAATCTTCTCGTTCGGAAGAAGCAATGAAGCATCCATGTATGTACGTAGAGGGGAATTACGATGCAACATAAACATAACTAACCCCGTTCAACCCCCCAATAACGACAGACAACTTAGTATGGATGAACAGGCCACAGCATTTATTATAACATAAATAAATTACTGCATAACACATCCATAACTTTAATGTGTAAATATAAATGTGTAAAAACATGTAACTCTAAATATATTTTTAAAACAAAGTATTTTCTTATATAAAATAAAATAAAATCTGTCAATTTTAGCTGCTACCACACTGAATGTGCAAATCTCCAAAACACGACACAATCAAATACAATATACAGGAAAACAGTGGAGCGCTTATTTATAGTTGTGGTACACCACATGCAATCCCAGTGATACACTTAAATACTTAACTTTTTGTACAAAGCTGTATATTTTACTGTGGTGGTACTTGTAATTGAATGCAAAATATGCACTGCCTGTTCTACTCAGCAATTGAGAGTTCCCTTTTTAAAAAAAAAAAAGGATGTACAAAACAGTTGAAAGCACAATCTCAGTTTAATCTATTCAATTGCTGAATAGAACAGGCAGTGCATATTTTGCATTCAATTACAAGTACCACCACAGTAAAATATACAGCTTTGTACAAAAAGTTAAGTATTTAAGTGTATCACTGGGATTGCAGGTGGTGTACCACAACTATAAATAAGCGCTCCACTGTTTTCTTGTACATCCATAACTTTATTTATTAAACTCTTCTTTTCTGTAACCAAATTGTTAGAAATAAATAATCATAAATTACCATATATACATATATAGCTCAACACATAGTGTTATACAGAGACCCAACCGTCCTTGCCAATAAACATACAGTGGTTCCTAATCACCACTTCCTCTCACCTCCCCCCTCGTCATAAAATCATATCCTTCCAATGCCCGCCATCAGCTGACCTTATCCATGCTCGATGGGCACGACATATCAGGCAACCTAATGTTAACCCTTTGAAGCAGGGGAGGTTGAGACCTGCAAACATAATGAACTTACTCCATCCTTAAACATAACCCCTCAAACTTAATTGGCAAGGACATACCCTCGGCTCGCTGTGACTAACTAATACTACAAGGGGTGGGCGGGCGGGAAGCTGTTTGCTGGCCCGAATCCCAAGTGGCACTGAGGTAAGACCTCCCCCCTACTAGCTCACATAGCCCTAACCCCCCACACACACACACACACACACACACTTCCCAAGTCACTCCCACGCATCTATCACCACACTCCTACATGTGCCCTTGTCTGCTAAGCTGCGCTATCTCCCCAGGGCCTAAGTTACCAGAGTGCAATGTACATTAAATGGAGCATGACTCGAAAGTCATCCTGCGTCAAAAGTCATTTAGGTTCATTAAATGCTGGAGAAAATACACTGAAATGCGAGTGGCAAATAAGGGATAGTCCCTGGAAGGGGTGTAGAAGAAGCTTTGCTTTAGAAAAGTTGATGGAAAATCTGTTTTTCTGGGGGGAACAGTAAGACAGAAGAGAGATATTTAATGACACGATCTAGGAGGGTTGAAGATAGATTAGAGGCAGAGAGCCGAGTCTCAGTGTTATCTGCATATTAAAACATCCATTATATATACATTTACTTGTGCACAAATGGATTCAGTATTGTAACTAAAGCAAGTTTGCCTGTAGTTAAGCAGTGATATAGGTCTTATTGTGGCCTTGATGCCTTGAATTTACCAACCTTAAATTACTTATTGGAAAGGCATTGATAGGAAAGTAGCTGCAATGAATTTACTATTATATATAAATATAACTATATATAAATAAAAAATAACACATAGGCACCTGCCCGTCAGCAGTTACATCTAAAAGCTACTAAATAGATATTTTGTTCAATTCAATTTATTCCATACTATAGTTTTGCTCTACCTTATAGAATTTGGTATTCTACAATACCTATCTAGTAAAATAACAAAAAAATGAGCCAGACTCTAGTAAAGTGTTTTCATAATAAAACGGTATAATTAACTTTAGTAGAGGATCATAGTTTTTGTGTTTCCATTGAGTACAGTTTTGCAGGTTAAAGTAAACTTACAGACAAACGCTATCAAAAAAATATTGCTTATGGTTTTTCATATCTCATCTCACTGTCAATACACTTGATGTGAACATGTAAACGTCAAAATATGTGATATGTGAATAGACAACTGTAGAAAAAGGCATTTGCCATATTTTTTCAGGTGTCCATAAAATATTTATATTCTTCATTACTTACTATGTTTCTTCTTTAGCTAACAACCCCACTTAAATGTAAGGATTTGCTCATTGTGTTCTTTTGTAGGAGATGTTTATTAAAAATATATTACAATATCAGCACCCTTCTATATATCCATGGGACACGACAGGGATGCCCCCTATCCCCCCTACTATATATACTATCCCTCGAACCGCTAGCACAAAAAATAAGAAATGACGAACGCATACAAGGCGTCAAAATCTTAGGCAAGGAATATAAACTAGCGCTATTTGCAGACGATATCTTAATCACACTAGAAAACCCTCAAACATCAGTGCCCCACCTGTTGGAGACCTTAGAAGGATTCGGGGACGTATCACACTACCGTCTAAACCAAGACAAAACGCAAGCATTACCCATCAAACTCCCCTCCTCCACCACAGCTGTGCTCAAAGACAAATACCTCTTCGATTGGAGGACAACCTCACTCACTTACCTTGGCATAAAAATTGCACCTACCATAGCTGAAGTATTAAAAGTAAATTACCTCACACTCCCACAACAATGCAAGAATGAAACACACAAATGGTCGCAAACACACATCTCCTGGTTAGGCAGAATAAATGCGTATAAAATGGTGATACTCCCAAAAATACTGTATATATTCAGAATGCTCCCTCTACAAGCACCAAAAACACTTATAAGAACACTACAATCCATATGTAATGCGTTCATATGGGAACACAAAAAGCAACGCGTCGCAAGTGCGATACTATACCAACACTCAAAACATGGTGGAGTGGGGTTACCCAACATAGATCTGTACTATAAGGCATCTGCCTTAGCAACAGGGATACTGCTCCACACTACTGAGGGGATCATACAATGGGTGGACATGGAAAGAGCCCAGTTCAGCAACAACTTGGCACTAGCACACTTGTGGACACCAAGAAAATTAAGGTCGTTAAGATCTGATCTATTACCCACAACAAAATATACTATCCAAATATGGACAACATTTCTAGAAAAGGTAGGGGACAAAAATAAATTCCAGGCAGAGGCACCATTGATGGCCTTAAGGGCTATCACGCCAGACATACGCTTACACAAGTGGTCGTTGGCAGGAATAACACACATACACCAATTACTTAAATCCCAAAAAATGATGACATTCTCCGACATACAACACAAATGGGAACTTCCCAATGACGCGTTCTTTACATACCTACAACTTAAGGGAATCATTACCACACATGTAACCAACCAACATTCAAATATCCCTACCAACAAAGGCAATCATAGAAAGGTGCTGGAAACACCCCACAAAACCAAAAACCATTTCCCTATGCTATAAAGCGTGGGAAGACACTATACCTAAGATATCACCACGCTGCAAAACTCAGTGGGAACTAGACTGTGCCATCCAACTCACAGACGAAGACTGGCTACATGTACTAAACGACCTATCTAAATGGACAAAATGCTACACACACATAGAAGCACACAGAAAACTCATGTACAGATGGTACCTAACTCCACACAAACTCCACAAAATATACCCAAACACGACTCCTCTATGCTGGAGATGCTCCGCAGAGGAGGGCACACTTATACATGTCTGGTGGGAGTGCCCCAACATCCAGCCCCTATGGACAGAGGTACACAATACGATCAGAGCACTCCAAATCCCAGATACCCAAAAGACACCCGACACATATTTACTCTTGAGATTCCCTCCGACACTCCGAAACTCGCACAAACAGCTGTGTGCCATTATCGCTCTAGCAGCTCGCAGCCTACTGGCCCTCCACTGGAAATCCACAACTTGCCCAAACAAAACCCAACTGCGGGACAAAATACACCAATTCTACATCTACGAAAAAATGGCCGCTCCTGACACCAAAACGGCACAGAGGTTTAGCACAACATGGTCACCATGGATAGAACTATACAACCGACATAGGTAAGGTGGAACTGCAAGGTCAGGGACATCCTCTATCACCCTATAACCGCCACCAGTAACCATATGTGTAACCTACGATAGAGCATAGGGAAGCATACCAGTACCCACCACCAGGTGAACACGGGCCGACCAGATGTCGGGCTGGCAATATGAGCAATGATTGTATAACCGACTATACAGGCCGCTCTATGTTACCTAACTGTACATGCTCCCAACCGTACCCCAACGTTAATGTTGTACCTGTTATTTGTACTGCCTTGATATACTACTCTCAATTGTATCACTGGTTCAAACTGTATCATTGATGACGAAATTTCAATAAAAAATATATTGGAAAAAAAAAAAAAATATTACAATATATAGTGTCTGGTGACATTTCAGAACATGATTACATTATTACAAACATAGTAACTACCATGTATTGTGGTAAGTTGTTTAGATAGCCCAGTTGATGTTTCTCGGTAAAATATTAATATTAGGTTGGGTTATAATATCTAGACCCCTGGACATACGTTGGAACCCAACAACAAGCTACACATTAAATACTATAATATTTTATTTTTATTATATTATTAATTACGCTGTCAATAAATATTTATAGATCTCCAAACTGTGTAAAAATTTTACCGTGTATTTCTCTCTTTAACTTCTTTTTGATAATAAATCTGAAACTGCAACTAAAGTGATAGTTTCTTTCTTAGACAAGGATCGCGACAAAGCAAAAGAAAAGTATGTAAAGTGCACATGGAAATTGCATGCTCTCCATAACCAGTATGTCCTGGCTGTAAAGGCAGCCAAATCACACCATGAGCATCACTTCAAGCAGAGCCTGCCAATCTTACATGACTCAGTGCAAAACCTCCAGGAGCAGATGGTCTATATCCTGTAAGTATAAGCGAGGATGGAACTGACTCAAAACTTCATTGTAAAACTAGAATAAGCATTGACTAACCCTATGAAGAGGTCACTAATCCTACCTGTGGATTGTATACATTGGGCCCAATTTTTTGCAGTACTTTATAGTCGCATGTGGGGTCCCTCTTCCCTGGATTCTAAAAAAAAAAGTCTTATGGCTCCTAAATATGGCTGTTTGGCTGTTAAATGCGGCAGATACTAAACAAATAACCCCTACTGTAAATCTGTTAATCTGGAATGGCTTTTAAAGCTCAATTCCATGTGGTTTTGCTGATAAAGTAAGCACAAATTCATTACGAAAAAAGACTTCGATTCGTACAAAAGTATACATGAATAATCAAAACTAACACAGAATTGCACGTTTTAGGTATTTGCTGTTTTGGGATGTTTTCAGTTCCACACTAAACAAAAACATTTATTCCTTAAATCAGGAATTGTGGACAGTTCAAAACGGAATTGTAAATGTTAGGTCATTATAGAAGAAATGGGAAAAAAATCCCATTAATTTTCCAGCTTGGGTACCTTGGCTTCAAATTTCCTTTGTCAGATCTCTTCAATGGATAGTGAATAGACCACCAGAGTGTTCTAAGATTCTAAACATACTGTTCTCTTGGCATACGTGGATCAAACTCCATTTCTTAATGCTAATTGATGGCATGCCAATCATAGCTCATTATAAATCTATATCAATGTTGTTCGTAACATTTCATTAGGGCCTATAATAGCTTCCAATGTATATGTGCCTATCATAATAGGAACTTACTTGAAAAGTTTATTCAATGTAGCAGAATTATTAACCGCAAGTGGTTTTTATCTTTAATTCTTGTCTTATTCTTCCTTGAAAACCAGTATATGTCATATCCTTCCTCTATTTTTCCACAGAAAGGACATTTTGCAAGAATACCATGACATTACAAGTCTGGTGCAAGAGGAAGTTGCATGCATTCATCGGGAAATTGGTCAGGCCCTTAGCAGCATCAACCCTATCAGAGAGTATGATAACTTCACCCAGATGAACAGGTACGCCATGGAACATGGTAAATTCTAAGGTTAGGCAACTTCTCTCTGTCTGCTGTTGAACACGTCTTTTACTCAGTTGCAGTTTTGTAGCTGGTTCTAGACAAAGCAGCTATCGAGCTGATAAATGTGACTGCCCATAGGAGTTTACTGGAAAAGCACAGAACAGTGGATTGAAATTGCATAGTAAGATCAAAAAAGCTGTAAAGGACGCTTTCAGTTTTGGCATACATTTTTCAGATTTGGATTTTTATTCGTGGCCGTACACTTTTGACTAATGCTTAGGGAAAATATAACTGAAGCTCGTTATTTTAAAACATGTAATGTATAAAAGCTCAAGGGAGATAAATCATTTATATACCATTTCTGAATAATATATGAATGGCTCACTTGCCATTAAAGGGACCCTGTAGGCACCCAGATCACTTCAGCTGATTGAAGTGGTCTGGGTGCTGTCTCCCTATTGCACTTAGTGTTGCAATGTCTACCAGACAGCCACTGGGGGCGCTTACAGAATCTCTGGGTTCGTTATCTGATGCTGGACGTCATCACGAACCTCCAGTGTCAGATTTTCCCCATAGGAAAGCATTGAATAATGGTTTCCTAAGGAGAGGTCTAATGCGTGCGCGTCCATTGCCGCGCATGCGCATTAGGTCTCCCCCCGCCAAGCACAGAGGGACATCGGCATTGGATTCAAGTAAGTGGCTGAAGGGGTTTTAAACCCTTCATTTGTGAGGGAGGGGGGTCACAAGGAGGGGTGCACTGTAGGGACCTATAGTGACAGGAAAACAGGTTTATTTTCCTGATACTATAGGATCCCTTTAAAGGTTATGTAAAAGTACTCCACACTGGAAAAGGTATTTTTGGAAGTAGTGCTAAGTATCTAACCAATTTGGAGCATGGAAAGGAAACAAATCCCATGAAGACAGTAATGAGCCCTGAGTACCTTATCGAGTGTCCAAGTATTGGAAACAGAAGTTGACTTGAGGGTAATGCTGGGTTTCTTTACGAGGGAAAAAGAGGAGAGAGTGAGGAAGACATTCTGTGTCTCCAAACATATCTGTTAGATTGCTAGTGATGACTCCATGCAGGGGGTGATAATGAGAGGATGAGGCCTGTTCCTCACTTAAGCTCAAAGTTTGGACTGCAGTGAGCAGGTATGTTGGGATTAGGCAGTTCGACTACGCAGTTTGCACTTTTTTCTAATCTAGTCCACTATCCAGACCCACAAGGCTTCGTGCCTGGAAGACCCAATCCCCCATCCCATCATCTGTGAGTAAGTGTGTGGAATCTCAATCTTTCAGGACTGTCAGTCCAAACGAATTTAGTGGTTGCCTTCCTCAGTTCTTGGAAAAAAGGTGGAGGGTGATTACTTGGGGATGGCCTGGAATAGGGTTTCAAATTTAAATCATAGTCTATATGAAGAAAGCACTTCAGTACTTATCACACTTGGCAGAATTTGGTCTTGTTGCCGGGTATAAAATTAACTAATTGATGTTCTATACCAAGGTACTATCATGTTCCAGCTCAAAACCTACATCCTAGTGTTTTCACAATTTGCATGTGGTAAATATTCTTACAGGAGACAGCTCGAGTAAAGGTGAATTTATGCCATCAAACTGTATTTAGTGCTTATTCTGTGTTAGAAGTTGAGCTTTATTTTCTCAGTGGGCTGTAGTAACCCTTTAAGCTGAAGCATTGCTGCCTCTACCTGAAAATACATTATGTGTGTGATGCTATATAAAACTACTCTGTTTATTTACATGTTTGCCTTATATGTCGTGCAGGTCAGTGACCGGTCTGCCACCCATGGCAAGCTTTGATACCAGTCTACTGGAAGAGACAGATGAGCTACAGGAAGAAGAACTTCAGCTAAATGACCTCACACTAGAGAGTGTCCAGCATATGTATGTATGGGTGGGTTATGGGCATACTACATGTCTGTATACTGTGAGAACTGCACACTTCTGCAATAGTACATTATGGGACATGTATAGCAGCACATGAATGCACAAATGGCTTCAGTTGGCTTCATGAATATGCATGTATGTGCTGATTTCTCAATATCTCCTCCTCTACATTGCAGGGGAGTTTCCTATATTCCTTGTTTGTGTTAATTTGTGAGTCATTAAAATCCCTAAAATGCCATTGGGGTGGGGAGGCAACAACATCTAGAGGAAAAACTGTATGTCCATTCTGCCTTCAAACATCCTCATTGTTTGGCCCATGTGCTGAGTATTGCATTGTGTACAAGTTAAAAGATAAATAATATTCTTACCTTTTAGAGCTATTATAGTCATAGTTTTTATAGTGAAGACAAGTAACAGTAAACTGAGATCTATTGCTCAAATAAATATTATTACTACAAGTAATGCATGGTTTTGAACCGCATTTAAATGTCCCTTTCTTTGTTATTTTCATATACTCAAAGGAGAGACTGTACTTATATTAGAATGGAATTTCCATTATAGAGAAGTGCTCCAGACTGCTGGGATGGCAAGACCCAAAGTATCACTTATAGCAATTGTACCAATGTTAACACTATAACACTAAACTTATTTTTCAAAATAAATACAGGGAGTGCAGAATTATTAGGCAAATGAGTATTTTGACCACATCATCCTCTTTATGCATGTTGTCTTACTCCAAGCTGTATAGGCTCGAAAGCCTACTACCAATTAAGCATATTAGGTGATGTGCATCTCTGTAATGAGAAGGGGTGTGGTCTAATGACATCAACACCCTATATCAGGTGTGCATAATTATTAGGCAACTTCCTTTCCTTTGGCAAAATGGGTCAAAAGAAGGACTTGACAGGCTCAGAAAAGTCAAAAATAGTGAGATATCTTGCAGAGGGATGCAGCACTCTTAAAATTGCAAAGCTTCTGAAGCGTGATCATCGAACAATCAAGCGTTTCATTCAAAATAGTCAACAGGGTCGCAAGAAGCGTGTGGAAAAACCAAGGCGCAAAATAACTGCCCATGAACTGAGAAAAGTCAAGCGTGCAGCTGCCACGATGCCACTTGCCACCAGTTTGGCCATATTTCAGAGCTGCAACATCACTGGAGTGCCCAAAAGCACAAGGTGTGCAATACTCAGAGACATGGCCAAGGTAATAAAGGCTGAAAGACGACCACCACTGAACAAGACACACAAGCTGAAACGTCAAGACTGGGCCAAGAAATATCTCAAGACTGATTTTTCTAAGGTTTTATGGACTGATGAAATGAGAGTGAGTCTTGATGGGCCAGATGGATGGGCCCGTGGCTGGATTGGTAAAGGGCAGAGAGCTCCAGTCCGACTCAGACGCCAGCAAGGTGGAGGTGGAGTACTGGTTTGGGCTGGTATCATCAAAGATGAGCTTGTGGGGCCTTTTCGGGTTGAGGATGGAGTCAAGCTCAACTCCCAGTCCTACTGCCAGTTCCTGGAAGACACCTTCTTCAAGCAGTGGTACAGGAAGAAGTCTGCATCCTTCAAGAAAAACATGATTTTCATGCAGGACAATGCTCCATCACACGCGTCCAAGTACTCCACAGCGTGGCTGGCAAGAAAGGGTATAAAAGAAGAAAATCTAATGACATGGCCTCCTTGTTCACCTGATCTGAACCCCATTGAGAACCTGTGGTCCATCATCAAATGTGAGATTTACAAGGAGGGAAAACAGTACACCTCTCTGAACAGTGTCTGGGAGGCTGTGGTTGCTGCTGCACGCAATGTTGATGGTGAACAGATCAAAACACTGACAGAATCCATGGATGGCAGGCTTTTGAGTGTCCTTGCAAAGAAAGGTGGCTATATTGGTCACTGATTTGTTTTTGTTTTGTTTTTGAATGTCAGAAATGTATATTTGTGAATGTTGAGATGTTATATTGGTTTCACTGGTAATAATAAATAATTGAAATGGGTATATATTTGTTTTTTGTTAAGTTGCCTAATAATTATGCACAGTAATAGTCACCTGCACACACAGATATCCCCCTAACATAGCTAAAACTAAAAACAAACTAAAAACTACTTCCAAAAATATTCAGCTTTGATATTAATGAGTTTTTTGGGTTCATTGAGAACATGGTTGTTGTTCAATAATAAAATTAATCCTCAAAAATACAACTTGCCTAATAATTTTGCACTCCCTGTATGGTAGTATCTTTTAAAGGCCACTTTTTAGTGAATGCGTCTTGTAACCTCGTGCCAACACTCGATTTCTTAGTAGGTACAATTATACTGAAAAGTTCCCATTCCAAAACATTATCTGCAAATATACATAAATTGTTTCGAAGGTATGGACTTATAAAATGAGGAGGGTGACATGATCTTTGGTGGAGTATACAATTACCACTACAGTCCTTTTGATTAAGACTATTTTTTGTGCATCACAATGATCTAGATCCAAAAATTGAATGGTATCACCATCAAAATTAATCATAATGGATAGAATTGATTGATTGTTATTGATACTCAACACAAAAAGCTGAGCATGGAGTTCCCCACCAAACCAGTAACAAGCTGTCAATGGAGGTATTATATAAGACTTTATAGCTCCCCACAACCAGGCTACATATAGGTTAGCATAGTAGGGGGAAAATGTTGCTCCCATTGTCTTCCCACATGTCTGCAGGTAGCAGGCTGAGTCAAAGGAGAAGTAATTGTGAGTTGGTAAATAGTCAATACTTTTCATAACAAAATCCTTGAGTTTGTCATCATCATCACTATATCTGGACAAAGTTCTCTATAATCATACACTTGTCATTTCCTGTCCTATTGTGTTTTACACCCCACCTCCCATAGACTGTAAGCTTGTTTGAACAGGGTCCTCTTAAACCTATTGTTCCTGTTTTCTTGTAATTGTCCTATTTATAGTTAAATCCCCCCTCTTATAATATTGTAAAGCACTAAGGAATCTGTTGGCACTATATAAATGGCAATAATAATGAGGAATCCTTGAAAACAAGACCACATCAAGGGTAATCCACCTATATTTTGTGGACCATCTAAGGCTCTGTAACTGGCACAAAACATCCTTAATATCCCATAAATAGGAAGCCAAACATTTAACCCAGGGTAAAAAAAATAAAAACCATCACTGATCTCTGACAGATGTTCATTTAAAGAATTGATGCCTGAAATGATATACCTTTATCAAAAGGTTTGTGAACTTTGGGGAACATATGGAAAAAAAATAGAATTTTTCAGTTCAGCAATTTTTGTCTCAAATTTAAAATTCACTTTGAATTCCCTCGCTTTAGTGAATAACTCTGACAGCGCGTGGGATGCGGGTGTGATGGAGAGATATTCTTGTCTGCTGCCCAGACCTCTGAAGTGTTTACAGCTCTGATAACTGTGCTGAGATAAGATAATGATCTCACACTAAGACTGCTTAAAGGACTACTATAGCAGCTTAATGAAGTGGTTTGGGTGCCAGGTCCAGCTAGGGTAACCCTTTTTTTTTATAAACTTAGCAGTTTAAGAGAATAATGGGGGTTTTAGTTACATTAAATGATCATATATTGCATAAGCCTGCCACAACATCAATGTAACCCATCTTTGGCAAGTCCTACTCTAGCAGCCTAATGCCTGCTCTCTTGAGATTAATTCACTTACTTGTAAAATGCTTCCTCCTGGGACTGCAAGTCAAGGTTAAATAGTACCCTGGAATGAGGCACATGTGACAGGGAGGGGTGCAAAACCAGGGAGTTGGCCTGGACTCCCAAATATATATATATATATATATATATATATATATATATATATATATAAACAAAAACCAAGTGGGCTGCACTCATCTGAACATCCACACTTATAAGGGTGCCGCTGGGGCCAATTCATACAACATACAAGGTCCAGTTCACTCACTCATCCCTTAAGGATGACGTGCGTTCTATACCATCCTTTTTTAGGCGGTCCAAATGCTGGTGGGTGGCATAGAAAGTCCCTGCCGTCCTTTAAATATATATATATATTCCCTGCCGTTCCCCCAATGGCGGTCGCGATCCTGGAGTCTGCCTGGGAGCTCAGGCAGATCCCTCTACCCGATCCGCCCCACCCCCCCGCCATGTTATTGCGGGGTCCTCACAATCACATGGCTGGAATAGCAAGCTTATGCAGTGCCAGCTCTCAGGCTGCCCCCCTCATGCCTGTACAAAAGTTTGTTAAAGGTAATAAAAGTTATAAAACAGTGTTTAAATTAAATAAAAAGTACTTGTGTATATATAGATATATAGTTACATAGCTGAAAAGAGACTTGCGTCCATCAAGTTCAGCCTTCCTCACATATGTTTTTGCTGCTGATCCAAAAGAAGGCAAAAAAACCTAGTCTGAAGCGCTTCCAATTTTGCAACAAACTAGGAAAAAAAATTCCTTCTTGACCCCAAAATAGCAGTCAGATGTCTCCTTGGATCAAGCAGCTATTACCCCACTAATTATAAAGTATATCCCTGTATGTTATGTTTTTGCAAGTATTTATCCAATTGCAGTTTAAACATCTGTATAGACTCTGATAAATCCACCTCTTCAGGCAGAGAATTCCATATCCTTATTGCTCTTACTGTAAAAAAAAACAAAAAACTTTTCTTTGTCTTAGATGAAATCCCCTTTCTTCCAGCCTAAATGTGTGACCTTGTGTCCTATGTATAGCCCTGTTTATGAATAGATTTCCAGATAATGGTTTGTACTGGCCCCGAATATATTTGTATAATGTTATCATTTCCCCTCTCAGGTGCCGTTTTTCCAAATTAAAGAGATTTTAAATTTTTTAACCTTTCTTCGTAACTAAAATGCTCCATTCCTTTTATCAATTTTGTAGCTCGTCTCTGGACTTTTTCTAGTGCCATGATATCCTTCTTTAGAACAGGTGCCCAAAATTGCACAGCATATTCAAGGTGTGGCCTTACCAGCGATTTATAAAGAGGCAAAATTATATCTTTATGCCCCTATTTATACATGACAAAACCTTACTGGCCTTAGCAACTGCAGATTGACATTGCATTTGTTGTCTATAACAATTCCCAAATCCTTCTCGTGTGTGGTTATCCCTAATTCACTACCATTTAGGGTGCAAGTTGCTTGTGCATTCTTGACCCCAAAGTGCCTAACTTTGCATTTCTCTACGTTAAATTTCATCTGCCATTTTAGTGCCCAGTCCCCCAATCTATCCAAATCCCTTTGCAACAAAGCAATACCCTGCTCACATTTTATTACTTTACAAAGTTTTGTGTCATCTGCAAACACTGAAATATGGCTTTCAATGCCTATTTCAAGATCATTTATAAATATATTAAATAGAAGCGGTCCCAAAACAGAACCCTTAATGACAACTCTTTGTACTCTATCCTTGAGCCAATGTTTTACCCAAGAACAAGAATAATCATCTAGACCAATTTCTTTTAGTTTGAAGACTAACCTATTTTGAGGAACCGTATGAAATGCCTTGGCAAAATACAAGTAGATCACATCCACTGCAACACCCTGATCTATACTTCTACTTACTTCTTCATAGAAAGCAATTAGGTTAGTTTGACATGACCTATGTTTCATAAAACCATGCTGACTATTGCTAATAACAAAGTTCTTCCCAATGATTTCCTGAATATTATCGCTTAATAGCCCTTCAAATATTTTCCCAGTCACAGAAGTTAAGCTCACATGTCTATAACTTCCAGGCAAGGATTTTGAACCCTTTTTAAATATAGGAACATCTGCCTTCCTCATATGATCTTGAAGTACTTTTATATACACATACATACATACATTACTAAAAGTGTATTTAAAAAAAAATAATAATAAAAAAATATATATATTTTAACATACACTTAGAATGATGTTAATTATATATATATATATATATATATATATATATATATATATATAATAAAAATAATCAATAAATAAATTGGAAAAATAAAAATACAAAATAATTATATACCAGTTTTAATTTGTACTAACTGTATTTTGATTTTAATATACGTATATATTAAATTCAAAATGCATTTAGAATGACGTTATAAATACATATATGTATCTATCTATATCAATCTCTCTCTACATCTATCTCTCTCTATATAGCTATATATATATATATATATATATATATATATATATATATACAAACACTGGCCAAAATTAACGTTTAATTTAGTTTTTTGCATTTTACACACACAAACAAATATGAACGCTAACTTTGGCCAGTGTTTGTGACTACTAGAAAAGACTGGACATACCCCATTTGTAATACCTTGGATTTTCAACTTTTGCAAATGGTATGCCATCATGGGGGTAATTTTCATTCCTGGGCTACCATTTGGTCTTAAAGGCAACATAACCAGTCTGGCAAATTTCCATGTATATAAACTGAAAACATGTAATGTGCTATATTTGACCATGTAACTTTCCAAAACACCATAAAACCTGTACCTTGGGGGTACTGTTGTACTTGTGAGACATCGCTGAATACATATATGTGTATTTTATTGCAGTAACATCTAACGGTAATATGACATTCACAGTTAAAATGCCATGCTGAACCAAATATAAAATAACATTTCTTAATTTCTATTTTTTTAAAATAAATATTTATTCATATTAAATTATGTTTACTATACAAATATTTGATGTGTCATGAAAGCCCTGTTTCTCATGAACAAAATGAGATCTGATAAGTGTGGGTTCATATAATATGAAAGAGGTGAATTACGCCTGAACAGACAGCGCAAATGCCAGGTTTTGTTTACGTTTTGTTTTGATCACAACTTGTACTATTGGCTCAGTCCTTAAGGGGTTGAACAGCAGCAATTTAAAATCTCACAGAACATAGTAGTTAAGTAACTTTTATTTGAGTTAAGTGTGCATAACAGGTTTCTCTACAGTGTTTCTCTATGGGAAGCATAAAAATTGGACTCTGCCCAGCACAAATAATGATTTTTGTGCTGGGCAAGAAGGGGTAGATCAGCTTAGCTGCAAAAAACAAACAAAAAAGAACAAAACGGGTTCTGCAGTTAAGAAAAGGTTAGAAAAGGAATGTTGAAAATAAACTAACAAATGCATAAATATTTTGTAACTGCATTGTTCAGCTGCATTAGAACTTCAAGTTATTATACCGTGTTTGATTTTCCAATTCTCCACCTGTACTTTCTGTTTACTTACTTTGTTAAATGATGCAATTCAACACTATTGTAAGGTAGTTTTTCTTTCTTTCTACTGACCTTCAAAAACTTGTTTAAAAAAATGTTTCCATTTAATTGTGCACGTATATCAGATGTGAGAGTTCCTCTTTAACATTTCACATAATAAAGAGACGACAGCTAACAAGGAAGTCTTTCTTCATGTGAATTACACTGGACTGTGATATGCAGGGCTGCCATCAGAAATTTTGGGGCCCCTGACAAAGCACAAGGTCTGGTCCCCCCCCCCCACCTCCCGGGCCCGCCCACGCCCACCCACGCCCTACCTGTGATGCAGGACTGAATGTGGTGTGTATAGTGGAAGTGAATTAGAATATGTGTAATGGATGTAGTGTTTGTGTGTATTATATACTGTTTGTACAGTGAATGCAGAGTGTGTGTTTGTGTAGTGGATGCAGTGTGTATATTGAACGCAGAGTGTGTTTGAGTAGTGGATATAGTGTGTGTACAGTGATGTAGTGTGTGTTTGTGTAGTGGATGTAATGTTTGTATGTACTAGATGAAATGTGTTTAGTGGATGCAGTGTCTGTAGTGGATGTTGTGCGTGTATGAGACGCACTGTCTGTGTATAGTGAATGCAGAGTGTTTCAATGTGTGGTGGATGTAGTGTGTGTCCTGTGAATACAGGATGTTTGTGAAGTGGATGCTGTGTGTACAGTTAATGCAGAGTGTATGTTAGTGTAGTGAATGCAGAGTGTGTGTCAGTATAGTGAATCCAGAGTGTATGCAGAGTGTGTGTTAGTGTGTAGTGAATGCAGAGTGTCAGTGTAATGAATGTAGTGTATGTGTTAGTGCAGTGAATGCAGAGTGTGTGTTAATGTGTAGTGAATGCAGAGTGTGTGTTAGTGTAGTGAATGCAGAGTGTGTGTTAGTGTAGTGAATGCAGAGTGTGTGTTAGTGTGGTGAATGCAGAATGTGTTAATGTGTAGTGAATGCAGAATGTGTTAATGTGTAGTGAATGCAGAGTGTGTGTGTTAGTGTAGTGAATGCAGAGAGTGTGTTAATGTGTAGTAAATGCAGAGAGTGTGTTAGTGTGTAGCGGATGCAGAGTGTGTGTTAGTGTAGCGGATGCAGAGTTTGTGTTAGTGTAGTGAATGCAGAGTGTGTTAATGTGTAGCAAATGCAATGTGTGTGTCAGTATATTGGATGCAGTATTGCAACCCAGGGGTCAAGTCCTGGGGAAAAAAGTGAAGATTCCCACCCAGCACCCTCCCCCCCAATATAGTGCAGTGCAGGGTGTGTATAATGAATGTAGTGTGTTCGTAGTGAATGCAGAGTACGAATAATGAATGTACTGTGTTTGTAGTGAGTGCAGATTGTGTATAATGAATGTAGCGTGTTTGTAGTGAATGCAAAGTGTGTATAATGAATGTAGTGTGTTTGTAGTGAGTGCAGTGTGTATAATAAATGTACTGTGTAGTGAGTGCAGATTGTGTATAATGAATGTAGTGTGTAGTGAGTGCAGTGTGTATAATGAATGTAGTGTGTAGTGAGTGCATAGTGTGTATAATGAATGTAGTGTGTATAATGTACTGTGTAGTGAGTACCGAATGTGTATAATGAATGTAGTGTGTAGTGAGTGCAGTGTGTATAATACATGTAGTGTGTTTGTAGTGAGTGCAGAGGGTGTATAATGAATGTAGTGTGTTTGCAGTGAGTGCAGTGTATATAATAAATGTAGTGTGTTTGTAGTGAGTGCAGAGTGTGTATAATGAATGTACTGTGTTTGTAGTGAGTGCAGAGTGTATAATGAATGTAGTGTGATTGTAGAGAGTGCAGTGTGTATAATAAATGTACTGTGTTTGTAGTGAGTGCAGAGTGTGTATAATGAATGTACTGTGTTTGTAGTGAGTGCAGAGTGTGTATAATGAATGTACTGTGTTTGTAGTGAGTGCAGAGTGTATAATGAATGTAGTGTGATTGTAGTGAATGTAATGTGGTTGTAGTGAGTGCAGAATGTGTATAATGAAGTGTGTTTGTAGTGAGTGCAGTGTGTATAATAAATGTACTGTGTTTGTAGTGAGTGCAGAGTGTGTATAATGAATGTACTGTGTTTGTAGTGAGTGCAGAGTGTGTATAATGAATGTAGTGGGATTGTAGTGAGTGCAGTGTGTATAATGAATGTAGTGTGGTTGTAGTAAGTGCAGAGTGTGTATAATAAATGTACTGTGTAGTGAGTGCAGAGTGTGTATAATGAATGTAGTGGGATTGTAGTGAGTGCAGAGTGTGTATAATGAATGTAGTGTGTTTGTAGTGAGTGCAGAGTCTGTATAGTGAATGTAGTGTGTTTGTAATGAGTGCAGAGTGTATATAATGTGTATAATGAATGCAGTGTGTTTGTAGTAAGTGCAGATTGTGTTTAATGAATGCAGTGTGTGTGTGTGCTGGTTGATGTGTGTGTGCGCTGGATGATGTGTGTGTGTGCTTGATGGTGTGTGTGTGTGTGTGTGTGCGTGCTGGATGATGTGTGTGTGTGTGAGCTGGATGGTGTGTGTGCTGGATGATGTGTGTGTGCTGGATGGTTGGTGTGTGTGTGCTGGATGATTTGTGTGTGTGTTGGGGGGGGAGCATTTTTTTTTAATTTGTGTATGTATAATTTTTATTTTATTCCCCCCTCCCTGCTTCTTACCTTGTCAGGTGTTCCGGTGGAGGGAGCCAGCCGCTACACACGGAAGCCCAGCACACTCTGTGTTCCCTCTCGAGGTCTAACTCTCGCAAGACTCGTGCTGTGCGGAGCGTTGCCATGGTAACCCGTGGCAACGCTCTGACAGCTGCGGGTCTCGCGGATGTGAGCAGCTGGATGGGGAGCATAGAGTTTGCTGGGCTCCTGTGTGCAGGTAACAGGGCAGGCCCTGCAGGACTGGTAACGGGAACGGCGTTCCTGCTTTGGAAAAAGTGCAGGAACGCTGTTCCCATGCGTTCCTGCAGGACTCGAGCCCTGCTGCAACCCACACTCTAAACACACACACACACACTACTATAGATGCACACACACTACAACACACACTGACATACATATACAAATATCCATACACACATAGATATGCACTCAGACATGCACACATGCGCACACACTCTATGTGCATGTGTATACAACAACAATTTTTATCATATTTAAACGGTCGAGTTTTTGTTTGTTTGTGTAGAAGGTGTGATTTGGGGGGTGCTTGAGAATTATGTGCCTACAGGTGGTCATGATGTAAATTCGACCTTGCTCAGCTCAACATGTGAGTTCCCTTTCTGCACTTTAATCACCATTCACTTTGTAACTAGTGTAGTTCCTCTTGTGAATTACCTCGGATGATCTCAGAGCCACAGTTGTAAAAATGCTTGAGATGTTTTTAAAGTCTTTTAATCGGCTGAACTATATATATATATATATATATATATATATATACACACACACACACACACACACACACACACACACACACACACACACACACACACACACACACAATATCTACCTGTCAGAAAAATAATTTCAAACAACATGGATTCCCTCCCTGCTGTGGGTACATGAGTAGATTCATATGATCCAAAATGGTTTTTTTTACAGGTAATGATAATGACATTGCTGCAAGGAGAAATCTTTAGCAGTTAATATTCTTAAACTGAGTAAAGTCTTTTTGGTGCATTATTTTATTTTTTTATCCCGATAAACAGGTTAACATCTGTGGAAGAAGATCTAGCTTTGGCCTCGGAGACGGTGCAAACCAGGCAAGAAGCAGTGAGCCAGCTTCATTCTGACATTGTGACCGAGGAAAAGAACACAGATACCATCTCACTGTAAGATTCTAATACTGAATGGGTAATGTTCCAGGATAGTGGTTTGAAGTACAGACCCAAACAAATTAATGAATAAATGAACAATTACATTTATACTCATTTCTGTGAAGTCAAATAATGTTAAAGGAGGGTGCCCCCACCGCTGGGCTGGATGGAGAGAAAGGGGTTAAACTTACCTCTTTCTCCAGCGCCAGGCGGGGAGCTCTCCTCCTCCTCTCCGCCTCCTCTTCAGCTGAATGCACATGCGCGGCAGGAGCTGCGCGCGCATTCAGCCAGTCTCATAGGAAAGCATTCACAATGCTTTCCTATGGACGCTTGCGTGCTCTCACTGTGATTTTCACAGTGAGAAGCACGCAAACGCCTCTAGCGGCTGTCAATGAGACAGCCACTAGAGGTTTTAGAGGCTGGATTAACCTATTTATAAACATAGCAGTTTCTCTGAAACTGCTATGTTTATAAAAAAAAAAAAGTGTTAATCCTAGCTGGACCAGGCACCCAGACCACTTCATTAAGCTGAAGTGGTCTGGGTGCCTATAGTGGTTCTTTAAAGTAAACCCATAGTCCCAAAAAGATTCATTTCTTTCTGCCTACTCCCCTTGTCACCCCACCCCAATTTTTTGCTTTTAAAAAGAGTAACTTAAATAATGATTACTTTCCATCTTTCCAGCGCCTGAACTCATCCACTGCAGCTACCCCTTCCGCCTTTCACTCCGCATGCCTGCTGACGCATTCCGCATTATCCTCCAATTGATTTCGTCACATAGAGAAGCAATGTACAGGGAATATGCATGCGCTGCAGAACACTGTGCTTCTCCAATCAAATGCTGCTGTCAGTAGCATTTGATTACCGGACCACTTGGTTCTGGAGGGAGAGACATCTGTACTTGCTGTCAGGAAGACATTGAAGACACCCTTCAATGTAAACAATACATTTTCTACAAACCTACACTCTTTTACATGCAATGTTAAAATGACAGGACCACTGCACCCAGATCACTTTATCCTTAAAGACCATGGCCTAAATTGCAATCCAGTGTCGGTAACTGATCAAAAGCATTTTCTGACTTTAGGCTGCTGTCATGGGAAAGTTATCAAAGCAATCACAATCTGAAAATTGATAAACCTTTTTTCTATCCGTAATTCTACCAAAGTCAGAAAATGTTATTAAGTTAAAACTGTGCCTAAAGTGTGAATTCTTGTTAATTTAGGAATGTCGAGCTCCATAGACTGATATTGCAAGGTTAACGAGAAAAAAATGGTGGACATTTCAATTTTGTATGCATTATTTTTTTCAATTTATTTTATTTATCTTATTTTAGTTACAATGCTTATTTATACTGAACTAAATGATTAATGAGTTGTTTCACTGTTTATTCAGCTCATGTGCTAATACATAGATATATTTTGAGGTTTTAGTTATTTGTTAGAAAAGCAATTTTAAACTATTTGAGGTGTTGAAATAAGATTTCGATTGTCCTATTAAAGTGTCACTAGCCCATCATTAGCAGGGGTGTTATTCACCGATCTGATAAGGGTAAAATTTCTGTCAAATTATGACTGGTGACTTGGGATCACTTAAACCATGCTTTTGTAAGTTTTATTGAAGTGTAATTCCATGATACATTACACATATCCCATGTTACTTGAATTTTATTATCATGAAGATCCATGGTACACGCATACATTCCATGTATTATGGTATGTGTGTCAGTGTACCTGTGTATCTGCAGTCTACTAAGGTTGCAGCTTAGCATGACTCCAAGGCTACTATTTTACTAATCCAAGTTCCTAAGAACCGTAACTGTATTGATGATAAACAATCACAATACCAAATAATTTCTTTATGATTTTTAACCTTTATGTATCAATATGGATTTTATTTCTTCTCAATTTCTTATAGAATCACTTTGTTGTCCAAGCGTCAGAGTTTACGGGAAGCTCTCATCCAATATCACATATCTCTGTGTAACAAGAATAAGCTACAGGTTCAGAGGGACATGCTAAAGAAGAAGATGAATGAGCTTGGATCCGATGATCCTCCTCCGGCTATCAAGCTGCAGGACGATGGCCAGTCCATCTCATCAATAGTGAGTTTCATCACTGAAATGTGAAGGTTTTTTTCACGATTAAACTCATCACTACATTTCAAGAGGCATACACTTCATATCAGTGTATATTTTAGATTTTCACATCTGTCAGCACCGTGCGCTGCACGCAAGTGACAGACATTTTTTTTTTGCACATAATTAACAGTGGGTAGCTCAGGGCATAGTTTGGGCTGCCTAAGTCACATGTGCTGAGGCTGAAACTTGTCCCCAGCATATAAGTGCCAATAACTCAGTATGTGCAGTGTTTCAATCAGAAACACAGCACGTACATTCTCGTACAACCATAGCCACTTCAAATCACTGAAGTGGCCATGGTGGTTGAAGTAACTGTTTAAAGGAACACGTGTATTCCTACATTTATACATGTGTATATACAGAATATAAAAGCATGTATTCCTCACACTATACTGCTGGAGCAGCAGTTAAGGTCCCGGCCACCCTCAGATTGGAGATAAAATGTGTTTAGACTCACCTTTTCTCCATCTCAGCCATAGGAAAGCATTGGGAGACTATTACGCATGTGCAGCAAAATGCGACATTGCACCAATCAGCCTCTCTTCATAGAGATGCATGGAATCACTGTATCTGTATGGGGAACATTCAGCACCTCCATGCAGTGGAGCACTAAAATAGGAGGCACCTCTAGTGGTCGTTTGAGTGAGTGCCACTGGAGGTGTTTCTCTGAAACGGTAGTGTTTATATTGAAAAACATGCAGAGACAGGATATAGACACTAGAACCACTACATTAAGCTGTAGTTGTTCTGGTGACAATACTGTCCCTTTAAGTCAACATTTTGCCTGCCAGATTGGATTAATTCATTTGTCACAAGTTTGGTGTAATATTTTTGTTTTTCATACTTTTTAATTATCACAACATTTAAAGTCCAGCCTTGCTGAATTGTATGGAACAATTAAATGATTATTTAATTTCCATATTGCTTATTCTCGTCAATGGGATTTGCCAGTGATCTGTTTACATTTTCTGTTATGTGCTGACAAAGCCAGAGCCTGAATATGTATCAGTGTAATTAAACAAGTTAGCTGGCCATAATTGGCATCACTTGGAATAGCACTGGGTTTCACATGCAGCTACATTCAGCTGTTGAATTTAAGGCAGCTTTGTTACTTCCAGGGGCCCTCGAGGTTGACATACCTGCTTGGTGTGTGTCAGCCTGGGGAAGAAACATGCCTTTCCCCAATATATAATTGTTTAGAGTGCTGAGAATATGAATATGTAGATGATAATAAAAATAAGAGTACAACACAGGGTTGATCCTAGGAAACTGAGGGGATCCTCCATAGAACTACATTCCTCCCAAGTTCAGGAGTTATGGAAGCTGATGGGGTCTGACAGGACTGGAGGGCCCAATTGGCACAACTTGCATCAGTGGCGACATCAAAAATGGATGCTCCAGCTGGATGACAGCCTCTCAGCTAGCCCCACTCATGGCAGACCATGCAGAAAGCGATGCTGAAGCTCTCATGGTCCTAGTGCGCTTAGCACAGCATGTCCATGTCTAATGATATGCTAATGCCATGCTGAATGGAGTCAGTTCCCTAGTGTTCCTAAAGGTGGGACACCAGGAATTAAAATCAGGACAACGGGAGAGAAGCCTGAAATCAAGGCTTTCCGACCAAACTCAGTACAAATTTGAATTCTGAAACTACATTTGTGATGGACAAAAAGTTGACTTTCACACAACCATCATTAGTATTAACTGCGGGAAAGTGACAATATTATTTCACAGCATAAGCTCATCCTTTTGACAAGTTTTGTCAACCTTGGACTTGACCTTAAAAAAAGTTATGAGATTTTTTGATTGCATGGAAATTTCAATTCCGTTCTAACACAATCACTACTAGTTTTTCATAATAATTGTCTGAAAGTGACAAAGCTGCTTTAATGACAAATTAAAGGGACACTACAGGCTGGAGGTTACCTCTAGTTAAACAATATATATGGAAGGGGTTTTCAATCACAATTTTTCCCCACCATAACCTATTTGGATTTTGCTTCCCAAGCACTACCAAGCCTCACTAAGCAAACCAGTAACCAACCTCATGCTGAAGAGTTGCATTAACAACGAAACAGCTGTCCATGAGTGGTTCACTGGTTTTGCATCTTATCCTAAATTGTGTTCCAAGCAGTTGTATACTGCAAACACAAATTAAAAGGAATCCATGTTTAAAATGGAATGAGGCAAAAATGTGATTCTTTGTTAAACTAATTTGCATATGCCCACCCAGAATCCTTTGCGGTTGTAACATCACTGCTGATTTGGGATTTCTGTGGGAAAAGCAAGTCTTATGGCTTGACTGATGTGCAGACTTTTGTTTAGCATTGTATTAACTATATATATATATATATATATTCATTTTTTAAATTCCTGGATTTGTTTCAAATTTAGTACATTTGAAGTGAGGTCAGCCCAAAGGATATGCAAGATTTACAGTAAGCTCAGCCTGAGCCACTCATCATGCTCTTATTTTATTTTTGAAGAAAATGAGCATAAACCCTGTGCCCCACAAATTTGTTCTGAGACACAGCTAGTGAGATCTTCTTTGCTTCATGTCTTTTGCAAAGACATAAGTTGTTATGATGATTGGACTGTTCCTTTAACTCAGTCAGTCACAAAATGTGTATATAAATCAGCTGATATTTCACAATCTACAGGCTAATTTTTCATTACCAAATAAAAAGAGAGCAAAAAAGTAAATCTTAAAAATCCTATTTGGACATTAAAAAAATCATATTAAAATCAGCCATACTAAAACACTGATTCCTGGGCTTTGACAGCAAAACTTCTCGTCCTATGGGTTCAGGTGTTTATTCACTAAACGCTAGAATGCAATCAGCTGAATCCTAATGGCAAAAAATAGGGCAAAATATCTAATTTGTAAAATATCTCCAACTAGCAACAGGTTGGCTTTCTAGCCCATATTTTGCAGTTTTGATTTCCGTGTTGATTTACGTTCAGCTGTAAGAAAAACAGTAGCTGTACTAGCATGTCAATAACAATGTCAGAAAGAATGAAATATTTTATTTGTTTTTTATTCTAGGAGCGGGAAAGTGGGAAAAAACAAACTTTAGAAAATATTAAAAACCACATTTCTGGAATTTTTCGACAAAAGATTTCTGTAAGTAGCACATTTTCTTTATATTACAGCTATAGAGCTGAATGTCAGCTTACATGATGAGACTGTTCTCGTGCACTGAAAAGGAAAATTAGATACTTGGTTCTGTTTTGAGGTCTCTGGTTGCCTTAGATTGACAAATCTACTTTTGTATCTCTTTGTGTTAGAATGTTGGTACACTTATTGAGATCTCAAGTGAATTGAACGGTGACGTACTGTATCTGTGATTGACACAGAAAGCACCATGTAAAAAGGCACTACAAACACAACCTGCACTTATTACCTGCAGGGTCAGTCTATTATTACTAACAAACGTTTTTGGAGGCCACTATGTGTGGAAGTGGCATTTTTTAGCCCAACAATATCATATATTATGTTATTCCCAACCATGTCATCTTCTGCTATTCATCTGAATTACTGAATTAGAGTGACTGAAAGGCCACAATAAGAATTATTATTAAAAATATTTTTGATATTGCCAAATTATTATGAGATCTAAAGTAATATTGTATGTCCTTTTTTTTTTTTAATGTGGATTTTAACTGACCATTACATAGCTAAATATACATTTTATACAGGGCTTAGGTATTCATCCTTATGTATCTAAACAGGAATTGGATTATTTGTGCTGCTGATGAACTTCAGCTCCTATCATCCCCTTCCAGTCTTATGAACAACTGCATGTTGCTGATCCCTAATGTATTCCAGAGGTAGCAACGTAATAGTACTTAAGCAGTTATTCTACTACAACTATTATGATCACTAGTTATATGATCATGGGTTATCAGAGTTATACAGTTATCTGTTTATGGCCATTAATAGATGCCTTGCTACACATTTGGTCACCTTGCTAGCGCTGAATAAAACTATTAAATATTTAGCAATATCCACTTTATTCTAGCAGTATTTTTATTATGGAAAAAAATGTATTTAAAAAATTGACCATCACGGTAAGATGAAAAGATTAGCTAGCTGTTTCAAGTTTCAAAACAACCTTCTAGTTTGATTTAGATTTAAAGAGTTACAGGACATGAAAAGGAACATGCTTTTATAGAAGCAGAATCTATTTTTAGGCATGCTTTTAAATTTCAGGTCACAGCATATTTTTTTAAACAAAAAAAAGCAGATATTCTAAATACAGTTTGCTTCTTAAAATAAGAAATATTTACTCTCCCTTTAAAACTAATATATATTTAGTGTTGCTACAAAATATTTTCATCTACAGACATTCTAAAGAGATAAAATGTAGATTCAAGTGTATCAACGTTCTGGATAGACTAGATCTCAATTTCATATACAAACTGAGAAGTGAGCAACTGCCCACTTTGAGCAGCTACTAAAGGGGTCTAGCCATAGCCCATTAATCTGTGATCAGCAAGCTTGTGTCACTTTATGTCACTTAGTGTCACCTATATATATATATGTGTGTGAGAACCACATGAACCACACTGTGTTTTAAAACTGTATGTTAAAACTTTATATATTTATTTAAATACATCTATTATATTTAAATACATCTAAATCTTTTACCTGTTTATATTATATTTTAGATGGCTTTGAGGCAACTCTTTAGTAGTCTTTATAGAATTCAGTTTTTATGGATTATTACAAAGCAATACCTTTAAGTTACCCTTTGATGAGAAAAGCCATGCTACACACCCTTGTCTATCACACAGTGCTATTGCAGTAGCTATGGGCTACTTTATGTTCAGAATTATATTTGTATGTATTCATGCAGGCTCTGTCAATCATAGCCAGGGGAGGTGTGGCTAGGGCTGCATAAACAGAAACAAAGTGATTTAACTCCTAAATGACAGTGAATTGAGCAGTGAAATTGCAGGGGGAATGATCTATACACTAAAACTGCTTTATTTAGCTAAAGTAATTTAGGTGACTATAGTGTTCCTTTAAATTTATCACCAGAACTGCTCTGGGTTTGTGTTGATAAACACAGCTCTATCGAAACTCCTGAGCTTTGATGAATAGAGTGTCATGCCTTTCACGGCCCCAGGCAGCTAATCTGAAAATATTATGAGGCATTGTGGTTAAGAACACAATCGCTTTCATGCTATATCAAAGGTAGTATTTTAACAATTTACATACCTGTTAGCCCAGACCGGGTGCTTTTGAAAGAGCAGCCACAAAGCTCAGCCAGTTTCCTCATTTCTAATGCTGTGCAAACCTAAATATTTTACCCTGTTGAGGTTTAAAAAAGCAGAAGCAGGTGTCTGGATTTGGTTCTGTTCCTTGTAACTCACCTGCTACTAATAATTCCATAGATGACTCATTTGAATTTATTCCAAGAACACTGACCTAGAAACATGTATAATAAATTGTCTGTCATTTTCAGTGTCGTCAGATGTCACATGTCAGCTGTTAAACCTCAATTAATATTGCCAGTGGTGAAAAACATTCTTCTCAAACTTATCACTACTTTTAGTATCATATATTGCATACAAACAGCTCTCATTGCTCCCTGAAACGCTAGAGTATCACACTACGAAGGGGACAAAAATATAAATTTCAGTTGAACAAGCTATGCTACGTTTATAGGTTATAGGGTATATACACAGATTAAAACCCTATGGTTTTACAGCATTCTCTGTGTTTATCTAAGACTGTTCTATACACTTAATACTTGCTAGTCATCTACCTACCAGGGACCTTCCAGGCTGCAGTTGATCCATTGCATGCACAATAAAATTGCACTTACCTGTAAATGCCCACAACATGCACTGCAACCTGCTGAAAAAAAACTATATATTAAAAAAAAAAGACCTCCACTTTGCCAATCGAAACACCAGATTTTTTTTGTCACTAACGCCTGTTAAATGTGGTTAGAACCACCAAACTACCAGTACCTAGCCAACTTGACCCTACCTTGTAATCAAATTGAACTACTGACCTACATATAACCAGCATTGAAGAATTCCAATGACCATAATGCTGTTGCTTTCCAATTCATTTTCCAAGTATAGAGAAAATGTATTAATGGGTATGCATCAACACATTAAGTGTTTACTGCAAATGCCTTGAGCTTCTACATTAGTTCTGCCTATACCAGAAAATGAACAGGAAGATAATTGTCACCATGTTCACGTTTCAGTGCTGTACTAGATAGAAAGAAATCACATTATTGTCCAGCAACACAGAAAGACATACAATTGAAAAAAAAAGATATTAAAGATTATGGGGATCCCGAGCAACCCCATTTTATCAAGTGAGACCAGTGATTAGTCCCTTCTATATGTCACACAGAGCAGTGTGGTTAGAATATGTAGAATGGGGGTCCCCTTGCTCCTCTTACATTGGGCCTTTTTCTGGAAAGACTAGAGTGGTCTTAATAAGCAAGGAGAGGTATAAACAACTGGGCCTCCTTCCTTGATATTGTGCTCCTAAAGATTACAATAATTCTGGTCCTGTGTTGTCTCCTGTGACAGTAGTCTCCATCACTAGGAGCTAAAGATGGACAATTAAGTTAGGTCTCTGGATGACTCATATGTTTGTCACCCTGTGCCCATTGTGGGTGTAGACGTGTGTAATGTGTTTGGGGTTAAATGTTTTGTGTGCTCTCATGTCCTGTTAATGCTTGCAATCAACTAGCTGTACAGCGCCACCTGCTGGTTGTAAGCATCTTTGAAATCGCTATATTCACTCATTACCTGAATAGCAAGGCTTGTTAATTTGCATATTCAGGTCAATTGCATATTGTGAATTCTGCTGGCAGGAGATATATTTTGTGTTAATTATTGTCTTCCCAACAACTTAAATAAATATGTCATTATGTTATTATAAGTTCCTGTAAGTTGTCTGATATGATTTGGACTAATAATAATGATGATAATAATTGGGACTAGTAAAATAAAGTTGTGTATGTTAGTTCCTTTTGGAACTTTGTGTCCTGTGTGGATTTGTTCATGGATCTCAGTAACAGAGTCTTTGGGCCTGTTGGCTAGCCCAGGACAATTGCAAATAAGCTAGGCCATTATAAAGGCAGTAGCTAAAGGATCTGGAATAACTACAAGCAGAGGTGTTGAATCTGCTTGCGGAGAGGAACTGAAGTGGCAGAGGGAACAATACCTGCCTAGAAGAAGGTGGAAGAGTTCTGGAGAGACCCCAGTCAAGCTTCGGTGACTGGGGATGAAGCGCTCCAGAGTCACCTATGGCAGAGGTATCCGTTCGGAGTACAGGAGCTCTGCCACATCTCCCACCTACATATTTTAACCCTTCATACCCTGCCCCAGAGTGGAGAAAGGGTAATTTTTTTTGGCAACTGGCTGTTGCATTCATTCTTATATCTAAATTCCTTAAGAATACCAACTAGTTGCTAGTTATTTATATGGTTTGGAGACTACATAGATGCTACCAATCATCATCTATATATATTTTCCATTAATGTTTGTCTATGGACTTTTAGCTAAAAGAACACTATGAAGAGCCATCAAGAAAAAGTACCTTTTGTACTTGCCAAATTCCGCCCAGGATTTGTAAGCTTGTTGCCAAGAAATGCTGCCACTACATTAGAAAATAAATAAAATTTAGTTATTGAATGTGGGGAAAAAAAATATATAGCCAGCTGTAGGGAAAATATAGTATTGTTTTAAATGGAACAAATATTTTTTTGTTATATTTGATCTCATTCCGATATTGGGTAATAAGAATAAAATTCCATTGGATGTTTAATGTAGTTCGCAACAACACTATCCAAATGAAAGGAGGATTTAATTGAAGTGCAAGTACTAGACAGAACGAGATCCCCTATCCAATCCCCTATAGAGATTAACGTTTTTTTTCTGATTTTATAGGTATCCAAATAACTGAATTCCATGCTAGTCAGAGCAGTCATTAAGTGACACATGTATTTGTAGACTACCACATATTGTCTGTATGTTGGAATTCCTCACAATGCTACTGATGCACCAGAGAGATTTAGAAGTTTGAAATGTTATATAAAATATAAAAGAAAATCATCAAATATATATACAAATACAGCATATTTTAATTATGCTAGTGAAAAGAAATGGCATGTTTTTTATTTCTAACTGATTTCCTTGTTCCCCTTATTTATCTTAGTTGCCTCCTCTGTTGCCCATGATCCCTGAAGTCCAGAAACCTCTCAGTCAGCAGACCTGGTACCACGGGGCAATCCCTCGCACCGAAGTCCAGGAGCTGCTGGTGAACAATGGGGATTTTCTTGTACGTGAAAGTCAAGGCAAGCAGGAATATGTACTGTCTGTTTTGTGGGATGCACAGCCACGGCATTTCATCATCCAATGCGTAGACGTAAGTAACACGTTAGGCATATACAATTATATGTTTATGTTAAATTATTCACAGAGTAAAATTCCTGATGATAATATTTTATTATCAAACTATATTTAATTATTATCATGTGTTTTTGTGTATGCTAGTAAGTCCAATTTGCTGTATTTATCTTTATAGTAAGTTTGTAAGAATAACCCATCTTACTGGAGAATGGAACTATATTTAATTATGGGGTTGCGTTCTCCCTGAGTTTAGCAACACCATCAATGAGGATGGAGCAGATCAATCAGACATCACAAAACAGATACCCATCTGTTTGATACTCACATTGTTGCATATCCACGTTACCCAGCTTTGATAGGTTATCATTTTGATTCAGATCCCAGTGCCTGCTGTTTGTCTTTTAGCCTGATGCCTTCCCTGACCCATGTCAAGCTTATAAGCAAGATGTGTATATAGAAAACTTCCAAATACACTTGAGGGTGCCAGACACTAGTGACATATATTAAAATAAAATATACAATTACCAATCGTGCAGCCCCTACAGTATGCTGGTCTGTATAAATCTTAAATAAAATACAGGGGGGAAGCAGATTATAGCTTAGTATGTACAATTTATTACATGTGAAATAAACAAAGAAAAATGCACTCACAAAAGTGCTCGCACAAATACAAAGAAACGTGCAAAAACCGCGTTGCTCACAAATGGGCTAAAATCCCACTGCTATACAGCTGCCGGGTCTGTTTTATGGGAGTGTGCCTCAGATTGGAAGCATTCTCCAGCTATACATACTTGTTTACCTTTGTTTTAGTTAAAGATTTTTCCATGTCAGGCTATAGACCAGGGATGGGCAAACTATTGAGGACTTCCTATCCCTGCTACAAACCACAAATGTTCCAGCTTGTCTATAATAATGCTTCTCGGTTCCACTATATCTTACTAGATCCATCCGTCAAGTTATTTACCCATATGTGCACCCTGCACCATTCTCAGCTCCCTTAGACAGGTTACAGCCAGGCAGTAACAAAATACAGCTAACAGTGACACGAGTGGCATTACAGTTTGCCTTTAGTGATATCATAATCCAAATTAAAGTTATGCAACAAACTCCAAGCAATACATTTTTATTTATTTCATTGTTCTACAGAAATATGTTGGTATAGTTTACTATGGGTTTTAAAAAAATATTCTGAAATTAAATGTTTTTTTTATTTTTTATTAAAAACCCCTGTGTCCCTCGACCAACACGCTAGCTAAAGCCTTGCACTTGCTGGGGCGAGATGAAGGGCGCCTGCAGGTTAATCACGATTAGAATGGCAATACAACACTGGCAATCTTGTACACTAGGCCGGAGTCCGCTGACTTCGCTAACCACTTAACGCATTCTATAGGTCAATGAATATGGCAACGTGCAAGAGTAACAAGTGTATTACAGTCAGTCAGGAGTCTTTGTCTTACTTAATTTAAAAATGGGTGGGACGCCACTATATACGGACTTTCACAGTCAATAAGCAACAGTTAGCTATATTGTTCAAGGCTGGTTTTATGAATATATGCAACTATTTGCCTCAAACCAATGTTGATATGAGTAAGAGTTAATGTACGCATTTGTATTATGTTGCATATCTCGTTGTGGTGTCTGACCTTGATATAAATAAAGAATTTAAAAAAAAAAAAAACCCTGTGTCACATGAGGAGGGATGAAAATTTTTCTTGGTCAGTCTTAAATTCCTGACTAGCTCAACTCATGTTATCCCTTCTAATTTTGCAATCCTTCAGTATTTTTATTGAAAATCCAGATTTCAGTGTCTTGATGACTCTTGTCACTTTAATTTCTTAGAACCTGTACAGACTGGAAGGAGATGCATTTACAACCATCCCACTGCTGATCGATCATTTCATGAAGTCAAAGCAAGCTGTCACCAAGAAGAGTGGTGTTATTCTAAACAAAGCTATTGTCAAGGTAAAAAAACAAATACATTGGTATGGGTAAACATTTTGTAGTGGGGGGACATACAATCACATTACTGACCATGTGAGCTAAATAGCTTAATTTTTTTTCTCTTTTGTTTGCAAACAAAAAAAAATAAAATAATATTTTGTTACATATACTTTTGTTTATTGCTCTAACGATTTCAGGCCTATCTATATATTCTTACAGGAACAGTACCACCCTCAATATTAACAGAGCAAACACCCTTACTGTTCATGCAGTTTATTAACTAGTCAATGAGTTATGGTAATAGCATAATGTTGTTGCAAAATTTTATCCAAAATGGCCAAATCAACTATTTTTCATCCCAGCGATTGTGGCCCACATTTTGCAATTTTGAAAACAACTCACTGCAAGTCATTACTTTACGCATAATTCAAATGACTAAATTCAGCTAAGAAATCAGAGCCTATATTTCCTTGATTACAGGACAAATGGGTTCTAGAACACGAAGATGTCATCCTGGGAGAAAGGATCGGTAGGGTACGTTTTTTTTTACATTTCACGCCTCTTGTGAAGCTTAGCATAAGTAAATATTAGCCTATATTGATATATAGAAACAAGCTCTTAGAGCGTAAACACGGCTTACTTAAAATAGCATAAAATCATGTGTAAGGTATGAGAACGATAAAGCATGTTCACAAGATGTTAGATAGCAAGTGACCATAAATGAAAAACATTTTTCACTACAAATATTTATATATTCCCAGTTCATGTTTATTTAAGCTTATTGCAGAGATTAGAAAATGCCTGCCCTTCATATGTGTTGGACTACAAATCCCATGATGCTGGTTAAGCATACAAGAAAGCCTAATTCCCTGACTGCCTGAGGTTCATGAGAGTCAAACTCCCAGGCTGCACTCACAATCTGTTGTGAAGTAACTTCTCTCTCTCTTAACTCTTTGGTGGACAAAGCCAGGGGGAAAGAGACACGGACATGGCATCAAACTTTCACCAGCAATTTGCTTATGAGCAAGGAAAACATCTTAACCCCTTAAGGACAGATGACGGAAATATTTCGTCAAGATTCCCTTTTATTCCAGAAGTTGTGTCTTTAAGGGGTTAATCATGTGTCAGGAGGGGCAGTGGCATAGAAGGAGATCCAGCAAGCGTGCACACGTGTTTCTGGTTGTGTGTCTGTCTGTGTCTTTGCGTGTATGTGTTTGTGTTCCCTGTCACAGCACCTAGGTCTAAAAGGGAATAGATTATTAATATTTGTACTCTAACTGCTGTGGAACACTTAGAAGGATTAGAAAAAGAAAACATGTCATATAAAAGATACATAACATTTATGTCATTAAAGTTTTTTACATTTAATAACGAGTAGTATTTGAAACATGGGATGTAATGCTGTTTAGATATACCTAATAGAAGTGAAATTATGCAAATATATATAATTTAAATTGTTAATTTACTTATTCATCTGTTACAGAAATATTGTAAGGATAAGATTTTTTTGTGATTATATGGAATGCATTATTTTTCTATATTCTGGTCAGAGTTTGAAATATTATCACAGAAATACTTTTTGGCTATGTTGTTTGTGAGACAAAAATAGAATAATGGTCAAATATCTTGCTTACATGTATTGTTAAAGGGACACTTTAGGCACGCAGACCACTTCATCTCACTGAAGTGATCTGAGTGCAGTGTCCCTGTCTTTTTAGCCCTGCAGTTGCAAATATTGCAGTTTCAGAGATTACATTGCAGGGTTAAGGCAGACTCTAGTGGCTGTCTCACAGACAGCCAATATAGGCACTTCCTGGTTGTTCACAGAGTTTGACTCCGTGAAGCGACGCTGGATGTCCTCACGCTTTGCATAAGGATGTCCAGCGTCTTCTAAAACCTCATAGGAAAGCAAGCCAATGCTTTCCTATGGGGAAAGCTTAGTGCGTAAGCAGCACTTGCTGCACATGCACATTAGACCCCCTCCCTCCCCCCACTGGATGACGTTGGCGGAGGAGGAGCCCAACCCAGCGCCGAGGGATTTCAGTATTGGAGGTAGGGGAGGGAGGCTGCGAGTGGGGAGAGGGCAGAGGGACCCTTAATGTTAAGAACACATCTTTGTATTCCTAACACTAAAATTTTCATTAAAGAAACCAAAATTCTAGGCATGCTTTATAAAAATGCCATCCTGTAAAATAATGTGGGCATAATACCCACGTAAAGTAAGTATAGTTACGCAAAGTATCTGTGCAAATACAGTGCATTGAATGCCATCAATATAGTCTGCAATTAATCCAAATTGTTTGATGCAAAACCCAAGTTAGAACAGGTTTTTAAATTGCTAGGAGAGAAGGGTCGATTGAAAAAGGGAATTTATAAAGTACATCATTTAACTGCTGCTATTTTTAATTCCCTTCAGGGTAATTTTGGAGAGGTGTACAGTGGGCGCCTCAATGCTGATAACACTCCAGTTGCTGTGAAGACTTGTAAAGACACACTGCCTCCAGATTTAAAGGACAAATTTCTGCAGGAAGCCAGGTCAGGGCATTAGTCTGCATCTAACTATTGGCAATTTACAGCTTCCGAGTGACTGCTGGATAATATTTTAACGTAACTTCATTTCATGCACCTGTCACCATTCACCATCCATAATTTGTTTTTAACATCTGTAACATTGCTAGCAAATTCATCTCATTGATTTGACATTTTTAGATACAGCCTCGTAGATTAAAATATGATTATGCCGTATATCAAATTAATTAAATGTAATAATAAATAATCAATGATCGCCTACGACATCAAATATCAAACATATCACAGACAAAAAGGGAGTGTTGCAAAACAGGGATACTGTGTTGCCTTTTTACAAAATTCTATTTAAATAATTTATATATAGTATGTAAAATACGAGCTAAAATGAAAGTTGTTTTAGAACAAAATTCTAAAAGTAGTAGAGGTACCATGAGTATTCCACTGGCCTCCATGGTGACTGCACAATTTTAAAAATTTTAACTGGAAATTGATTTTTGTAATAACAACAATGTGAATGACAACTTAAAGAGACACTATAGTCACCATAATAACTACAGCTTTATGTAGTGGTACTGGTGTCCATAGCCTGTCACTCAGACAGCCACTAGAGGTGCTTCTTAGTTCAGCTTTCTGGTAGTTATAATTTAGTTAGAAGCACTCTACTGTAGAAAATGCAGTCTGGAGTTCCAAGACATCGTATACATTTTGCAGAGAAAAAAAACAATTCGAATTCTAGCTTTTACAGGAATAAAACTGTCAATAGAAAGGTCCAATGTACCCCAAATAATTAAAATATATTTACTGAAGTTATTACATTTATATTTTATTTTACTATATTATTTACAGTATTTATTAAATGCACATACCGTATTCATTTATTATTTTAATCATTCTGATTTTAAAGGAAACACAGGATGGTAGCTAATGCAATGTGCTTGTTGAACTAACTTAATTTCACCTGGATTTGCCTTCACTAAAAATTAGATTTGAAATTAATTTACACTTATGAAATTTTTAACAAAGTCTTTTGTGACAACCCATTAGTCTTACTTTACTATTGTAATGTCATTTTTATATTTGTTAAGCTCTTAGAATTTTCATATTGATGATTGAGAAATTTCAAATTCTATTTAGAAATCTTGTATAAGTGAAAAATTCCCGGTAATGAAGAGAATTATTTGATTTGTTTATTTATAGTAAAATGACTAAATTAGAAAACACATTTGATTAATCAATCACTTAAATAAATCCACTAAACTTTTGATATAAATCATGGCCAAGTTTTGGGGAGAAAATAGATCAGTTAGAATGGTTAGTCACAAGTTGTCATTAAAAGGATATTATAGTCACCAAAACAACTTAAGCTGAATGAAGCCGTTTTTGTGTATAGATCATACTTCGGAAAGCCCACTGCTTAATTCTCTGCCATTTAGGAGTTAAATCACTTTTGTTTCTGTCCATGCAGCCTTAGCCACACCTCCTTTGGCTGTGACTCACACAGCCTGTATAAAAAGGTTTAATTTTTAATTAGATGTTAACCTGCTTGAGAAGTTTTCATCTCCTGCTCTGTAAATTGAACTTTAATCACACACAGGAGGCTCCTGCAAGGTCTAGCAGGCTATTAACTTTATTATTATTAGAGTTTTGTTTATTGCTAACATAAATTATTTATTTTATAATGCTTTACATTGCACAGTGAAAACTGAAGATCCGGTATTATTAACTAACTCTGCAATGTTAAGCATTGCGTTTTTTTTTTTTTTAGAAACTGTAAGGTTTACATTGCAGGATTAAGTCTACCAGGCCTCTGAGGCATTGATTTAGTAAAACTTAATCATGTGACGTGGAAGCCCCATAGGAAAGCATTGGTTCAATCCTTTCTTTTAGGGAAGCTTGGATGCGAGCGGCACTCGCTGCGCATGCATATCAGCTCCCCAATGCTCCTCTATGCTCCTCATCATGAAGAATGCTATGTCTCCTCTATGACATTGTGGAAGGCGGAGATTTACGCGGCACTGAAAAAAAGTGAACAAAAAAACCCCACTTTCTTTTAATTATTATATTTTTGCACACATGGGGGGGGGGGAGACATATCTAATTGGGGACAGGGACACTAAAGCATTAGGTATACAGCCTATAACAAAACAGCCTAAACAACTAAAAATATCGAACATATATAAAAAAAATAAAAAAAAAATTTCTAAAACTATATAGAAGAGAGAAAACGAAATTAATAATACAATTATTAAACATACAATAGCAACAAGCTAAGAAAGAAAATGGAGCTTGGCTTTTCCTTTGCCGTTGGCAATATTGTCAAGTGTAATAAAATACATAAGACAAAGTAGTCCCTAGAAAAACTAGATCAGAAAGTAAGAAAAGAAAAACAGATTCTAAAAGAGGAATAGAAGATAAAACAATAGGAGAAAGGTAAATCCGAGCCATTTTACAGCACAATATGGTTAGGACATGATGACACGTGCCAACGCCATCAAAGTGTTAAAATTTGCAGTTCTGTTGCCAACTATCCACAACATCTCATTGTGATTCCTTCCACATGACAGGATAATACCTACATACTACTCTTGCTCCTTTGTAAATTAATAAGTAACCTAACAATTGATCTGTTTGTTCCTTCTAGAATTCTGAAACAATACAGTCATCCTAATATTGTGAAGTTAATTGGAGTCTGCACACAGAAGCAACCGATATACATAGTGATGGAGCTGGTCCAGGGTGAGTTATCATCTCCAATGTGAAGAAGTACATAATGCTAAGTGGTGGCATTATAGATGTGCATCACGACTCTTTGCATAGATATGGAAGGAGATGTAAATGACTGGAACCAAATTAAATACAGACAAAATGTATTCAATGTCCTGTTAGACATCATTAGATACTGAGAATACAAGGTGACTTAGCATGAGTTATCATTAGGGAGTCAAATTGGGTGAATATCTCCTGGCCTAAAATTTTAGTGGTATATTGATATATTTTACATTACATAATTAATATAATTTGATTGGCAGTAGAACTGACAAGAGTCCAAATCACTTCTAATAGTGATATAATGATGACAACTTTCATTACTGAGAGAGAGGATGTTGAATGCTAAATTTTAGGACAATAACTATCCTATCGTGACTTAAAGGACCACAATAGGCACCCAGACCACTTCAGCTTAATGAAGTGGTCTGGGTGCCTGGTCCAGCTAGGGTTAACCCCTTTTTTATATAAATAGGTTAATCCAGCCTCTAAAGCCTCTAGTGGCTGTCTCATTGACAGCTGCTAGAGGCAATTGCGTGCTTCTCACTGTGAAAATCACAGTGAGAAGACGCCAGCGTCCATAGGAAAGCATTATGAATGCTTTCCTATGAGACTGGCTGAATGCGCGCCCAGCTCCTGCCGGGCATGCGCATTCAGCAGGAGAGGAGGAGGAGAGGTCCCCGCCCAGCACTGGAGAAAGAGGTAAGTTTAACCCCTTCCTCTCTCCAGAGCCCGGCGGGGGTCCCTGAGGGTGGGGGCACCCTCAGGGCACTATAGTGCCAGGAAAACGAGTATGTTTTCCTGGCACAATAGTGGTCCTTTAAAGGTATTGTTTTATCCTCTTTGTAGTAAATCTCCTCTCTCTATAAATTATATCCTGTTGTAACATAGTAATATGGCATGCTTTTCATACTTGGGCCCTGCTTCAATATTTTTGAGTAAGCATTTCAATTGATTTAACATTTGTGGATACAATTTTAGAATGGTGTAATATTTTGGAAAAAACTTTGATATTTTTGATATACTGATATTTAAATTTTATATGTTTGTTTTGATATTTTTTTCTATTTTAAAAATATCATTTTAAAAGTTTATCCAAAAATACTAAATCAGTGTATATATGTGTAAAAATAAATATATGAATTGGGGAAACAAATTGCATCCAGTGAGTTTATTTACAGTGGAAAAGTATTGGTCTAATTGTTAACTCATTAATTTGTGTAAAAATATTTATGGTTTGCACTGGAACACTATATCCTGGGCTTGAATAAATAGCAATTTGCTATGAAGGATTCCATAGATTTTTAAGGGAAGGACAGCATTCAAGCACAGTACGTTAAATTAATATAAATTGTTCAAAGCACTTTCAGTACAATGGGGGTGATTTATCATTGTGTCCTGAAAAGCTGTGCAAAGTTCTAAAAGTGGACAATCACCATGGAAACCAGTTGCAGGTACTCTCTATTGTTTGTTACTCCACCTCTACAAGTTTACACAGCTGTTCAGTTCATAGCACTTTGATAAATCTCTCCCATTGTGCTGTATAGATAACAGAAGTACCTTTTTATATTATTCTTTCAGAGTTATACACTTAAGTAAGAATGCCTGGCAACTCAAAGTGAAGTTAAAGTAAATTTCTAAATTTGCATTTCTGTCCGGTCTTCTTTAGCTCTTGGTATTTCAGCTGTCAGCTGTCTCGCGCATGTGCAAGAGTACAACATTGTGGTCTAGGGCAGGGAGAGGCAACCTTCGGCACTCCAGATGTTATGGACTACATCCCCCATAATGCTCTTACACCCATAATACTGGCAAAGCATCATGGGAGGTGTAGTCCAAAACATCTGGAGTGCCGAAGGTTGCCTATGCCTGGCTAGGGAGACAGAACCTTTTCCCCCTTGGCCGTCACACGGAACAGCTGGGGGCATGACAATAGGTATCTAAGGGGCTAAGACAAAATAGTTCATAGTTTGTCCCTCCTTTGTCTCAGTATATCTTTTGACTGCATTAGAATTTAAGTGGAATTCCAACACTGTTAATGTGAGTATTTCATAAAGAGTTTATGTTCATGAAATACTAATTTTCAGGTGGGAGGTTGTGACATTCCCTTTCTAAATCAGTATTCTTCTGCAATGCAGGTGCTAATGGGTTTGGATTTTTTGTGTTTCTCTTTAGGTGGCGATTTTCTAACCTTCCTTCGAAATGACTGTCCTAAACTAAAGGTGAAAGATCTGATCAGAATGGTGGAGAATGCTGCTGCTGGGATGGAGTACTTGGAAAGCAAGCATTGCATTCACAGGTACAAATAATTTATGATAAATCCTTTTGGTGTAAAAAAAATTATGCAATAAATGCACCGTTCTGTATTTTAAATACCCCCTTAAGCCCTTAATGACACATGACATGTGTGATATGTCATGATTCCCTTTTATTCCAGAAGTTTGGTCCTTAAGGGGTTAAAGAACACTCCGGTCACCATAACAAGTTAATCAAAGTTAAGTTGTTGTGGTGCCAGGAGACCCCCATGCTCTTTCTTACATGAAGGGGCTAGACATTCTTGAATGGTTTAACCCCACAGGTTGCCTCTAGGGCCAGATCTCCAGTTCCCCCAGCGGCATCCTGCTTCTGAAATTGAGTTTCAGGAAGTGCAGAGTGGTGCCGAGCAGGGGCGCTGCTGACTGGAACTTTGCACTTCCTAAAACTCAATTTCTCTAACTAATTATTCATTAGTAATCTTCCTCATTTATTTTTTTGTTTTAACTCCTGGCAGGGATCTTGCTGCTCGCAATTGTCTAGTGACGGAAAAAAATGTTCTTAAGATCAGTGATTTTGGGATGTCCAGAGAAGAGGAGGATGGGGTGTATGCGTCCACTGGTGGAATGAAGCAAATCCCTGTGAAGTGGACAGCGCCAGAGGCTCTCAATTATGGTAAAAAAAATATATAAAATTAAATTGCAAGAAAAATGTCTGGAGATGATCTACAAACACAAACTGTCCCAGGTCAAAAGTGTTCAATGAACAATTTTCCTTGCAGATTGTATTCCTTATTTTGAGGATGTGTTGCATATCCTGTGTTCGGCTAGTGGTGAAAACTTCAGAACACATAGAAATAGTATTTGATATGGGAACTTCAGCTAAACATTATTTCTCCTCCTCATTTACCCCTAAACCTGCATTTCAGTTACCACTAATATAACATCAGAGTTATTCGCTAAAATGTAAATTGTTGGAAATTGAAAGTGAACTCAAAAACAACTCAACATTTTTAGGCTAAATTAGCCAAATTAAAAAATTTATTCTGAACTTACTTAAAATTCCTGAGAATTCACACTTTAGCTAATTACCCTGTAAGTATTAAAGATATGCACTATTTGGCTAAACATACAAGGACACCGGACCATCAAACCTGTATGAGCTTTTGTATATCCCATGATATTTGCTGTATTTTATACACCAGTTAGCAATGTTGAGGCTGAATTCAGTAATTAGCAGTTGTGACCACTAGACTTTGCACCTGTGCTGAACAAATTGAATTCCTGTTAATCTATGCCCAAAATAAACGATCTGTCTGGCATTTACGTGACAGATTGATTCGGGCGTAAATTAACAGGAATTTAATTTGTTCATCGTAGGTGAAAAGGATTTCTGCACAAGTCTACTAATTAAATGCTTTTGGCTGCACAGTGTATTTGCTTGATGGCAGTTAGGTAAGCCACGAATTCTGATTTTTGCTCTGCATTGAGTACATGGTTATATACTTGGCATACACAAATGAAAAGGGAGTTGGAGATTAACTTACAAATGACAAATGTTGACCTACATACATTCGTCAGGTTTGCTTTCAACTTACAAAACACGTTAGTGTCTAGTGAATACACCCATACATGTTTAGTTATATAAGGAGAAACTATACGTACGCTGGGATTTTAGATGTACATTAATTAAAATATATGACTTGATTGTATACTATATTTAAAGGGAAAGAGTAATCTACATAAATGTGCATCTAACATTCTAATAGTAAAATGAGGATGTTGTAATATACAATTTAGATTGTTCCCGTGGATTTTCTTGGCTGCAGAAGTCCTGCTGTTGAGATGGGAAAAAAATTTGCTTAATTTGGGTTTATTCATTAAAGGAAGTGCTTTATGTTTGATGAGTGTCCTCTGTTTTCATTTTACAAAAAGTGCAGATTTCATTAGAATAAACTAACCTTGTTAACCCTCTCCCTCCCCCCAGCTGTCAATCGGACAACTTGTCCTGTTTCTTCCTGGTTTGGTTAACTCTGTGGAGCTAAACTCAAGAGGCAGGAGATTGCGCAGTGCACCTGCCTTGCAAAGACTTCTCATTGAGTTGCATTGGGAAGTCTGTGATTGGACAGCCACAGAAAGTTTGTCCTGGAGAAGAAGGGGAGTGCATGCAAATGCTGCAGATTAGAGATTTGCAGCTTTTGCCTGCTGTTTTTTTTTTTATATATCCTCAATGAAAAAATATAGAATTAACTTCACACATGTTTTCACTAAGGGTATACATACTGTATAATGATTTTTATTTTATTTGCATTTGGGCAGTGGAGTGCCCCTTTAATTATGGAATTGACCTGTGAATTTCATGTTTTAGGGCTAAATAGCCAAACTGGAAAAACCCTTCAACTCATCAGTTCTTTCCCTTATCAATTGTTCACAGTTCCTGGCACAAGAAATATCCCTACCAATGCTTTCACTCAATAGATTCAATGTAGCAAAATACCATTACTATAATGTTACATTTCTTCATTCTGATGATTATGTATGTGATTTGTTTTATTAAGAGTTACTTTGACGGAGTGACAGATGGTAATAGATTAAATAATCTGGTGTGTTTGCAATGGTGTTGATCTATGCCATCTGTGGCGTGTTCGTATCTGTATTGCAGGGCGGTACACTTCAGAGAGTGATGTGTGGAGCTTTGGGATCCTGCTGTGGGAAGCTTTCACTCTTGGTGCTGTTCCATACGCTACCATGACCAACCAGCAGACCAGGGAGGCAATAGAACAGGGTAAGTGTGTCTGACCATGGCAGGAGATAGAAGAATGCATGCAGTCAGAGAGAGACGGCTGTAATCAGAATGGTGATATTAGCGTTTACATGTAACCAATCCGCAATTAGATATATGATAAGTATTTTTTATTGAAGCACATTTCATAATTGGTTTCACTGAGTGCCAGACTAATGCAATCACAGGTACAAACTACAGGGCAGGATAAAGTTCTGCAGAGTTCTACAGAACACATAATGGTCTTATTAAAAGGGAACAGTCACTTTACTGGAAAATACACCAAGAAATAAAAAAACTCATCACGCAGTACCCTATAACTTGTTATTCCATTACATCTGATTGAATTGGTTATAGTGCCTGGATTCTTCTGGAGCTGTCCTCCCATTCAGTGTTTATTGATATCCAAATGCCTTATTAGACAACAATCTAATTCAATTTAAGACTTCAAAACGTTTAAACCATTTTAAGTATATAGAAATGGAAAGAGTATTGGAAGATGTATTCTAGACCTTATAATGATTGGGCTAATGGAAAGTCCTCCAAAGAGGTGCAAGTGCACATTATACTAGCCAAAATCGTTAAACCAGAGAAACAAAATGATGAAGCTGGGATCAGTTACATCGAATCAGATAGTCAGACAAAGTCACATCTTAACAGCTATAATACAACATACTAAATGGCACGGTAGGAAACATGGTTTCAGCTTTTATAGACCAAATTCAGTTGTAATGTTTAATTTGTCCATGCATGGAATTTGGCACGGCTGCCTTCGCTACGGCATTAATAGCAATCACAGAGCCTAAGGAGCAGCAGTATGTGGTAAGTGCCCCTACCTTATGTCACACCTTTCAGGATAGAGCCACATGAGCAGTATGTGGATTCCTACATCTAAATTTATTTTTCAAATCTTACAATCACATTAGTTACCAAAAAAAATCACTATAGTTACCAAAACAACTTTAGCTTAAAGGGACACTGTAGGCACCCAGACCACTTCAGCTCATTGAAGTAGTCTGGGTGCAGTGTCCATATTGCCCTTAGTGCTGCAATGTTAAACATTGCAGTTCCAGAGAAAATGCAATGTTTACATTGCAGCACTAAGTCAGCCTCTAGTGGCTGTCTACTAGACAGCCACTAGAGGACTTCTTGGTTTGAAACTGACCTTTGGTCCAGTATCTGCGCTGGGCGTCCTCACGCTCTGCATGAGGACCTCCAGCATCAGATTTTTCCCCATAGGAAAGCATTTGCCGAGCATACGCATTAGAGCCCGCGTAACGGAGGAGGAGGAGCTTTTTAACCCTTTATTCACTGGGGAGTAGGGTGCACGAGGGACAGGCAGGGGGAGCGATAGTGCTAGGAATACAGCTTTGTATTCTTGGCACTTTAGTATCCCTTTAATGAAGCAGTTTTAGTGTATAGATCATGCTTCTGAAGTTTCACTGTTCAATTCACATAAAATAATGATTATAACAAGAACAAAATGTCTTTATGGATTATAAATCATACAACACACCTAACCTTCCCACATTTGGTTGTATATGCAGTATTTCCATTTTAGATCTTATTGCATTTTTAGATTGACATGTTCATTCTGTTTTAGGTATCAGGTTGCAATCCCCAGAAATGTGCCCAGAAGAGATCTATAAGCTGATGATGCAATGCTGGGAATATGATCCAAGAAAACGGCCCAGCTTCAGCGTTGTACATCAAGAACTTTTCAGTATCCGCAAGAGATATCGATAAGTGTTCAATTGAGACATAAAGCTCTGCAATGTCATTGGATTGTCCTCTACAAAGAAGAGGTCCTTTCAGCCATCCTAATAGTGGGAACCACGTCTCATTTTCATTGAACTTCTCATACTGAAGCTGAAGATATTAAAGTGCCATTACTGCTGTGAGCAGGACAAGACTTTTTATCTGACCTAGCATGCTTCGATATAAACCTCTTTGAGTTATACCTCTTCTTCTTTTGAGTAATTTTGGACCAAAATGTAATGTCTAGTGTTTTTTGAAGTGTCCTTGAAAAATGGCCACTTAAATCACTGCATCTAAAGGTCCACTGCTTAGAACCAGAACTCAGTGTAAATGAACATGGAAAAAGAATCAGGAATTACATAATCCTCATTGTTTTTCTGGATATGAGTTTTCCTGCATCAAAGAATTCAAAGAGCATTGAAAATTGTAAAGGAGGATCTATGGGCTCTATGTGTGCATCTACATACATGTATGCACTGCTGGTTAACATTTTAATCACATGTGCTATTAGCGGATCATAAGCAGAAATCCTGTGCCCCAAGTCCCTTCTTCAAAAGCTACAAAATGACTCTGTGATTTTAAATTACTTAATCTTTTCAATATTGCTCATTGATAAATGCTACACTTGTGTCTGCTCTCTTTGCACAGTGCCAGTATCAGTGTAAATCGATATCATCTAATCAGCGAGACTGATAATCAAGTGTATTCTTTTCATTTTTCCCGTTCTGTTTACAGACCTCTGCTGATGCACATCTATTTAACCTGTTCAGTACTAGGTCTAGCTAAATCACTAACTGTTGCAGTTCTGTTATGTCATTGGTTCTGAATTGATTTTGCTGGATGTGCTAGATGTTTTTGTTTCATGATATGCTAAAAAAACTACCATTATTTCTTTTTAAAAAACATGAATTAATAATGAATTCTTTCATGAAAGCATCATATTGACTTCATGCCTGATGCTTATGAAAGAGCTAACAAATAAACTTAAGTCATCTGATCCTGGGGCCTTCAGATCAAAAGGCAAATTTTCAGTAAACCGTATCTACAGAAATAAAGGATCAGCTCTTCTCTGCAATTCAAGATACAAATATTAAGAGGGGCTGAAGGGGGTATAACAGCTGAAACACAAACTTATTAATGTGATTCTAAGGAACAGAGAATAATAAATAGACAAAAAATGTATTTGTATGGAAATTGCAGCCAGATTTACATCTAAATATAATTATAAAGAATGTTGATGCTATATTCCCTTGAAGCAGATTATACTGGGAAACTCCTTTTTGTTCTTGTATTCTTTTAACCACTTAAGGACCAATTGTATCTCATGCTATGCAATGCAATGGTTCTTATAAATGGCAATGAGCTGGGGCAACTCTGTAAGACCCGGTGAAAATGGGTAGGAAATGTCATGGTTGAGTAAGGTCTTTAACCCCTTAAGGACCAAACTTCTGGAATAAAAGGGAATCATGTCACACATGTCATGTGTCCTTAAGGGGTTAAGGAACAAGTTTGTTAGGTGAAAGGTCACCATTAGTCCAGGGGTGTTTCAACACATTTCTTAAATGGTTACTCCAAGCACCATTTATTGATTTGAAGTAGTCAAGGTTTCGCTGTACATACAGAGTTCAACCTTTCTGCTTCTGGAGGTGTAACTCCACCTCCAACAGTGTCATTAACCAGGTCAGAATTACAGTTGTGGGCGGGCTAATGTCAATTATGTGCAACTTTCATTGCACAGAATGTCAGCCACTGACTGAGAGTAGTCGGTTGACACTCTCAGCCAAAGAATGTTGATGGCCGCTGCTTCTGGCTTTTGAAAAACTGCCAAAGCAGGAGTCTCATCACCAGCCAACCATTGAGCATCAGAGCCTGACGGAAACCCAGGTGAAGGGGGCAAATGCTTGCTAAACAGTTTGCCCCATTACCGAGGAACAGGGCCAGAGTACTCTTGACAATATAACCACTAACTATAGCAGGCTATAGAGGTTATGGTGTTTGGGGTAACATTTTAAGCTGTATATTTACCATTGTTGCTGTTGCCGATCCTAAAGACAACTAAAAAAAATAAAAACAGAACACTGAAGCAATTTAAATTGTGCTTTAAAAATCAGATATCACACTTATTTAGGAAGCTATTATTAATGATTCCAATAATAATTATAGTCTTTGCTTTAAAAAAGCATCCAGATCAAAAAAAAAAAATATATCTATATTCCATATTTAGTGTTCTAACTATGAAGTATCCTTCCTGCTATGAAGTATTCCTTTTCTAAAATTTCAACAAATTGATCGGAAAATTCATAAAACCTCATGAAACTGATTTTCTGCTCAACTTTGTTAGGTAGGCTTTAGAGCACTCTAACTTCCATAATATTATTGTAATGGTTATGGCATTAGGAGTTTGTCGACATTGTCACACTGGATTTTGTTAAACTCCTTTTGGTACCTACATGCCCTCCCTCCCGCATCTGCTGCTTGAATAATAGAAGTGAACTTTTACACTAGACTAGACCATCAACAACATAGTTGTTAATGGAGATGGAGATGTTCCTGTAAAATGAGCTACAATGTATAGAGTGCCCATTTAATTCTAGCTACAGGATGTAAGAATCCATGGCTTTACCTTTGAGCTGCACACCAATGCAGCAGAAGTGGATCCCATTCACTCAATGGGAGTGGTCATGTTCCATTCCACCAGAAGATTCTACTCCTTGAGAGTTGCTGGGCCAGATATCACCAATAGGTTCTATGCATGTTCATCTTAGTGAATACCCAAATAGATATGGACATTAAAGAATATACCATTTATTATGATGTGCGCACAATGAGATCTAAATCCATAAATTGTAGATATATTATATTTGGTTTTATTTCTACTGGAAATTTTCGGAATGTTTTTGAATCAAATTATCAATTATTATACAGAAAAAAATATTTTAAGGAGGTGTTTTAATAGTTAAAAAAAAATTGCCTTGTGGATTTTATCATTTTATTGATATCAATACAGTGTAATTCAATGATAAAATTCTGGCAGTTATCATCTGTGTGTATTAATATTTTTTAAGTACCGTAAACAAGGTTATACGCTAAAGTGAAAATTCAAAGTGAATTTCAAACTAAATACACAAATATCAGAATTTGAAAAAAAAATCTCTAAGTCAGCTATTCTTCAAGGTCAACTACTTAGGCCTCCAATTTGAAATTCACTTTGAATTCACTTAGACTTCTCACTTTAGTGAGTAACCGTGAAATTGTACTATCTGTGTCCAGTAATGCTGGAATAGCATGTAGCCTCTTTGTTGCCTCAATTTTTGTATAATCTTGAATTAAAGTCAACACAAAGATATTACTTATCAGTCCAGCAGCATCTGTAATCCTCTTGTATAACACAGTATAGTGATTATTGCATTGTAATAAATTATTTTATTTGAGATTATTTTATTTATGTTAAGAAACATATAATGAACGTCTTGCTCAGTACAAACTCTCGCCTTATGAGATAGTATTCCAAACGGTCTATACACTAAACAGTACGTTGCTGGCCAAATTACAAAGTTTTGTACATTAGTCATGTTGTAAAATAATGATGAGTGAGACATTGTGTATTGTCAGACTTTTGTCACTTGTGTGACATTTTGAAATTGACAGCCTGACATTTTACATATTTCTTCCCCTTAGCATGCATTGCACTTAACTTATTCTTGGATTTTGGTTGTAGTTTTTATGCATGTTTTATGTAATTTTAGTTTTTTTTTTCACTTTTCCAGAGCAGTTTAAAAATAGGGAATAAAACTGAGGTCTTATTGTCAGCTGATCATATAATGGCTTATCTGATGATGCATTATGCAAGGGTCATAGGACCAGACTGTTTTTGGATAGATCTTTATATCAAATAGAACTGCTTTGAGTGAATGAAGAAGATTCTGGACAAAAATATTTTTCTTATTCACGATTATCTTTGAGGACAGGGGGGACTAATGTACTCATGGGATTTGTAGCCTCTTTTCATACATGACATTAAGTTGGACTCCATCTGTAGGAGACTAGCTAGCTAGTTGGTGTGATGGTTTTTAATGAATAACATTTGTGCAGGGGTTATAAGAGGTGCAAAAGATATAGCGTTAATAACTGGTGTGGACATTCAGTAGTGGGGGTAGTAACTGAGTGGTTAACTCTGTTGAAAGATTTAGTAGTGTATGGAGTGCAAGTAGAGTATGTAGTCTAGGAGGTTCAGTAATACCAATGAAAGCAGTGCATTAAATAAACTCTCCAAAGGGGAAAAATCCAGCAGTTGGCCTTCCCTTCCAGCGCTACCAGAGAGAGCTGCAACAGAGAGGTTACAATTGTCCCATGTTCCCCTATAAATGTCAACCAGACACCGAATAAAGGGGAGAACATAACTTACCTTAGTGTGGATGTTTATACACATACGTCGAACAGAAAACATAAAATACCCAAACAGACTTTGCCGTCCCCGATTGTTCCTCGATTCTGCCTTTAGATAACCCAGGTTGCACTCTTCGATAATTGTCTCCAGTTTTGCAGCCTTGTCTTCGAGCACTTCACTCTCTCAACTCCAGGGTATCATTCAATAGCTCTCAACATAGGCCCCTTCTGTGTAAGTTCAGGGCATTCCAGACACTATTTAGGTTTTACTGGGTTGCCTCAATATCATAAGCTGCGAATTGGGGGATATCACAGCTACATTTTACATTCATCTGGATGACGGGATAAAAAATGCCCTTTTGAGAGTAAATGTAGAGGAGGGGTCCCAGAGGTAAGAAACACCTTTAATAAATATGAAGATCAGGGTCAACGCTGCAAAAGTAGAAATAAAGTAAATGGATGTCTCTGTAGCGGCATTGCCACTACAGTAAGTGTTTAAACTCAGACTGATTAACATTAAGTAGCTACCAGAGTGCACATTCTAATGTCAAGAATGTAGTGAAAGTTTTTTTTTTATACACAGTGAGTAAATCTTCATTGCGTTCCTGGCAGCCAATAGAGCGTGACTTGCTCCAGGATGGTGACCTTTTTGACCACATGACATGATGGGACCTGGTGGTAATGGATTTTTAAACAATGCTTCATCTGTAAGAACACATAATTTTATGGTGGCTCTGACACTGTTTAAAAATATCAATGCAATATCATAGCAAACCACGTTTTGTTTCAGTTTTTTGGATTTACTAGAACTTTATTAAAGGTGTTCAAAACGTGCAACATTTTCAATTTGCCTTGTGGGGTATCTGTCAAAGCAAAACTACTCCTTGACTGCCTTGGGATTCCATTGAAAGTCAAATTTGTCTAAAGACAAAAGATGTTGTTTCAACTGCAAACTAAAAGAGGTACTGTATTCTTGCACATAACACGATTTATGATATGTGGAGGATCCTATGGTCTTGCAGAATTATATGTGAGAATACAACAGCGACACAGGCATCTGGCGGACAGAGTGCCAGAAGCTGAAGAAGGTCCCTGAAAGGAAGATATCAGCACCCACAAAGGAGGCACATCACCCTCAAAAGGTTTTGACCTTGAAAAGTGACAGAGCTTCTATAAATTTTGAAATAAGGTATTAAAAGATATAACAAGTGTCAAGCTGTCTGTTAACAGGATGACAAGTTATACAGGGACCATGCCAGTGGTTTCTAGACACAGTAACCATTACAGTGTGCCATTGTGGTGCTTAGAATGTTCCTTTAATACTCTGTTTATTAGTTATAATAGTCCTGTACAACTATGATATATACAACTCGGAGCATTTTTCTTAGGCAGTTTGAATGAGTGATTAAATAAATTACTATAATTACAATACAATGCAGTTTTTTAAAATTGCTTTTTTTTTTTAAGTTCGCTGTAGGGACTGACACTATTGTTCTATCCATGGGACCCTCTCTAATACATGCACTATTTGCTGTGTTTACTAATAGGAATTAGAGAAATGTTTTATCTTTTAGGCTTCACACTTTAACCATAAATCTGCAGTTGGATATTAAATGGTTTATTTATCAGCCTGGCAATTCTAAATATTGGGCTTAAATAGCAAAATTGGAAAAAATCTGCAAATCAGCTATTTTGACCTAAAAACATCCTTCTTTCACTTAGAAATAATGCGCAATTGACAGTTTAGTGAATAAAGTCCAACTGTGTTGCATGAATCTGCATTAGTGCAGACCCCCCCTGCAATCATCCCTCCAGACCACTAGATGCTACCACATGCTGTAGGTTTGCTATTGATGCTGGAGCCTGGGAGAGCTCCTTTGTGCCCCTGCCACTTTAAAAAAAAAAAAAAATTGAAAAAAAAAAAAGAAAGAAAGAAGGATCAAGGACCTTGGAATATAGAGAAAGATAGAGATAGCAATAAGGGAAGTGAGGAGCTGCTTAGCCAGCCATAGGGCTACCAGGCAGAGATTAGCAGCCACAGCAATAGTACAGGGACAGGCTCCCGTGCCCAGGGCACCATGTGAGAGCCAGGGCATCCTGCTCCACCTCTTTATAGCCAGGGATGTACAATAGCCAGGTAGCTGTGAGGCTGCATCCATGCATATTTCATATGGACATGTCTTCCAGCCTGGTATAGCAGCAGTACATTGACATGTGAATTGGGAGTGAGGGAAGGGGCATGCATAGTGGCTGACTGGCAGCATATGGCTGCACTAAGCTTATTATTCCTGTTATTGTCAGCATTCCATTTGTTTTGCTGTTTGCTGGGGAAAGGCAGGCATCAGACAGCTGTGGGTGTAACAGGAGGGGAGAGCAGAGATTGACACAGCAGGCAGGAGGACTGCCCTGGGCTGAGCTCCACCTTGCAAGCCCCGGTGCAAGTATCAGAGGAAAGGAAGGAGGGAGGGCTGGAGCTGGGACCTGGCTGGTTTGTGGAGGGGATACCTGGCTGTGAATGAGGGGAGCCCCTATGTGGTCACTGAGTGTCACAGCCTCCCCCTAGACTGACTGCCCGAGGCCTGGCCTGATCTACCTTAAAAACAACGTGGAGCATCACAGGAAGCCCAGTCACTTCAGAACCAGGAGGGGGACATTCAGAGGTAATTGTACTCACTGTCATTACAGGCACCAGACCATACACTGCGTGAATTTGCATCATTTTACTACGTTAGCTAGTGAAGCCTATGGTATTTACCTAACAAAGAGATCTAGTATTGATGCATTGTGTATAGGAGTCAGACAAATCCCTCTATATTACGATGTTTGTCATGTTATTGGTCTTGAAGGGGTTAAGGGGAAAAAAGACACATTGAAACAGACTGATCTTATAATAGGAGACTACTGCATATTATAGGCCAAAATAGCTAAGCTGCTCAATTGTAGGATTGTTACTGTTCTGGACTATAAATAGGATTTGTCATGTGAGAAAATCACTGACAAAACGTTCTATTTCTTTTTAGTTTTTAGTTAGGCACTCCCAGTGCAGGATATTATGGGGGTACTCTGAAATCCAAAATACTAGCAACTCTTTATAAAAAGAGGTAATGCCAGAGCATGTATTCTACACAATATGTTTGGTCTAAAATACCTTATATGGCTAAATATGGCACGGTCCCTATCAAACTGCCTAAACGTTAATCAGGTCCTTCAATTAATGTTGGTTTATTTCCCAAAGAAATAAAATAAATTGAGGGAAAATGTGGCCATCCTGCTGTTACTAGGTCACGGTTGGTGTGATAGTCCATTGTCCTGTGTGCTGTAAGCAGGCGTGAGAATTGGGACTTAATCACCTACATGGCCACATCCGGGTTAGTGTTCTGTTTACGTGTTTATCCCTGATGAAATTGTTTAATCCTGATATGTTGTACACACTGGGATTTGCTATTGGAATGGAAGCGCCGGTCAATGTTCCAGAGTCATTATGATGGTAGACAAAAATCCACACAAGACTGCATTATATAGCACGTTATATATATATATATATTAGAAATAAAGATATAGATCAGTGATGGCGAACCTTTTTGAGCCCGAGTGCCCAAACCGCAATACATGCCAACTTTTTTCTCCTTAAAGTGCCAACACGGCAATTAAACCCAAATACTGAGGTTTAAGTTTAGAAAAAACTACTCGTACTGTTGTCCGAACTAATAACTTTTGTTTTAAAAGAACACAGAGAGTACAATGATACAAATTTTAAATAATGATATAAATAGATAAAATTAAGCTTATATTTATTAGTATCTCCAACAAATGCAATACATACACACACAGACTGCTGAATACATACACACACACACAGACTGCTGAGTAGACGCAAACACACACAGACTGCTGAATACACGCACACACACAGACTGCTGAATACACGCACACACACTGCTGAATACACACATACTGCATTGAGGTGGGGGGTGCTGTGTGTGTGGGTGCTGTGTGTGTGTGGGGTGCTGTGTGTGTGTGTGTGTGGGTGCTGTGTGTGTGTGTTGTATGTGTAAGGGTGCTGCGGGGGGGTAGGGGTACTGTGTGTGGGGGGTACTGTGTGTGGG